TAAAATCCGAAATCAAAATCTTATATCTTATTTTAAAAAAAGATAATATTTAAATAAATTTAGAAAAAATTCGAATAATTATAAATTGGAAATCCCCTACTATTATAATTAATATATATGTATTTATTAAATTTACAAACTTTTATTAATAATTTATTAGAATTTTCTCAAAAACTATTAATTTGATAACAAACTTAATTAAAAAGAATATTTTATTTTAATAAAATTTTATTTATTAAAATACTTTTAATTAATTTAAAAAAGTATTTACTAAAGCCTCTATTCTAACTATTTTTGATTAAAAAAGGAAAGTGATTTTGGAAATTAATACTTTCGATTATATATCTATTAAAATATTCTTTTAATATAATCATAAAAAATCCTAAAATCTATTATATTTTTTTTCGAAAAATATTCAATAACTAAATATAACTATAAGATTTATAATAAAGAACTATTAACTATTATTCACTATTTCAAGAAATAACATCTTGAATTAGAAAATGCTATATTATTAATCCAAATAATTATTAATTATAGAAATTTGAAGTATTTTATTATAATAAAATTATTAAACCATTATCAAACTTACTAATCCGAATTCCTATCTCAATTTAATTTCTGAATTATTCATTGTTTTAGAAAGCTAAATATTAAATCTAATATACTAATTAGAAAATCGAAAGATTTTTTTAAAAAAAGCTATAAATATTTTTATATTAAAGTTATATTATTTTGAAATATTTTACTAAATATATTAAAAATAATAATTTGTTATATTATTAAGGAAAACTATATATTTTTAATTATAATTCTTTAAAAATTTATTTACTTTACTTATACTATAAATTTTTTGTTGTTAATTACTTATATTATATTTAAATCTTTAAACTATTATTTTGAGATTATTATCAATCTGATTATTATAATTATATTATGTAATGAGTCCATAATTATTATAATTATTATTATATTATTTCAAATTATAAAAATTAAAAGACAATTCTTTATTTATTTTTAATTCTTTAAAAAATAAAATAAAATATCTAAATAGATTTTATTATATATTTATTCGAAAATGCTAATTTAAATATTATCATAATAATAATAATTAATTGGTTAATTAAATTCAAATATTTCTTTTTTTATTGCAATATTTATAATTCTAAAAAGAATTATTTATTTATTTTAAAAAAAATTTTAAAAGTTTTATAATTTATCTTTAATAATTATATTGAATTATAATACTCAATTTATATTTGAATTCTAGAAGTATATTTGTAAACATTTGAGTATCATTATCAAAGTATTAATTATTTATTACCCTGAAATTAATAAATAAATTAAAAAAGCTAATATAATATTAGAATAATATCTTCAATTATATGTAATCTATTTATAAAATAATTGAATAAAGTAATTTTTATTTATTAAATTCTTTATTGATAATATTTAATTCAAAAATATTTAAATAATTTTATTCTTTTTGAATTATAAATTTCATTTCTATTTGAATTTGAATCTATATTATCCTAGAGTATCTATTCTGTAATATAAGATATTAAAGAATTTATTATTAAAATAGAAATTATTTTTTTATAATTATAAATCGATTTGATTATTAATTAAACTCGATATTCGAAGAATACTAATATTGTCACGGTGTGGAACCACGTGACATGTTGATCCTATCGAATAGGACCGAAATGAGCGCTCGCGCCGGAGCGCAAGTGAGCTAGGGCCCGATCGGGCTAGCTCGCTTGTGAAAATTCTGTATATCTTCAATTTGAAAGATCCTGTATTGTAGCTCTTTGAGCTACGTCTTAATCCTCAATCTGAATCTAATATCTGAGTCGACGTAACTTTCCCGAATTAGGGCAAAGTTATTAGAGCCCTATTCCTGTCTACCTGCCCCGTGATAAATATCCATTATTTCCTTACTTATAGATATTTGTCTAATAATCTAATTTAATTAAATATTAAAAATATTAAGATTTTATATTTATAAAAAGAATTTAATTGAAAAAAGCTTGAATTTTTTAAAATTTTAAATTTAATAGGTCTTTATATTTATAAACTGAAATTCCTTATTTTAATAAGAATTCATTCTATTTTTCATATTAATCTACTTTATTCTATATATAATAATTTTGTTCTTAAATAATATAACTCACTATCACCATTTATCAAAATCGATGACTTAAAATAATTCAAAATCACCAAAATCCTAAACTTTTATTAAAAGAAAAGAGATTATAGAGAATCTTATTTGAAATATATTATTTATTAAATTAATTAAAAAATCTGTAAACTATTTAAAGAATATATAAAAATTAATTTATAATTTTTATTAAAAATATTCTAATAAATTAGAATTAATTTAATTGAATACTATTATCTTTGAATAATCAAATTATAATATTTTTGCTTTAATAAAGCTTAACTTTTAAAAGAGAAATGATATTATAATATAAAATTATATAATATATTGATTTCCTTAAAAGAAATCAAATTAAATATTTGTATTGGAGTATAAATGAATTAAAACCTAATTGGATTTAATTTATTTATAAAAATTTGTATATTTTCAATTTAGAAGATTTTATATTATAATTTTTCAAATTATATTTTAATCTTTAATCTGAATTTATTATCTAAATCAATATAATCTTGCCAAATTAGGACAAAGTTATTAGAGCCCTATTTCTGCCTGCCCGCCCCGTAATATGAATAAGTTTTTTCGAAATGTATTTGTTGTTTTTTATAGGAAACTAAATGAATATATAAATTCAATTTAAAAAGAAAAGAAAAGAGGAATATTTGTTATTTTAAAATCATTTCGATAATTCATTTCAATATAAAAAAAGAAATTTGAAAAAGAATTTCAAATATTTGATTTATAATATAATTCAAATCTTTTAATATCTCATTTCAATTTTTATAAAAATGAATTCTAATATATAGTATAATTTCTCTTTATAATATAGTATATGTGTCAGAAATAGACAGTAAGTTACGCATGTATAAGTGATATATAAAGATTATAGTATTTTTTTATTGTCTATTACAGAAGTGGGATCTATATGGAAAACCTTTTATATGATGTGGTGCACGTGTCGTATCACGTGTTTTCCAACAAATATAACCTACACACTGATAATATACGTTATATGATCCTATTATATTCATGTATGTAATCAAGATTGTTTCTACTTTGTGTTGAAGATTTAAGACGTTTATGATTCTACTGAATTAATGTTTAAAGACTCAAAATATATATTTTCAAATTTATATATAATTTTAAGTAAGAATGAGTACCTATGTAGTAGTCGTAGTGCTAACGCCAAGCCTCATTGATACTAGTATATTTTCATTCATATTCCTATATAGTCTCTCACTTAAAAAATTTCAACTATAAATTCTAAGTCGGATTCTAATTCATCAAAAGGATTGAAAGTCGAGAAACCTCCAAGTCAGCTCGAGCGGTATCAATAAAATCGTATAACTTTGGGGGAACAGCGGAAAAGGCCGATCACCTCCAGTCCTACGATGGAAACAATGGAAGCGGTAGTGATAGCAGCTCAATATTCTATATCAGTCCACCTGTCTGGACCGGTGGTGTAAGTGGTGATGGAACCATTGGGACCAGTCATGATTTGTCTATAACCTGCGAGCCACCTTGCAACTTTGCTTCTCCATCCGTTGCCGCTGGAAACGACAATAACCATTACTTTGCCTCTACTGACTACAACCTTTCTCTTCTCTTCCATCGCAGAGCTCCAAACAGTAACATGAACAATCAGTGCCCCATCATTCGCGATCCTAGAAGTCGATTTTCAACCAATTGCCCTGCACGCGACGCACATTTTACCTATACATATTTCCCATGCAGAGCATTAAAAGCCATCCTCATTTGTTTATACCCTTGCCTCATTCCAGCATACCTTCTCTCCAACCCTGATTTCCATAGCTGATGGCTTTGGCGAGGGTTTGCATGGAGGAATTACTTCGAAGTCTACCACAGTTTCAGATGCAAGTTGAGGTTCGAGTATTGCCGTACCTGCTGGTGTTTGGTTCTCGATACCACACCCAATTAGCACCCAACCAATGCCGATGGAGTCGATCGTCATTTTCCCGCTAACAAAGACCAACCTTTCCGTCAAAATCTCAAGTGGTAGGCGTAAATCAACGAAGTCCGCCGAAGGTCATGGAACTCGTGACTGCAAGACACTTGGCCGCAAACCACAATGTGGCTTATTTGCCTGTAACGATGGGTGTGGAATATTTGGCTAACTCATGCATGTAGACAGTACTGCCTTTTTCGCTACAGCGATGTATCTCGATAGAAATGCCTGGTACACAGGAGAGGCATACCCTTTGGATGAAAACCTACGGTCTTTTACTAATTAGAGATGCAGGTGGAGATTCACACAACGATGCGGGAAGCACAACTTCGGACTGATCTTGGGGTGTTCTGTTATTTTCTTGCGATGATATAAGCTTTGGAGATGGATATTCTTGAGCTGGGCATGATCCAGCTTAAAGTGCACAGAAGCCAGTATCTTGACTGGAGTTAGAATAATGATCAAAACCGCCACACACAGTTCTTCTAAATGAATTGAAATATGAAAACAATTTTTGTCGAAAATGTGAAACTCTTAATACGTTGAAGATGTTCTATAGCATCATATTTAAATGTAGCTATCTCAGTCCTTATGTGAGTCTTCTATGAAAATGGCATATTTGTCGTCTTATGGCTAGATTTTTGCGACTTCTACATAGTAATTTATATTATGTCATAATTGGCTTATATAAGCTATTTTCAGGAGACTTAGGGTACTAGGTAGCTCAAGTGTTCACAGATACAGATGGGATAACTTCATGGTTGCAAGCAGAAGTTGACAGTTCACAATGATTGCTGGGCTATTGTCTATTATACAAACACAATGAGCTTATTATGTATTTGAGAGTATTATCTATGCTGATGAAATCCGATTATTTCACCGGGGACAACTTGAAGACCAAGACTTGGGCATCGGAGCCTTTGAAATCTCATAACAGTCCACGACCATGTCAGAAACCTTTGAATCAATTGCGTCAAGATCTTCACAGAACATACGAACTAAATCCACTCTATGGCCCAATCTTTCGTAATCTTCACAATGATTGGCAAAATCCGTGTACCATTCTCTCATTGCATCCACAGACCTCGGCATTGTTATTGCTGTGAAATACGACTTCGTTGGCGTTCGGGCTTCTTCGACCTCGTGTTTTACTACCGGAGGTGACGGTATACTATTGTGAAAGAAGTAACCAACATTAATGCCGACTTGTTTCACTGTAACGGAACCATCGGCTGGAGGAGAAGTAAAATCTGGCGGGTCGTCACGAAGCAATGTTACCCAAGAACGTTCCATACCCTTGATATCACTATTAGCCACAGAATTAGTACATGTACGTAAAATGCGCATTCCATCAAAGAGTTGATTGTCGGGTGAGGGAGGTAAGAGATAGGTAGCTTACTTTTGATATGAGCTATGGAAATCTTGAAAGATGAGTGTCGTTTGTATATTATTCGAAACTTCAAAAGTTGTGACTTCCATTATAGGGAATCCTTCACTGTTCGGGTTTGGCTGATAAGGAAACCCAGCCTTAAAGGCACCAGGCTCCTTGGTGAGAGCTCCAGTCTTTGCAATAAAATCTTTCACAAGATCTTGAACGATTTGAGACTTCAAAGTAAGATCGATGGGCTTAGGGCTTGTTTGATTGCAAAATCCGAGCTGAATCCACTGAAATAATTCGTTTTTTGTATTACTATGGATTTTGTAATAATAATAATTCATTTTAAAAAGAATGAATTATTGATTTGTGATTTTATAGTTGTATATTAAATTTATTAAATAATTTATTAAAATAAAAGGAAATAGAATATATATATAATATATATATAAATTAGATAAAGTAATTCGAATTTTTAATATATTATTGCTATTTGAATAGCTAAATAAATGAATGTGGGAATAATTTTATTTAAATTTATATATAATAATAAACTCTAATTTAAAATAAATTTATAGCTTTAGATTTTATTTATTATAATTTTAAATTTTATATATTAAAATTTTAAATTTTAAAATTTATAGAGATTTATAAAAACAATAAATTATTTCAATAATTTAATAAAATAGTTTTTTCTAATTCTTATTTTCAATTTGTATTTTTATTTTTCTATATAAAATTTATTAAAAAACATGAATTATTTAGTATCATTTTAAAATAATTTATTCTTTTTTTATTTCAAAATATATTAAATTTATTAAAATATAAATTATTCAATAAAATTCACAATTTAATATTCAAATATAAATTCAAAATCCGTTTTCAAAAAGTATAGAATATTTAGTAGATTCAGTGCGGATTTGTATATCCAAACTAGCCCTTAGGGTCTTCCTCCCAACGATTTTCTTTCTTGTCCTAATCTGTTTATATTTTTGTCAGCAGATATGCTTCAAAAAGAAGCAAGACCTAAATGGGGGACAAACCTATCATTAAAATCCAATCATCCAAATGTTTCACAGAACGGCCCCAATAGAGAGAAGCACGATATCCAACGTCTTTTTTGATGTGTTCTCTGAGCTCCATCAGACTCTCTGTTGTAAAGATATCGTTATCAAGCCCCTCAGACTTAATTTCTAGCCATAAGACATCCGTATTTGGAGGTTTGCGTAACCGAGATACTCTGTTGACTTCTGAACGCGCATAGATCTTGTGCATATTGCTGTGAAACAATCCCATCTTCTTGTAAGTTCCTTTAGGTCCAACAAAATGACGTTTACCTACAGCGGCATCGTAGATAGATTCGATGTGCTTGGTGTCATAATTCATCGTCGCTTTAATCTGTGTCTGTCTATGAACTCGCGAAGGAGGGTGTCGCAGCAATGAAGCTAAGCAATCGACAGTAGATTCAGGTTGTATGTCGCACACTGGTTCAATTTCTTCAATTCTGGATACTGTCTGAACTGATTTGGGAAGCAAAAACGTATATCTCGTAAACGTTTTCGCCCATCCAGCCATTACCTCGTCTTTGAATCCAACTCCGAAAAGGTTCGCCTCATTCTCAGCAACTTGGACTTCATCTTCGTCCCAACTCCAGGCTACTACGAAAAAAGTCCTCTCTTGGCTGTTCATAGCCTTAGGTATTAGATCTGCCCACTCCTCGACGTATGGGGCCGTGTTATCTTCCATCCAGTTACCAGCTACCTCTATTCCCGCTTGTCTCCATTTGGTTTCTTACATTCTCCAACACACGATAATTTTCTCCCTAACTGCAGTAAAGACTTCGCTGTCAAAGTTGAACTTGAGAATCTCTACTTTATTCGGAAAATTGGAATGAACAGGTAAACTAAGGCGTAAGCACCTGTTTGTTGGGCGGCCAGAAACAATCTCAGACATCAAATATATGCCAAGACTCTTCTGGAATACACTCCATTGGCTCGCATTTGCACACTGAACCAGTAAACAAATGTGCTCTTGATCCTGGGTGCTTCTTGTTCCCCAATATCATATGGTATAGCCTTGGATAGTCGAGATGTACTCAAGTGTAGCGAGCAATAATTTTGCTGCTGCTGAAGATGTGTCGTGTACTGAGAGGCCCTCAAAAAATGTAAATTGAATAATAGAAAGTATTCCTTCCGTGATGGTGTGTTTCTCAGTGGGTTAGTCCCAGTAATTACCGTCACATGCGGGAAACAATTGGATCGGCTGTCTCCTTCTCTCCAGGCGAATTGGGGCTCTCTTTTGTTCTCGTTTTTCCTTGTGGCTGAGTGCCTCTGGTGCAACAGCTGCAAGAGCCATGTTTTCAAATTTGCGTTTGTAGATATCAAGAGAAAGTTCTTAATGTTTGTGAATTCTCAGAAGTAATGGAGAGACAAGAAATGGTATTGTCAGAATCATGGGATACCTGTTCTTATGAGTTGTTGTGGAGGCTACTACTAATTATAAGATACGGTAGATACACTGAGGTAGTTGCACTAGATTCTAAATGCGCTGCCGTAGCAATTTTAGCTCTACGCCGTAGTTGACTGTCTATTCACTGTGAGGGGATTGTGGAGCCATATACTACGGTTCACTACCCTATCACAAACATTTTACGGGAAATTGGATGTCAATTTTGTTCTTCAAAAAAGATTATTGTTCTCTATTCTATAGACATAGTTGCTGGTAGCAAGTGCGAGAACACGTGCTGGGTGCCGTACTAAATGCTACGCTAGTGCTGGTTTACACATTAATATATTTCTTTGATACCTATTCTACTAGATTGCTCCCACAGTACCGGGCATTCTATGCTTACTAATACAATCGATTTATCCAAGGGATTAAGTTATACTCTCAAGTCTGACCTCCTTGATGATTGCAGTAAATCTCACACACTATTCTTTAGGAAATCGCAGTGCTAACATGTCGAGTACAGTGCGCTTGGATAGGTGCTTCTCAAATAACATGATGTCTTAGGGAATCCATAATTTATCTGAAGACTGGTTTAATGCATTAAGGCTGATGTTGATGTAGGTTCAATTGGCAATGATTGGGCATCTATCACAGAATCTAAACTACCCAAATCACAGCCACTACCAACCATTGAGACTTTCGTGGAGCTCAAGTCAACTTCTTATTGAAGTTAACGAAATACTACCCTTACCTAGATAGACTCTGAAGGCCCGTTTGAACAGAACTTCCTTCCAAAAGATGTTTCTGCATATTTCGCGAACCGCTAGTATGAATTCAATTTATCACCTCAATCCAAAATCCCTGTCGACCACTAATCACCAACACATCCCGAGACCTGAACATCCAGCTAGATTTTTCGCGAGACTTCAGCAGACTACAGAGCATAGTCATGCTACACCTTGACTTCTTCTATCCACCTTGATTAACCAATAGGATAGCTAAACGAAGAAGTGTCAAACGCCTTACAAACAAGAGGACCTGGAAGATCCTGCTCCTGCTCCACACCCAAAATCTCCGCCGTCTGATTCCAGAATGCTCCTATAGCAGGCATCAACTGATTGCATCTGATAAGATTAACAGGGGCGATATAGTTTAGCAATAAATTATCTTCGAAGTTGGGATCGTCACTAGAGATATTGTTGATACTGAAAAGTGTCTCGTTAACTTTCTGAGTAAGCCGTTCGATAAGCCCCGAACCAAATTGTAGCGGGAATCTGGAATCTCCGTGATTGCTCACAAGGTCGATGAGGGCTTTACGTTGTTGTACTTCGATGTTGATTCCGTGGACGAAAATGGTGTTTTGTAATGTTGTGTTTTTGAAAAAGCCAATGAGGCTTTTGTCAGAGAATCGGAAGTTTTCGGTGGCGTCGTCTATAAGGTCATTGAGATTCTAGGAAAAGCAGTGATAGTTAGCATGATGGCAAGTAGTGCTTGGAGTTCTGGAGGAACATACAATCGCTGCTTCTCGCCATTGATTTATGGTGCTAAATAGGTCTGCCGAAATAGCGGTTGACAGGACAAGAATCAAGGAGATGACAAGTCGGTCAAGTCTCATGTCGCTAATTATCATGTATATGAAAGTTTTGGCTAATAAATTATGGTTGGTCTTGTCAATTGTTGTACCGGAAAGCAAAAATGCAAGTGGTCTCCTAACAAGTTAAAGCTCAAGTGGGTTCAAAGTATTGGAACGTTGATTCAGAAGCACTGCTAAAACGCGAACAAAAAGGCAGAGGTATATGATCTTCTTTATACTAAATCAAATCCCTACAATCGAGCGAATCTTCACAGAAATGCAAAGCCTGCACTCAATATAGCGTCCAGATTATATTTTTAACAACAAGCCCCAGAAACTTTCCGTGATCAATCATACTCAATCTATCTTGGGATGCGCTGATCTATTCTCACTTGCTGCGATGCAAGTAAGCTGAGTATACCACAGTACTGCCACTCACCAAACCCTCGGTACTTAGTGATTCGACTCACCTCATAGAGATCAAACGACTACCCACTCTGAAAACAGTCCATTTGCGTTCTATTCATATGTTGCCAACACGAGTCATTTTGCATTCAGCTAATAACACACTTCATGATCCCAAAACATGATGAGCAAACCAAGCAAAAAGCCTTTTAGCAAACCCGCAGTATCCGTGCCGCACAAAGCCACTTGCTCGTTATGCTATTCTCGTCATCGTCATTATACCATCTTCTCTCGAACCACACTTAGAAGACCCAGATAGCTCTATCATTTCCCTTCCGAGAAGCAAACCAATTTTACGCTGTGTGATGAGGGCTAGAAAACAAGAATATAAATAAATGACCATGATCCCATAATCCATCCACAATACATAGCTACTCATTCAGGACCCATACCCGACATTACCATCTCGGTAGCTGTCAGGACCCAGTAAAACATCGAAATAAAAGTTTGACGTTCGCTACACATCTCGTGTTGTGTTTTCGATACCTTGAAGCTCTAGCTCTTTCCCGAAGTTTCCAATTCCAGGTAGAATATAAAAAGACAAATTCGCGGCTAAATGTGAGCATCAAGCTCAAGTTTACATTCTTGGGAATGTAAACTATTTAAGGTTGCGCCGTATCTTTCCAGCAAATATCAGAATCTAGAATCGTTACTATACAAGACGAAAGGAAAATGACGTACACTGTCGGAGGATTTATCCTAGCTCCTTAGTTGAAGTGGAATCTAACAAGGTAAACTTTCATTTTGATTGTCCAGATTTTATACTAAAAGATCTGACACTAAGAGGGAAATTCAAACTTGATCCGTAAATTGAGTGACACTGCATAACACCTGCCGAGAAACAAAAAGACCAAAATTTTCCAACATCTTCACCTACTCACACGCATCCAATACATAATCACTGATAACCAAATACAACCAAAAAACACTCCTCCCCGACTCCCAAACACATCCCCACCCCATCCATCCTCACACCCACATTACCATCCCCCAAGCGTGAAACCAAACCCCTTAGCAAAAACCCCCTGACTCACACCCCCGGAGCAGGAAACACTCCTTTCCACCCACCAAACCCACAAACTTCAGGTCCACCCGGAACCACACCTCCAAATTCTGCGTCCTCCACGCCCTCAAAATGCCATTCAAATAATCAAAGCACCAGATTCTCTCCAACGCACGAATAAACTATTTTGCCTGACCATCAAACGTCGAACTCTGTGAATTGAGCGCGATGAGATTCCTCAACTTCTCATTGATCCCGCTAAATGCGCTTTGGACGAGATTGTGTCCTTGAGCATCGGGTTTGGTGCTTGCGATGGAGATGAAGAGTTGATCGTTGAAACCGTTGGTATCTGCTTGGGCTTTTGCGTTTGAAAGAATGGTTTGGAGGTCGGTGGGGAAGGTAGGGGAATGGGGCTCAGGTTGTTTAGAAGGTTGGTAGCTTGCTAAAATTTGGATGGATGGTTAGATGGTGTCTAGTTTTGAAACTTTGGAGAGAAACGGGGAGCGCACCTTGATACTGTCATCCCACTCGCTTATTATAGCCTGGGGATCGCTTGTGGTGGCTGTTTGAGGGATTGCGATGGCGAAGGCTCCCATAACCATCAAGACGTAGGTGTTGATAAAATTAGTGAGATGCATGTTGATTCTTTTAGCAAATTGAGGGAGAAAAGTTGGATTAAGAAACAAAAGATAAATGAGATTGAGGATGGCAATGAAGGATTCGTAGACTCGATTTCGAAAGTTAGGTAAACGAAATGGTTTTAAGGATCACCAGTAAAGCAAGTAAAGAAGAAGTATCTGAATGAGAACAAACGACAAAGACCATGGAAACCTCCCAGGTCTTATACCAAATCTCAAACATGCAAGAGCCATAGCGAGGCTCAAGATGTTGGAAGTAGTTCTCAATCACATCGCCGCAGAAATTCATCCATGTGCATACTGTTCTGAGCCACTCACAACAGAACCACCAACATAAAAACACAATTATCAAAACAATCTATTATCATTCAATAATTAGGAACCCCCACGTTAATCCACGCATATGCTATTCCCGACGAATATAAGCTTCTGCGCCGCAGAAAGCCACCCGGGTACTTGTATGCCGGTACCGTTCTTAGATAGTAGGTCAGAACCTAGACTTACGTTATTTATACCATGAGACAGGATACCCGAAACAAAAAAAAACAGGGACCAGGATCCAATGAGGCCTCATCTAAGGTTGAGGCGACAAAAAGGAGAATGGCTGTGCCGTGCCAAGGATTGCGTACATTCTACCTCCCCCATTCACAATACAAACAAACACCAGAACCCCCAACTTCATCTTGAAGCACCTTGCCACATTCTCATGCCTTCGTCAAGAAACAAACGCGGGCTTGGAGCTAGGGCTCTGAGGTCAAGAGGCGCTAAACACAAACTGTCGTGATTTGAAGTGGCGACTGTGCCGCAATTGAAAACATCGAAGTTTCTGATAAGAATTCAGATTATCTATTTCGAGACTAATTGAGGTATACAGAAATACTGATCAAATGGTCAATGTTTTCCCAACAACCAGTTTAGACAACCCTCGATTAGTTGTTGGACGGGAAATACATTCTAGGAAGAGATAAAGCAGTACTAACTATAGAATCATCCCGAGAGATTAAAGGCGCGCTTCATACATATTTATTCTTTACCTGGATTGATAGCTAGATTGGGGGTTAATCTTAGGGACTCATTTAGCATGTATCGAACGAATTGTAGTGACGACATGTTTCCATGTAGTTCGTAATCGGCTTGATTTGAATACTGTAAATCATAATGAGAATACTCGACTCTGTCGAGATCATCAGTGTATTAGTTGATGGTACAGACTGCAGCCTAGAAGAATACAAGTAAGACATAAGCACGACGACAGCTTTTTGAGGAAGCAGTATGTTTTCCGTAGCGCATTGTCCTAGTCATGAGGTGTGATGACTTGATATTATTTGAAACTCAGTGACCATTGGCTGTAAACGACATTGTTTATTCCTGTATCAAATAGGTTGTTATTGCTCAGAGACTTTGCCAGGGAAGTTCTGATGGTGATGCAGGACAGTACAGAGCAGCCGTGGTGCATAAATGAGGTTCAAATCCACCATAAGTTGCTTATATCCTTCCATTACTAGAATCAACTTCCCCCAAAATAATCAGAATGGAAGTTTGCTATCAGTATCATCAACAGACACTTGAAATAAGACTAGACCAAATTAGTGCCAGAGAATGCGACGTGAAAAGAAGCTCGATCAATGTTACTGGCGTGCCTCACTTGCAATATACAACGTTGAAATTATTCTGCCCAAGCTAGGGTATCCGAGAAAAAATTCTCCCGATGAAGTCTAGATTTCTTTCCCGTTTTATGTTTCGAGATTCTAGCAATTCTAGCGGATGATGCTTGATTCCACTGTGAAGTCGGAAGGCCCGACATTTGCGACAAGTAGGATTCTCACCATTTTTCGCCTCGTCAATTACTATAGCTTGAACAAGATCAGATACCAAGTCTTCTTGATATTTTGTGAATAAATATAGCTGACATCAAAACCTCACCAATGAAGTGCATCGAATATCTTATCTATCATCACGCAGCCCATGCATGGAGCACGTCATGAGGGGTACATTGAAGTTTTGCCCACAATATAAATCGCAACAACTACAGCAAACCTTTCGGGGAAATATTTAGCAATGTACATGGTAGATATGCCGACCAACGTAGGGTTATAAATACTGGGTAGTCGATGGTGTCAATGGCAAGGATTATATCGAAATATTAGCAGCCCGAACTTTCGAGGGTGTAGTTCCGCACATGTGGTATGAGATAATTTACATAAATCAACAGTACTTCTATAATATAGAGCGAACATTCGTCGTCACTCTATCAATTTTTTCCATATTGAAGATGACTTCCAACAAAAATGACTTAGTTGTACATGACCACGTGATCGACAATTCCAGCTCAGAAGAAGTGTCGAGCTCGATCATCAAGGAGGAAACGAAGAGAACGTGGACTAGTTATATATGGGATAGTTTGGATAAGTCGCCCCAAGAGAGGCGGTTTCTATTCAAGCTTGATTTAGCGGTGTTGACGTTTGCTTCTCTGGGTAAGTTTTGTTGTCCATTTCCCGGCATTCGGCACTATCATGCAATGAAAAAGAGTTTCCAATTTGACTAATCAATAGTGTAGGATATTTTATCAAGAACTTGGATCAGCAAAACATAAACAATGCATTTGTCTCGGGAATGAAAGAGGATCTAGGCTTGTATGGAAACCAACTCAATTACATGGTCGCAACATGGACTGCAGGATACGTAATTGGCGAGATTCCTAGTAACATTATACTCACTCGAGTACGCCCTTCTATATGGATTCCCACCATTGAAGTAAGTACCCAATCCCTATTGATGATGGCTGAGTATGGTAGCTAAAAGTCTAGCAGGTAGTCTGGACAATCCTGACAATGTGCATGTCGCGCTGTAATAACGTGTCGCAAATATACGCATTACGCTTTTTGATTGGTCTGGCTGAGAGTGGTTTCTATCCGGGAATGCAGTACATTATCGGATCGTGGTATAGAAAGGATGAGTTGGCTAAAAGGTCGTGTATATTTCATGCTACAGGTGCCCTTGGGTCAATGTTTTCCGGATATCTGATGGCTTCCGTGTACCATCTCGGTGGCCGAGGTGGTCTAAAAGGTTGGCAATGGTAAGAAAAGCGAAAGCGAGTATTGTCATCCTGCTGTGATGGTAACTAACCTCTACATAGGCTATTCATAATTGATGGTGTCATTTCCCTTCCCATCGCCATAGCAGGATATTTCATCCTCCCAGATGTCCCAGAAATTGCCAAGGCGTGGTACTTCTCTAAAGAAGTTGGTGATCAACCAGCTCCTTTGTTTTCCTTGCTAATTCTTCAATAGGAATTGGAGTATGGGAAAAAACGCATGGAATTGGAAGGTCGGGAACAAAGAAAGCCGTATACCAGAGCAAAGATAACAAAGATCTTCTCATCTTGGCATATATATGCTCTTACCCTCTTATATGTGTAAGAGTCGAGTAATTCAAAGCAAGATAGATCCAGCTGACGTCCATGCAGAACTTTCAACAATGGGGCGAGCGGAGCGGCACCAGTTTTCTCCCAATTCCTCAAAAACTCGAAGAATCCCAAATATACAGTGGGCCAGATAAACACATACCCGACAGGTACTTCGGCAGTACAAATTGTGACTACCCTTGCGTATGCCTGGACTTCAGATACTGTCTTGAACGGAAAACGCTGGCCACCAATTGTGTTTGGTGGAGCTGTGAACATTGTATGTTATGTTTCTCTCGCGATATGGGACATACCCATTGGATGGAAATGGGCATGTTATTATCTCATGGGCTCTGGGTATGGCCTTTCTGGTCTTTGCATGGCGTAAGTTTCCACGGGCCTCATGTTTCTGTTAAGATACTAACAAATGTGCAGATGGGCGCATGAAATCTGTAATAAAGATAATGAAGAAAGGGCAATAGTCATTGCGACCATGAATGAGATGGCTTATGTTCTTCAAGCTTGGTTGCCCTTGATTGTTTGGCAACAAGTTGATGCTCCGCAGTATCGAAAGGGGTTTATCACCATTAGTGTACTTTCTTTCATTCTCATTCTGACGACATTTGCGATCAGAATATTGTGGAAGCGGGAGCAACTCCGGTAGGTAGCTTGCGGATCAAAGTTGACTGTATCGATGATGCTGATGCAGATTTAGGGAAGCCAGAGACAAAACCGCTGAGTCATTGACAAGTAATGAAAATAATGAGAGGCCATTCGAAGATGTTGGATTGGATGTCGGTAAGGCTTTGGATCTGGATATACGAGAAGGTAGCATCCCTGGTCCGCAGTCCAAAGACCACAGTTCAAGGACCGTCCAATAAGACAAATCGGTTTCGATCTTGACTTATTAAGAGAGATCATAGTGCCACCTCACCCATCACAGCAACAGGTATCCCAGACTGCTATCGTCAGCCGCTGCAATTTGCCTGTCACATCAACTCAACTGTGTGACCGTCTGCCGAAAATCAGAACTGCCCCCCCCCGTTATCCTGAGACATAATCAGATCGGGTATCTGGCCCAATTGTCTGTGGACGGCACATTCTTTCCGTGCGACCAATTATCATACTATACCAATAGTTCAAATGATACAGTATCCATGACTAATACCTAGTACCCAGCTTGATACCGGTAAACCATGCCGTGAATGTTTGAGTGATACTTAGTCATGATGGTATCAATGGCACGTGAATGGTTGATTGTCATTGTCCTATCAATAGGAGTGGGCCCTCATGAGTCGCACGTGGTGGGGTTAGAGATCAACCAATGAAAACCTGGTATTTCAATGAAACCAACAACCTTTCAAAGCTTAAGAATAACAAAGCCTCTCCTTGAAAAATCAAATGATATAAATTCAGAAAACGGAATTTCTAGAGGCAGAAAAAGTAGAGAGATATAATGGTTACTATCAATATCATCAAATTGCATCAAGAGCGCATTAAAATAGTAATGACTGTTAATATAATTTCATCCCCCCAGTTCCCCTCTCTCCCCATTATTCGGACCACACAGGACGAGAAGAGAGAACCGTCCGTCTGGGGTGTAACATGCCAAGACCTTCATCTCGAATTCTGCCCCATTATGTAATCATTCACCGCCTGCTGAAACGACATAGGATCTTCTTCGGTCCAGTCTAAATTTATTATCAAGGTGGGATGTGGGAGAAAAAAAAAATCCTAAACCTTCAAAATGTCGTCAAAGTTATCTTCTGTTCGCAGATATCTGCTCAATTTTCGACCTTTCAGTCGCTATCAATTCCATTTGGGTTGATTGTGTATCTTCCATCTGAAACTTAACTTACAACACAATTATCCGGTTACAACCTTTGTCCAAAGAATCATATTGGAAGAGCCCTAAGAGTAAGTTCGTTCTCCTTCCCCGATAAGTTCGCGAATTTTTACGTCACGTACTCTTCTATGAGTTACACCACGATGAATCTCCTGAACTTATTCCGGCGAAAAGTACGATTTGTTACACTCATAAGCAGGATTCTGCGAATCCAGTTTGTTTGAATTTATATCCCCTCAAATTTGACTTTTATTCCTTATCAGTAACGGAACTGACGGAGTCGACGTAGAATTCCAGTAATTACTCCATAAAACTTTTACAAAATGTGCGGAATTCTCGGTCTGATCTTGGCCGCATATGACGACCCTAATTCAACCACCGCGGCATCGCAAATACACGAGGCTCTTTACTATTTGCAACACAGAGGACAAGATGCCTGCGGAATCGCTACATGTGCCGCTGGAGGTCGAATCTATCAATGCAAGGGCAACGGCATGGCTTCAAGAGTATTCCAAGATGGATCTCGCATTCAGGATCTTCCCGGCTTTATGGGCATCGGTCACTTGAGATACCCCACAGCTGGAAGCAGTGCTAGTGCCGAAGCTCAACCTTTCTATGTCAACAGTCCTTATGGAATTACCTTTGCGCACAACGGAAATTTGATCAACGCTCCAGAGCTCAAGCGCTTCCTCGATTTCGAAGCTCATAGACATATCAACACCGACAGCGATAGTGAGCTGATGCTCAACATCTTTGCCAATGAGCTCAATGAGACTGGAAAGGCCCGTGTAAATGAAGAAGATATCTTCAAGAGCTTGGAAAGAATGTATGGCAGATGTGTTGGAGGTTGGGCATGCACAGCAATGTTGGCTGGGTTCGGCATCCTCGGTTTCCGCGATCCACACGGCATTCGTCCCCTCATCTTGGGTTCTCGAGTAACCGAAACAGGAGCCAAGGATTATATGATGGCTTCTGAATCAGTTGCTCTAAAGCAACTCGGATTCAGCGATCTCGTTGACATTCTTCCTGGACAGGCCGTCATCATCAGAAAGGGATCGGAACCTCACTTCCGACAAATTGTTCCACAAAAGAACTATGCTCCAGATATCTTCGAGTATGTTTACTTTGCTAGACCTGATTCTATCATCGATGGAATCAGTGTTCATAGAAGTCGACAAGCTATGGGAAATAAACTCGCCGACACAATTAGCAAGGTTCTCGGCCCTGAGGCAGTCAAAGAGATCGATGTCGTTATTCCAATTCCTGAAACCTCCAATACATCAGCTCAGAGTGTTTCGAAACGTCTCAAGATACCTTACTGCGAAGGATTCATCAAGAATCGTTATGTCTTCCGTACTTTCATTATGCCCGGACAAGGTGCTCGTCAAAAGTCTGTTCGCCGCAAGCTTAGTGCCATGGAGTCCGAATTCGCGGGGCGTACAGTTCTCTTAGTTGACGACAGTATTGTTCGTGGAACGACCAGTAGGGAGATTGTATTGATGGCCCGTGAGGCAGGTGCAAAGAAGGTCATATTCGCTTCCTCTGCTCCACCCATTACCCACGCTCATATATACGGTATTGATCTTGCATCACCTCAAGAACTTGTCGCACATAACCGTGATAGATACGCGATTGCTCAACATATCGGTGCGGACGAAGTCATCTACCAGTCATTGGAGGATTTGAAGGCAGCATGTGCAGAACTTTCTCCTCGCGATCCAAAGACACAAGAATTTGAAGTTGGTGTTTTCTGTGGTACCTATGTAACACCGGTTCAAGATGGTTATTTCGAGCACTTGGAACAAATTCGAGGTGAAACTCGTAAGATGAAGGTTCTGGAGAGTGCGAAGGAAGCTGTTATTCATGGCGTAGCAGGAGAAAAAGAATTCAATCTCATCAGCCAGGGAGCAGTAGTAGATTCAAATGGCCAGGTAGTTCCCGATGTCAGCCAAGATCAGGCCAGCAATGGAAATGAAAATGGCAATGCGAGGCCCAAGCTAGAGTCTAGCGAATCTAGCACACCTTCGGTCAGAGATCGTCAAGATATCAGGTATGTTTACTCGCTACCACAACCTTACTCTAGACAAGACATTGACTTTTGATAGTTTACATAACTTTGCAAGTGACTCCAACAGAGATTACAACTGAAATTTTGGAATTTAGAAGTAAACTCAAACTTTAGCAAACTTTTAGACTAGATACAACCATGGCGCGGCTTTTTGAATTTGGCTACTTTGGCCAGATCGGCAATTCAACGAATACCAAAGAGATTTCAATGTACAATATTGTTGCTGGAATCATATCATAAATAATCATCGCGCGACTTGTGAAGTGAAGGAAAATAGACTGTCAGAACCATCTCAGCATGTGCTTCAGACTGAGTGTTTACATATTATGTATCTTCGTGCTAGAGCCCTGCTACATGAACGCGCATCACTCGCCAGTACTATTCTTGCTTTCCAATCACAGTTTCCTTATTTTGCTCTTACACCTGAGCATTACAGATGAAATAGATCATGCCATGTTTCCATCTATTCATACGCTTCGCTTCGAACATGAATGATTATTATATCGTCTTCATTCTCATCATCGCATACCATCCAAACATGCCGCCTTCACTTTTTCCCTATCACATATGTCAGAAAATGAGGGCATAGGTAATAGTAGGTGCTCGCTTAGATTCTGGTACCAACAACTTGGTTCGTAGACAAGGTTTGCAAAACCAACCGTTGCAAATAGTGTGTGTCTCAAATCTCGCATGTTGGTTCGTGACTACTCCGCCTCTTTTATTTCGGATGCATCGGGGGGGACAACTCGATATTTTGTGAGTTGGGAATTATTGTAAATGTATGTTAGAGGCGCATGGGAAGCCTGTTTGTTTGTATATCAGTGTTGTAGCGTCTCTCAATGGTTCTCTAAGCGGATGATTATTGCGGATGCCTGTGAGAGGGGGTTTGCTGGGATGGGGATGTTGGGTTTGAGGCGTGGGGCTTCTGTGGTTGGGGATGGGGATGGGGATGGGGATGGGGGTGGGGATAGTATGGGGGTCTATGGAAGTTTTTGAATGAGAGATGGCTTGGTTGGAGACTAGGACTTTTCATCGGTGGTGCTGCGCTGTGGTGGGTTTCGGGTATTGAGTTTTGGGAGCACGCATTTGGAATGGTTGTATGATAATGGTTTCTCCGGGTGTGATATTCGTGATATAAATATTCGTAAACCTCCCCCTCAACGTTAAATTCTCAATTCCAAAACCAAACAGCTATCAGATTATTTCTCATTAAGACAGTGCTATCATCTGTTATCTATCATCTTCTTTGATCATTCCATTATATACTCAGCTTTGTAACCATCTAGCAGCCATGCATATCACTCTCGCACGCTCTCTCGCCATCTTAGGCGTTTTCACCTACTCTTCCACTGCATTAGTATTGCAGCAAACATCCGCCGGTTTTCAAAATGATTTGGAACCTGAAGCAAATCTTCACGCGCGCAATTTAGGTCCCTTTGGTCAGCAAGGATTCAACATCGCTACATATCTCAACAGCAATCCCACCCACACCGAGAGCGCAGTGACTTCTCAAATTATAGCACCAGTGCCTTCGATTACTGCTGTAATTAGATTTATCCACATCTCTTCATTCCGTGTTGAAAATCTGAAAGTACTAATCCTCGTTCGTGATTTAAGGATTCGAGCTGGAAGGATAAATTCCTCACTCCTACAACTACTATAACTATTCCCGCCTCTACAATTTACTACACCGAAACAACCGTTACCATTACCCCTCGTGGTATCAATACACTCGCAGCCAATTCCGCCATGTTACAAGTAACCCAAGCACCACCGCAAACATTCCACACCATTACAACCAGTAGGTCGTCCGCACTCGCTTCATCGATTTCTCGTCATGAGAAAGAAAAACGTGGGTGGGAAGAAGATAAAAAGGCTTGTGAGGCGCTGGTGCAGTCGGAGGTATTGAATTGTTTGGAGAGCAAGGGCTTGTTGGTGCCGTGGACGACGGTTACGGAGGTGCTGGGGGGGAAGACGATGCTTTTGGTGGAGGTTAGTGTGGGGGCGGGGAGGGGAAGGAGGGAGGCGAGGATTACGGGGAGGGTGTGAGGGTGGGATGATGGTTTTTTTATTCTGTTTGGATGCTTTAGCCGTGTGTTTTGGAAGTGGTCGTGAAGGGGCTGAAGGAGTTGCATGGTTAGTGGGTGAAGGGGTGAATAAAGATTGATAAGCGAGAATGTTGATATCAAGTTGAAAATTGAGTCGCTTGAAATTGGGAGTACCTATTAGAATAGAAGATTGTACAGGTGAAATTTTTCTTACTATAGATTTTGCTATCGACATATCCGAATTTTGAATCATCAGCAGCTGTGTTTCGTATAACTTTTTTGAGTATGTGAGAATGAAGTGAGAAGAAGCAACATCAAGAAAGATCTTAAGTTGGTTCATCTGTATACTTTTTGAGCACACATGGATTTTTGATAGTGTCTTATTCATCGCAAATAAGTAGGGTGGCAGATTAGATTTGGACGGGGAGGTTATCCAGATTTCTAGGCTATAACCTTTGAAAGTGATACATCTCAGAACCTTCATTCTTCTGAGCTGTTGACTTTCAAGATAGAAACTTCCGGTATCTGATCGCACTAGATATGTAGGGAGGCGCTCACTAGCAGGTAATGCACGAATGAGCTTTCAATGTGAGAGAACTGTGAAATAGTTGAGTATGAATTGTAATGAAGAAGATTTCTTGTTTTTTTAATTGACAGGCAGATTATCGATCGCTGGATTGACGTCACGGGAGTTAGTTTATTGGTCTCCTCGAAATCGTTCATTTCGGATATCAAACGTGTTTCAGGCACTAGAAGCAAGTCGGGACTACAGGACGCATTTTTCACCCACAACGGAGATGTCTGCTCCTTCCTTCGCGATCAAGTTTGGTGATGGTTCTTGCTTGTCGTCCTTTTTTCACTCGTCTATACATTGGGTACATTTCTACACTCTTCCATCTCCCTTTTTAATCATCCCTTAACCACAACACATTCATTATCTTTGGTCTTCATTCTCGTGTATCGCTCTATCTTACTTCGGGATAATTGGAAACTTAAATTTAAATATTCTTTTGTATATCGAGAAATTCATAATCATGGAACCAACAAGCTCAGAACTTTTTAACTCAAGACTTGTAGGACAAACATTTCAAACCATGAAACTTCTAGGACCAAGCCCCCTAGGATCAAACCCTCTAAGGGCAAGATCTCTAGAATCAACTCCTGCGATATCAGCCCCTCCAGTTTTAGTCCCTCTCAAAGCAGGCCCGAACTTGCACCTATCAAAGCCTAAACTAGAACGTGTTGCATCGCATCCAATTCCCCTAAGAACTTTGATTACCCTTCTCAACTACGAGCGCGTAACCTCGGATATGCGTTATGAAAATACCAGTCTTTACCATAGCTCAGAGATGGAAAGTAGAAAAAACCCCGAGGAGTTCAACACAGGGTATACAGAGGGGGCGCGATGTTTCTGCTACGACGACAGTCCTTACCCACCAGATCAACAAACATGGCGACAAACCACCTGCAAAGTACATCCTGAAGCACCTCCTGAAACAAGACGGCTAAATTCTACGCAACTTGAGCGCGCATTTTTTGAGTCCCGGAGTGCACAGTGGGGTCCTGGATGTGAGATTATGTTTCAGCTTTTTTTCAGTTTTTGTGGGAAAGATCAACAACTGAAAGTCCAAATTAGCGATGAGCAACCAGTTTTGGTGAACGCCGCTCACATGCACGTATTGGATTTTCTTTTGATAAATCCGAAACATCGAAATCTCAACGGGATACATCAAACGCCAGATGGTGTCTTTCAAACACTGATGTTAGAAAGGTGCAAAGGAAGCGTTCTGATCTTCCCTCTACCGATAGATATGGTTCCATCGAGTAACAGCGAAAATATTATTGTTGATTTCGATGATTGCTTTGTGGTTGATATGCTACATATGCGATATGGTAAGAAGGGATTATTTGAGGAGCCCTACTTTCTAGGCAATGGTAGGCAATGGAAAAGTTTCATGCACGTCAATGTTTCTGAAGATCTTGTAATACCACGTGCATTAGAGCAACCCGGTTTTACAGAGAGTCGAGAAGAGTTTTCTGTGCATATTTGGGATTGGTTTTATAATCATTCACTAAGAGCCTTTCATAGATGGATAGCGAATGACCAAAATCCAAATTTTCTATGGTGCGACTATTGTGGAATCGGAGGAGCAAGATTTATTGAATGTTGTGGAGAGGGGGATGAGATGACCAGATATTGTAGTGAAGAGCACGGACAGAGAGGATGGGCATTACACCGATTCACTTGTAAGAACAAAGCCGAGGATTTGTAGGATGTGGACTAGTGTTGGGAGTATTGTGGATTCGAACTTGATAGCAGATTTAAAACTCGTGGGGACTGTGAAAATAGTGGGAAGATATTTGATTGTTGTAATTCAAAGCAGCGATAGAATGGGTGGCAGTTACACCAGTATCGATGCGAACGCAAGAAGTATCCCGCGACTTGGTAGAGGGAACTCAAGCAATCGGTGAGAAAATGAGAACATCAAGTCGACTGCTTCGATAGGGTGACTGCAACTCAAGCGTTTTTGTTCGGGGAGGAGAACTCTAGCCAGCGTCCAGTAGTTTTACATGCAAATGTACTACACGTTTCCATCTTGAAGTCATTATGACATTTTGACATTCAGAATACTCTTCAAAAAAGAAGCGACATGGAGACACAAGCTATGTTCTCATCTAACTCTCGTTCTCCAGACAAAATTCCAAATCGCATTGTCTGGGACACAATGAGGCAATGAGTACGATCGGTTCTAGATTTCCAATCTTACCCTTACCATCAAGGAAACACTATCGTTGTTGAAGGCTAAAGATGACGTCCAAGTACTAATTGGAGAGGGCGTGGTTTTGAGAGAATTTCTATCCCACCCTTGAAGTCTAGAAATGCCACTCATTGCTCAGAATCCCCCAGTCCTCATGTTGCTAATGGATAATGCGCTTATATGCGTAGTTTCTCATCCGTAGTTTCTCATCCGTAAGCGTAATATCTAAACTCGATCCTCATGATCCAAATCGATGTCTCTAGAGTAGTAGATATCTCAAAGTATCAGTTCATGAACACCGGTATATATAACATCAAGAAATGTTACGCAGTCTACAATACTTTGTAGGACGAATTGAACACTGTAATATTTTGTCTGCCACCATAATTGCAATGCTTGGATGAGTTGGCATATTCGCGGCAGAAAATACAACTTGTACTATATATTTTTCTTCCCCTAGTATGAGATTTTGGCTTCATACTAGAATTCACGTCGTGAGACCTAGCTCTTCGTGTCTTTCTCTCCTCACTTCAACCAGCACATTGTAGGTTGGAATCCAATCCAGTAATCTTAACCCAATCCCATGATCATAGTAAAGTCACGGGGAAATCGGATCGAATAACGCCTCTCATCCTTCCTAACATCTACTACGGCATAGTACTTCAAAGGACAACCCGATGCAGTAAAACGAGGCCCTTCGGTCCGTGTTTTGCATATAGGCTGAATTGATTTACGTAGTTCAACGTTGTCATCTTTCGGGGTCTTGTGCGGAAAGTTCCGTGATGAAATTAGCAGGGATTAAGCTCTCCCCAGAAATTTGTTTGGGCCATCATTGCGAAGCTGCTTATTCCTTTTCTCGCAAAGTTGTTGTTCTTCGAGAGCATGTTTTGAAAGGGTTGATGATCATTCAGTTGTATGAACAAATTTCTGTGTTTCTTCTGGTAAATGGGCATAGTGCTGGATACCCTCTTTTGAAAATAGGCCCCCCAATCGGCCAGCATAACCCAGTATCTACCAATATTGCTAAGGTGCAATCGACGAAATGGAAAGAGACCACCCCCTTCCAGATGGACCCTTTGCAGGCTGGAAGCATTCAGATGTGTACGTTGAGTTGGCGCAGAAAACTTGGGAACTATTGCTAATCTAGATGTGTCTCTATAGTGAGAAGCTCATGTTCACATTAGCCGCTGGGGCCACAGCAGTTGTTGGATGTATTCTCTACGGAACAATTCGTTTAATTGAATGGTATAATGCGGAGCCAATTTTACGCTATTCTATTGCTGAACTCAAGGCACCAGAGGATAAGAAGATTCTGGAAAATCCGAGCATCAAGGTTGGTGGAAACAAGATGGGCACAGGGGCAACGATGCTGATGATATATAGACCGCCGAATCCTCAAAAATTCGATGTTATGCTCCCGCGACTGGTCAATTCCTAGGATATGTCACCCCTTCAACCCCCGAAGATATTGATAGAGCAATTGAGAAGGCACATGTCGCACAAAAGAAATGGGCGCGAACTACATTTACTCAAAGGCGACAGGTACTACGCTCGATGATGGCATACATATTGGATCACCAGGATGAGCTTTGCAGGGTCGCATGTTTGGATTCAGGCAAAACCATGATTGACGCCGCATTAGGAGAAATCTTAGTGACTGTCGAGAAGCTTAACTGGACTTTGGAACATGGTGAAAAGGCATTGAGTCCTTCTCGAAGACCTACGAACTTGCTCATGATGTATAAGAAGAATACGGTTCAATACGAACCCTTGGGAGTTGTCGCTGCTCTGGTCTCTTGGAACTATCCTCTTCACAATTTGCTTGGCCCAATAATCTCCGCGATTTTCTCTGGAAATGGAATTGTGGTGAAAGCATCCGAAAATACAGCTTGGAGTGCACAGCATTTTTCTCTTATTGCAAGAGGAGCATTATATGCATGTGGTCATGACTCTAATTTGATTCAAGTTGTTACATGTTGGCCAGATACCGCGAATCATCTCTCGTCTCATCCTAGGATCTCTCATATTACTTTCATCGGTAGTCGACCAGTCGCCAAATTGGTAGCTGCGGCAGCATCTAAGCCTTTAATTCCAGTCGTCGCGGAACTTGGAGGGAAGGATGCTGTGGTTGTCATGAATTCCGCCGTCAAAGACCTTCCACGTATCACCGAAATCCTCCTTCGTGGTACATTTCAAGCCGCTGGACAAAATTGTATTGGTATCGAACGAATTATTGGTCTCCCAGACGTTTACGACAAAATTGTCGCAACACTCGAGCCACGAATTCGAGCTCTTCGAGTCGGCTCTGCTCTCGACTCTACTGCAGAATCGCCAGTTGATGTCGGAGCAGTCATTTCTGATGCTTCATTTGACCGACTCGAGAAATTGATCGCAGGAGCTGTCTCGGATGGAGCTCGTCTATTGGTTGGCGGTAAACGTTTTAACCATCCAGTCCATCGCTCTGGACATTACTTTAGTCCTACTCTACTCGTCGATGTCACCCCTGAAATGGCTATTGCTAATGAAGAGTGTTTCGGACCTATTTGTGTTGTTATGAGAGCCAAGAACCCTGAAGATGCTTGCAATATTGCAAACCAACCTGATTTCGGACTCGGTGCATCAGTCTTTGGATCCAAAGATTGGGAACTAAACGCCATAGTCAAGAACATCAAAGCTGGTATGGTAGCTATAAATGATTTTGGTGCATACTATGCAGTCCAATTACCATTTGGCGGCGTGGCAGGTAGTGGTTACGGAAGATTCGCAGGTGAGGAGGGCTTAAGGGGACTTTGTAATATCAAAGCTGTCTGTGAGGATCGTTGGCCATGGTCTCCTGCTTGTACTGCTATTCCTCCCCCACTTCGATACCCGATTCCGGACACTACAAAAGGCTTCGCATTTACGAAGGCGGTGGTGAACATTGGGTATGGAGCTGGGGTGAAGGGTAAATGGAGGGGAATTAAAGTCATGTTGGGGATGAATTAATTGGAGATAGAGTAGTAATAGATGGAATGAAAGGCTGGCTATCGTTATAGGCGGACGTCTTTATCAAGGGTGGCAAATTTCTGAGATAATATCAAATGTAAGATACCTTTAGTTATGCGAATATTTATCATGTACATTTGAAAAGACAATCTCCGCAAAGGCCCTTTCTTGAGGGCCACAAGAGAAAGCGGCAATAGAAGAACTCGAACAAACTAAGTAAGGCAAATGTGAATTGTTTCCAAAATGCTTTATCAGAACTGGCGTTCAACAATTGAATACGCTTCATTTTATGCAAAGATTCCCTTGTTTCTTAGTGGTGACTACCTACCAGTACATAGCCGATCCATCTAGTGTACAAAATCTGGTAGAGTACTGAATATGACTTTCCACGCAAATTTTGCGCGAGTCAAACATCCAATTACGAACTTGCTCCAAGTCTCCCATATCTCATCAAAATTGATTTTATATAATCTTGTCCAGATCTATCTATAATATATATTTGTGGTCCCTATTCATTTACGCTGATTCCATCTTCCTCTCCAGCACTTGAGCTTAGTACGTGTGAGAGTCTCAATTAAGCAAATCCTATTGCTTTTGAAATATCACAAATGAATCTCGACAACTGGTCCATTCCATTCATGTCTTCCTCGTATAATATAGTATATTATACTAAATATCATTACAGAGCCAGTAACCAAAGAGCTGTAGTTCATGTTCGCTGCAGTAACAGGTAATGCAGAGGGCCAAAAGCTGAAGAACAGAATAATAGTCAAGTAAAGAATAGCGAAAGTGTTGTTGATAATACCGAATACTCCGGGAACATGCCATGGTCCTATTATTTTGGCTCGAGTTAGTTTTGCAACACTGAAAAAAGAAGATGTGTCTTACCCCAAACCAATTGAGCACCTGTAGTGTTTACCAAAGCTGGTCCGTCAGAGATGTCTACGCGTTTTTGAAACCCTCCAGTGAGACGACGATATAGTAAGAGGACGGCGCAGATGAGATATGAGCTGTAGAGACCAGCGACAGATAAAGATACAACATCGTTGAAGACGGTCGCGGACCCAATATTGATCAATGCAAGTAAGCATGAGACAACGCATGTGATAGCGATAGACCATAGCGGAATCATAGTGCGACTATCAACCTAGATCAAGATGCAGAGCCGTGTTAGTGTCAAATACAATATAGGCCAAGAACAAATTTGTAGGATCAAAAACAGTGTTGCACACCCACCTTTGAAATGGTTCTCCAACCAGGCACACCATGATCTCTAGCAAACGACCAAAGCATACGGGATGTCGAAGCGAGACTGCCAACAGTAGCGCATAGACCTAATACAGCCACTAGCGACGCCATAGTTGCCGATCCACTCACAGATCTAGTCGCTTGGAAGAAAATCTCGATAAATGGGTATCCGGTGTCTGTTGATAACGCCGCATCAATGTCTCCAAGACAAAATAGAATTGCTATTATCATTGCAAAACCCATGCTTCCGTTCAATATTACGCTCAGGATGATGGATCTGGGTACTACGAGAGATGGATTGCGGATTTCTTCTGACATCTGCATTGCGTGTTAGTCTCCTTTGAAATTCTCGCTAGGCATTATTCATTGCCTCGTTTAATAGAAGACTTACATGGAATGCTCCATCCGCACCTGAGAAGACAGTGTTAACACATTATACAACTACCCTCGAAAGATATCAAAAAGCTTACCAAGAAACGCGAAAACATTTCCAATCAGCCCGACAAAAAACGAAAGTCCCTGACTTGACCAATTTCCTTCATTCAGCCAGCCAGTAAACACATCCTTTGCCGAATCATGCGGTGCTAGTATAACCAAAGGGATCAAGATACTAAAGAAGCCTAGAATATGTAGAACCAGGATCAAACCTTCAAACTTCGGTAATAAACTACTAACTACCGTATTGATAAAGACTGCGAAGAAAATCGCTGCCCAGTACAATAACGTGCCTTGCCACGAAGTTTTCGACGCCGCATACGAAGGAACAGTCAACACGATCAAACCCTGAATAATCGTCCCGGTGAGATATCCACCCGAAGCAACAAGACCCTGCCACCCAGTAACAGTCAACCAGCCGGTTATATAGCTCAGAAATTTAGAGCAGCGAGGCGGCGCAAGCATCGAAACCCAATGGTACTGACCACCCGAAGTGGGAGCCATAGAAACCAGCTCCGAGAGCGTGGAAAACACAGAGAGATTTCCAATCCAGACGAAGATAAAGCCGTAGATTATTCCGGCGGGGCCACCATTTTGAAGACCGCTGATGAATACGGTCAAGCTCCCTTCCCAGGTTATCAGAATGGTGCAGCTGAATCCGAGGATGGACATGAATGCAAAGTTTCTCTATGGAGTTGTTAGTTTATGATGGATCGTCTTGTGGAAATTTGGGTTGGTAAGCGATGGTTATGAAACTATACATTTAACGGACCTTCAGAACTGGCTTTTTCCCCAATCGTATCAATTCATCTCGATCTCTACTTTCTCCACTATCATGGCGTGTTAGATTTTTGTTATGAACGGCGCCGAGCTCCACAGCTTCGACTTCATCATCGCGTTTATGTGTGGTCATTTTGGTGATATGGATGTTAATTTGTTGACTCTCGAACCTCAGAGTTGAAGATGTCTTCAAAGAGAATTTCTCATTTTCTTTCCTCTTAAAACAATAGAAAGTGAGGTGATTTATCCAAACGATGTGCTTGCAGAGATTAGATGGTTACAGGCTCTCACAGGGGTCTGATAAAAATGCTACATGTGTTTTTTTATCCATGGAGTTGCACATGTACAAGAGCCGATCCGTTGTTCTAGACTGGGATTTGGACCCCTGATACATATCAAGAATACAAATCATTCCTGGAGGCACTAGTCCGGGGTTTGTTTTGTGTTATGCGGTAGTTTCATGCTCCTGGAGAGATTTCAAATATGGTGGATACTGATTGATACTGATGTCGTGAGACTTTCTTCTATCTATCTAATTTACATTTAATTTACATCTGATTTCCACGTACGAGGTTTGGTTATGATTCTAGATTGACTAGATTCGCTGTGTCCGTCCCATAGATTTCCTTCATCGATTACCATAACGGCATCTGGTTGAGCAGCTAAAGGGGCCGGCGCAAATTCCGACAGTTTCTGGCTCTCTAAATTTCTCCGATGCGCAAAGCCCAATTTCTGGCTGATCATCTTTGCTATCTTTGATTTTTTGATCCCTCGAGAATCAGAGGTGATGCGATTAGAATCACGATCATCTTCTACCGCCCTGCCACCTCGTCGACGCAAGTCATCCAACCGTAACAATCCCGACTCTAAACTATCGAGAAACATTTTCAAGTATGGAACACATGCTGTGATAATGCTAAGGCATTGCACGATCTGGTTGCAAATTGTCGTTCGCCACGGATCAAAGGTTGGATCTTGCATCCTTTGGTTCAAATAAAATAGCTGGCAGCATACAGCAGCAATGACACTAAATGTAGTTTAGTAGATTAAATTTCTAAATGTTGTTGTACTGATACTGACCAGACACGAGTGCCAAAGATACATATCAACGTGAGTTTTCTACTCCAGGTAGTCTGTATATGTAATGCTATGAATGCTATAAGCAATATTAGACTGGCATCGCTCACAATGTTAACGATTGCGCTATAATTCCAGAAAGCTGTCTTGGTCAAAGAATATCAGCAAGAGTTCAAATGCAAAGGTAGAAAGTAGAAAATACTGACTTGATTGAAACATTCGCCGGATATGCTATCCCATACTTTCGAAGACCGGCACTGAAAGACAACGGCCAAAATAGAAGTAACAGCCCATAATGATATCACACTCCCAAGAACTTTTGTCGCTATCCTCTCAGCTGCAATAGGTGTGAAGTCATAGATGAACATTACTATAGACATTTTTGCGAAGAACAAGCTCGTGATATAAAGTATACTTGCTGAAAAGTCTGCCTAGAGCACTATCGATTAGTTTGGTGTATTAATCTTGAATTATGATCAAATACTTTCAGAATCATCTCTACTTGCTCGTCTGTCAATGTTTCGAGAAATTTACCAAACCCATTTGCACATTGAATTGCAACCGCAATTGTCTGGCCGATGGAAAAAACCTACAAGTCAACTGTCAGAACACTTCTGCATTTTATCAGAACTTGCTTCGCTCGCCATTGATATCATTACGAAATGATCTTGCCATTCAAACTTCTCCGAAATAGCCAATTTCGTACTTAGATGCGCACATACTCCTAGAGCTGAGGCAGTAATTGGAATCCACACAAATATCTGCACCAAAGGAGTCTTGTTGGAACTCGTAATAAGAGCCTGGGTTTGGTTCATGTTAGATGCCGAAAGGGGGAAGTGAAGGAGAGAAGAAAACGGGCTGGTTTGAAATGAATGTTCTTGTCGAAAGGCGAACCAAGAAACAATATACGATGTGGTCTAATCATGCTTGTAGACTATGATGTTTAACGGTGATCTTAAGACAAGTAGGTAAATGGAAGACCGGGAATCATGACAATACTTGTTCCCTGAGCGATAGCATTCAAACTTCAAACATTACGAATGTCAAGGGGAGGTTATTATGACGCTCCTAACAGTTGGATAAAGTCGGCCTCATTTGCATGGAACATGGTTGGTATGTGCGACTGGTAAATGCAAATCTTGATTGACATTCATTGCGATATGCCAAAGCTCGTAGAAGATTGCTATCAACAGATTCAGGTAACACGAAATTCTAGTGATCCTATTTCATGATTTTGCGTTGAAACTTGATATCACATACCTTTTCTTCCAAAATGAAAAGCTCTATCCTAGAAGATGTGACGGCTGAATGCTCGGCGCTATTACGAGGTGTAGTTTGTGATTTTCCAGCTTTTGCTTGGAAGCTAAACCATTGTAAACTGTGATTGGAATCTAGGATTGAATGCTTGCCACACGATCCTGGTGCCGTTTCCCCATAAGGCAGCTCGAAGAAGATTATGAAGCAAAGGAACCCTTCTCGGACTATGTATGTATTTCGGCAAAAGAAGGGTGACGACTTCTCTGCTTGATAAGAATTATCCTTTTCATGCCAGTTGCATATATTGATGTAACGTTGACATACCTAAGCCCCGCACTACACTTGGCTCAGAGTCTTATTACCTTTTCATTTCAAACGACTGCGTCTATGCCCAAGCCCCATCAGGGAATGTCTAGTCTGGACGAATCGTTGGTGCGGGATCACTACCGGCAGTCTGGATGGCCCTGGCTTAGTGCTTACTGGCCCACTCTAAATTATCCGGGCTTTGTTCCGGACCCTAGTTCCCATAGCTTCTTAGGGTTAACGAGATCCAACTTCAATGAAACGCGACTTTGTACGGTACTTCAAGCAATGTGTAACCAATCCAATTCTAGGAATAGCTGGCACATGTAATTATCGCCTAGTTCTCGCCTGTTCAGAACGCTCGAAACGACCTCACTTCTGTCCATCTCAACGATATGACTACATGTTAGCACTCGGAAGTCTCGAAATGACTCTCCAGCTTCAACCCATTGATTTCGAGGTTGGTTTTCCTGCGCTTACACGGTGCTTATTTGAGTCCTATGAAAGCCCTTTGCAAAAGTTCTTTCATCTTTGGTTCCCCATCCATGGAACAAGTGACAATGCCCGCGAAGATGCGATTAATGAAGCAACAACTCGGCTGAAGCTATGGCATACGCACGATCCATCGAGTTACTGGCAAAAAGTCGTCGATACCGAAAATGGAAGAATTGCAGGAGGGGCACTATGGAAAATCTACAATGAAAACCCATTTGAAAACCCACCCCCTTCTACTGTGACTTGGTTTCCTAACGATAGCTCCCGCAAGTATGTCGAGCAGGCACTGCAAACACATTCTAGACCTCGGTATAAAGTGGCGCAGAAACCACACATCTGTGAGTAAAATAGTCAAATTTACTGCTTGGAATTGACCGAAGTACAAGATCTTCATATCGTATTTACCCATCCAGACTATCGACGCAAAGGGGTCGGTCAACAGTTTATGAGCTGGGGTATCAAAAAAGCGGATGAGTTAGGGTATGAGTTTCTTCTAGATGCAACGCCGTACGGACGACCTCTATATGATGTGAACGGTTTTGTCTACGTCGAAGAGAACATCAACCATCCACAGACCGACAGTCCGGATAAAGAATGGAAGGATATCGATGAGAGAGTAGGCCCTTTTACTTTCTGGCTCATGAGGAGGCTTCCTGGCGATAGAAGTGTGGTAGAAAAATAAAGCAAGTAGTGGGATGATAATCGAAAACAACCTTTACCAGCAAGTGAAGTTCCAAATACACTTGACTATTCTCCTTAAACTTGCATCGAATGCGAAGTAAACCTTTCCTCTCCGCATATCTCGAGCATCAATTTCTGAAGCATTGCATTCACAGATAAGATGTGCCAGGCGTTCAAATAGGTAAATGAGCAGCCTTAGATGATAATGGTTGGAAGCTCGTTCCAGCCTGGGGTGAAAAGGGAAGAGTCAGTCGTATAGATGTCGCTGTTTTCAAGCAGAATATTTTACTCTGCGGAATCGCATGCATTGACTGCAAAAATCTGCTTGAGATCAAATACTCCGTGTATATCATGTCTCACCCATACCAATCGTTCCCCGTCAGAGTTGGGCATCAGGTAGATGTATCTGATCTTTCAAACTCCATCATCCTCCAACATTTGTATATCTCATATCAATCTCTAGATATTTGATATACATGTTTGATTATCAAGGGACCCAGAGAGTTTCTTTAAATTTCCCATAACTGGCCAGTGAGAATTGATATCTGGTTGATCAATGAACTGCAAAGACGAAGACAAGTAAGTACTCAATAGGTATGGTTGAGGTAACTAACCATGTTCACAGCTTTCTTTCCTCTCCTTGTTTTTTACATGACAAACAATTCACAACATCCTTATCATTTCGTTTTCGTCCATTCACCAGCTGTATTCTGATAGGATGATGTATCAAGGTGAATGTCAGGACTAACCAAGAAATAAACCATTTGCATCTCTTTCCAATCAAGAAAAAAGAGTGAATGAACTTTTATGGCTTGATTTTATCCAGATAATTTGTAATGAGAATTTCAATTGAAGTGAATTTAGCATTTTCTCTGTTTCTTTTGAGTTCTGATCATGAATAACAAGATACATCAAAAGTTTCTAAAATCATTTCTCAACATCCTTCTTCTACTCGTACTCTGTGATATATTTTCACAAATTATCCCGAAGTTTCCCCAAGTGGAAAGATACTAGAAAAGATAGCTAGTGTTTCTGACGCTCGAGCCTCTCTACAGTCAAAGTCCATCAAACAACTACTCATTTTGTATTAGTGAAAGTATCAGTGGCGTCGATATTGTCATCATAGAGAATATAGCTTCATTCTTCATTGTCAAAGGTATATTGACATCTCATCATTCGTACTTCTACTCACTCTTCGCATCTTGTTTTCTTCCACCTCACAACCACAATTCATCTCTATTCTTTCTTACAATCGGTCTATCATTTCTGCCCTGCATCTCTTTACTTCTATCATTCAGTCTCTTCCTTGAGCTGCTTTTGATTATATCCTCCAAATCAACATCCAATTCAGTTAAGGTCAGGTTTCAAGATTCTCAATTTCATCATGCCCACTCGAGCCGCCACCAAGGCCGCAGAAGCTGCTGCTGCTTTAAACTCTGCAGCAGCAACTCTTTCATCTCCACCAAATACACCCGCCGACGGGAAACAAATTCTCGAAAATGTCGCCACCGGTTCGCCAACCAAATCCCGAAAGCGTGCTCCACCAAAGAAGGCAAAGTTAGCGGTGGAGCCAATGAGAGGTGGTTGGGATATCCTTCCTCATGGAATGGGACAAAAGGGTGATCTTCTCGAGGACGATTTCGGCAATACCGGCGCGAAAGTGACTCCTAAGAGAGCCACCCGAGCCAGAGCGACCAAGACTACTGTTAAAACTTCTATCAAAGATGAAGATGAGGAGAAGCCACTTAATCTTGGCGATTCACTTAATCCCAATCTTCTTGAGGATATCAAGGAAGAAGAGCCCAAGAAGAAGAGATCGCCACGCAAGAAGATGGCTGTCGATGTATCCGCGGAAATTGATGGCTCTCCAGCTAAGCCTGCCAAGGTAAAGAAGAAGAGCTATGGTATTGTCTTTGGTGAAACACCTTTCCCCGATCACGTCTCGCCCACTGCGCAAGAGGCCGAGACGGTCAACAGCTTGTTGACTGCTCTGCATGGTGAAGTCAAGCCACCAGATTCAGTTCCAGCTCCATCCGAGACTGTAACTGGATGTGGAGAGGTCCCGGATGTTCTCGACGCGACTATGAGAACCCTTCTCAGCGCTGCGACGACCGCTGGCAACGCCAACAAATCAATGGCTGGTCTGAAGGCGGAGTATGGATTGAGAACGTCTGGAAAGGGTGCCGGCAGTGTTTCTTGGGAGGCCGTACTTGCTTCATCACAGGAAGATGTTGAGGAGGCTATCAGGTCGGGTGGTCTTGCGAAAGTTAAGGCAGGCTATATTAAGGCAATTTTACAAGTGGTTTTCGATAAAAACACCAAGCTTCTAGAGTCTCTACTGAAGGAGATTGATACTGATGTTCCAGTTCCATTCGTCGGAAAGGTTCTGGAGACCAGAGAGCAAAAGGAAGCCGAAATCAAGAGCTTGCGAGAGAACATGCTCTCACTTGACTATGTTCACTCATTGGATAAGCCAGCTGCCATGCGGGTATTGATGGATCTGCCAGGTATTGGAGTCAAAACTGCAGCATGTGTTGCTTTGTTCTGCTTGGGAAGACCCAGCTTTGCTGTCGACACGCATGTCTGGCGCCATTGTACTTGGCTGGGTTGGGTTCCAGAGAAAGCAAGCCGTGATCAAACCTTCAGCCACTGCGAAGTTCGAATTCCCGATCACTTGAAATATTCCCTCCATCAATTGTTCCTCCGACATGGAAAGACATGTGGTCGCTGTAGAGCTGCAACAACCGAGGGTTCTGTGGATTGGGAAAGCACTGTTTGTCCAATTGAGCACCTAGTCAATAGAACTGGAGACAAGAAGCAACCAGGCTTCAGAGCTGGCAAGAAGGCAGTTGTCAAGAAAGTTGTAAAGAAGGTTGGCAAGGGTTCTAGAAAGAGAAAGAGAACTTTTGAAGACAGTGACGATGAAGCAGAGGTTGAAGCGGATACGGAGAATGATATGGAGCTTGAGGAAGTCAAGGGAGAAGACGAGTCTGACATTGAAGTCGAAGCAGACACTTAATCCCCTGTCAGCGTAAAAACAGACTGAATGATTCTTCTCATTAGACGGAAAGGGCATCTATTCACGGCACGTACAAGTAAGGAAGCATTTGCATACTTAAAGTTATTTTCTAGCTATTTGCTAGCAATTTGGAGCTGACATGAGCGTTGCATATTTGGCGTTTTTACTAAGATACCCATTTGCTTTTGCTGATTAGAGATCATTCATCAAGATGATGTACCAGGAAATACAGGAGTATTGAGGTACATGAGAGGTACTAGGTACACGGGAACATACAATGTAATTAGGTGCATTGATTGCATTCACATGGGATATATGGGGGATACATTTTAAACAGAGCCTGCATTTATTGCATTGCATTGCAACAATAATAAGTTCTGGAACAACTATTTGGCACTTGGTGACTATACATGTGATGCATCATCTTTCGTTGTTTTGATAGATTGGATCAAGGCTCCTCATTCAATATGTATGCCATTCTGCTGTTAATAACATTATCCTGGTCTAGATCCTAACCTAGCAGGAGTCCATCGATTTCCATGCAAAAACTCACAATAGCTCTTTGCTCGATTGGTCCTACTTCACTACGGTTCACCATCCATATCAAAACACTGCCTAGTATTTCGAAAGTGCAGACTTTCAGAAAAAAGGTTTACTACATAGACTTTTGTATTAAAATACAGCACCTAGGCATCACAAAACGGGAAAAGGGACTCTTTCTCTCCTCAAGTCAACTTATCATGACCTCTCAAGCCTCCCGCCATCATCTCCCTGACCGTCTCTTCCATCTCCTTAGGATTCACACCCACACTCGCCAACAACTCATCGGACTTTCCATCCTTAATCTCGCACTCTCCCTCACTAAGCGCAGTATAACTGCTAACCCACCACTCCAACATCGCTTTGGGAAATCCCTTCTCCGCATAATAATCGATATATTCCTGATCCGACACAATCTTCAATTTAATTTCCTTCCCCTTAATCTGCGATACCGTCTTCAAAACCTCAGTCAAAGACACTATTTTCCTCGGACTCAAGTAAAAGAATTGTCCTTCATACCTCCCCGATTTATCCGCCAACACCAACGCATTCGCAGTTCCCAGATCCTCCAAACTGATCATGCTCAATGGTCCATCCCCCGCAACCACCAATTCTTCCCTGGGATCCGCAACCGTGTCGTAGAAACCTGCATACAGCGGCCAGGATTCCTGGTAAAGTCCCTCTCGCACAATCGTCCACTTGATATCTGTCAATGTTTTCAGATACGCTTCAGTTCTCAAATGCGCACGCATAACACCCGTCTTACTCTCCAATCCGAACGCTAATGACGCATAAACAATATGTTTTACACCAGCTTCTCGCGCCGCATCTATAGCGGCAAAATGGTGTTTTTCGCGTCCTTGGCCGTGAGGAGCATTGTTGTAATCGAGATCATTTTGAGGAGTGGATATCAAGAGAAGTTTGTCGGCGCCAGCGAAAGCGCTCTTCATGGTAGATGGATCATTGTAGTCTGATTTTCGGACTTGGATACCTTGCGATTTGAGGGTGTCGAATTTGGCGTCCGAGGGGTCTGAAGAGGTGCAGATGATGAGTTCGGAGGGGGAGATGAGGGAGCGAGAGAGGATGGCGTTGAGGACTGCTTTGCCTATTTTGCCGGTGGTTCCTGTGAGGGCGAGCATTTTGTGGTTTGTTTATTGGAAGTATTTAGCGTTTTAAGGTATATTTGTGTGATAAAATAGATTGGATTGATGGATAAAATAGCTGATTCTCGCAGTTCTGCTCAGGTATTTATATCTCATGTGAGGTCAACCATCATTAATAATTCCAAGCACAATGATACTCTCCTGTGGGGTTTTATGGGGCGCATTGGATTCGGGGATAGGCAATAGATGATAAATCATCCAAGTTGTACAAGAATACGTATAAATAGAGAGACCAGGGAAATATATTTGCCTGAGAGGAAGATCTTCTTTGATATTCACATTCATTCAAACCATCACAATCACGCTTTTCTTGGAAATTTGGGTATCATGAGAAGACCATTAGACAGAAAGATACAGAACACTACTCCAAGATTAAAAGTTGGTTAGAAATGAAGCTTGGGAAAGAATTTAGGTTTTTCTTTGGAAGTGAAAGGAGGGGTGATACTCTTTAGATCACGTGATTAACCGATATCCCTACTACATGCACGACCCTACTATATGCACACTTTTTTTATATCAAAACAAAAATCAATTTAAAATATAAAAATCATTATATTAATATAAAATTTAATTCAGTAATTAATTAATATTATCAATTTCGATTTATAAGGATTTCGAATTATTAAATTAAGAATTGATTGAATAATTAAATAAAGAGAATATAGAATCTTGATATATAATTTCTTAATAAATAATATATTAAAATCTATTTATAGAATTATAATAAATTTTTATAGATTTTTTGATATTAATAATATTATAAAAAAATCAAAAAAATCAAAAAAGTAAAAAGAATTAGTTTTAATATAGATTATTAGATTTTTCTAATGATTTATAATATTTTTAGAAAAGTTAAAAATATTTTTTAAAATGAATTTAAATTTTATATTTAATATTAAAGATTTAAAAAATAAGTTTTTAAAAAAGGGATTATATTAAATATTAAAATATATAAAGTTTTGATTAATAAAAGAAAATTATTTAAAAAATATCTTTTATTTTTGAAATTTTATTTTTAAAATTATCTAAATCTTAATTCTATTATATATAATAAGATTCAAATTATATAAAAATTATTTTAAATAAAAATTGATTTAATATCAACTAATAATTTAATTTTCAAAATTTAAATTTTTTATTAAATCAAAATCTGATCAATATAGTTTCATTCTTTAATAATTGATTAAAAACTATATAACAAAAAAGTTTAAAATTGAAATTTCTTAAAAAAATTAATAAATACTTATATTATATTTATTATTAGATTAAATCAAATTCTTAATAAGTTTTTATAAATCTTTATTTAAATATAATATTAATAAATTATAGATTTTAATATATTTATATTTTTTTAAAAGATTACTGTTATTATATAACTTAAAAATAGAATAAAATATTATAAATTCATTATTCTATTAATAATTAATTATTAAAATATTTTTTATAAAATATATTAGAATTTAATATTAATATAATTTCAAATTTTCGATAAAAAACTTTAGTTTTTTTCAAATATCTTATATTATAATATATGGAATTTCATAATTTCATTAAAAAAAACTTATATTTTTAATTATATTATAAAATATATTAATAAATAAATTTTTTTTTTATAAAAATTGATATCTTATTTATTATTATTATTATTATAATTTTTGAGATTTTTAATTTTTTTATTTCAAAATATTATATAAGTTTATTTCAATTATCTCAATTTTGAATTTCAAATTATAATATCGCTTTTTCAATTTTTAATTCAATTTTCTATATAAATAATAAAAGCATGCACATAGTAGGGTCGTGCACGTAGCAGGGATATCGGTTATCGGTCCCGAGATAGATAATCTTTGACTAAAAAATCTGCAAGAAACTTAAGTTTCAGTCTTGGTAGTTTGTGCTTAATAAGAATGAGATTTTGCTTCGAAATCTTTATCGGAGATATCGTATATCTCCTAGCCATTAATCGAGGACTGTACTCGTAAGAAGCTTACTTGCTGTTTCTTAGGTGGGCATTATTATTTTCCAATGAGGACAAGTTGCAAACGTACGGCAACGGCCATAGATAGTTGTTCTGTATCAACTCGAGTGGACCATTGCCGGTATGTAATTGTTGGTATCAACTTGGTTGATAAGTGTAAAGTACTCTAGCTTATCATGATTGTAATCGTTCTTGATCATTATTAAATATGGGAAGCTATTACTAAGTACTTATTAAGAAGCGCTAGCACCTCGCTTGCTAATACAGTACCCTCTTATATCACATGATCGATACCCCGATATTAACATTCAAGAATACTGTATGACTGCATGGGACGAAGAAACGTGCGTGCTTTCGAATGGAGTGGGAATACCCAAGAAACGTGGCTTCATAAAGGAATTGCGAGGGAATGCCGATCAGGGACCACGTTGTCCTTGAGAAACCGACATGGAAATGTCTAGTACTTTCTCTACGCTCTGGTACTATCTTTTCGATTGTATACTTGATCCTCGCCTATCAACATTCATGAATCAACCTCGCGAACTCGCACAATGGCAGCATTTAGCCTCCTTAATACCGTCGCGATCAATCAATTGAAGCCGACCTCCCTTGTTGCATGTCGTTATCGTCCCCAATATCTCAGACTATCCGCCTAAATCTCCGTCTCTTACATAATTTTCAAGCAAGTTTTGTCTGTTGGTGTTCTGGGGCTAGTTCATAAATTCTCAAGTCACCCCAAGCACTTAACTATACTCGTCTGAAGTGGCAAAGCTCCTATAGGGACAGCTAACAATATAGGTTGTATCTATGACGCTGTATTCTCCGGCCAAGCTGAGCTTAGAAGTCGGATAAATTCTTGACAACTTGGACATTGAGAAATTTCGTACAGGAGAGTTGGGCGGGAAGTCAAATTTGTGTATTGGATTTAGCTATATTGGACTGTAAATATCCAGGGTCTACGGTGTACTTAGAAGCATGTTGATTTCCTGTCTCAAAAATCGGGGTTTTGTTTTTTTACTTTTAACTTTGGAATTCTTTTTCTCCTCGGCAAATAACTCTCATACCCTAAAATTAGAAGCTAATTTACTCTCATGTCCCTTAGATGAAATGTTAGATTCTATAATAGAATCTATCCATTTTAGGCTAGATTCTAGCTGTTTTAGGCTAGATTCTATAATAGAGGGAGGGTAGCTTCTATATGAGAGGTATAGATTCCAATCATTTTAGGCTAAATTCTATTATGTATTATTTCTTCTCCTTTGATTTTCTTTTTTATGGAATAAATTCTATATAGAATCTATACTATAAAATCTAAAGAGCATAATAGTCAATCACCTCTCAATTTTAAAGTATGAGAATAGTCAAACGGTAAGTTACTCTCGTAGCACTAAAAGTCTAAAATCTTACTCTCACGGAGTCTCACCGCACTAAAATTGTTGTAAATTTACTCTCATACCACTTGGATTCTAGTCTCTTATAGCTAGAATCTATATATAGAACCTAGGATTACAAGCTAGAATCTAGCTTTCAATTATAGAATCTAATCTATCAAATTTAGATTCTAGGCTTTCAATATAAATGTTAGCTTTATAATATAGATTCTAGCTTTCGAATTTTATGAATTCTAATGATAATGTAAAGGAGAAGAAGGTGGTGGGGCCCGGGTCATAGAGTAGCCCTTCGCATATACCACAGAATAGTCACCATAATGTAGCGCCTCTGGCGGAGGAGAGAAGGGGAAGGCTCTGCATAACGCTTCACAAGATATACTAGAAATTGGGTGGGAATTGACTATCGTTTCTAAACTATACAAAGAAGAACTATAAATACTAGCTACAAGAAAGGGCCACATAATCAGCACAAGGTTTCGCTCACAATAAAAATCATAGATTCTAGCTTGAAACCTACAGAATCTAGCTATTATAGAATCTACGTAGTGCGAGAGTGAATTCCGATCAATTTTAGTGGTGCGAGAGTAGATAAACTCACTTTTAGTGGCATCAGAGTAATTTACCGATAGTCAAATCATATTCGAAGGGTATGAGAGTAATTTGCCAAAAAAAATCTATGTATGAGTTCATCTACTTGAAGTCTGAAGACTTATCAATGAAATTAGAAACAATTGAAATTCTATATTTCTGTTTAAATGAGATTAACGAGGCATAAAAAATCAAGCTTTTTTCATAAAGAAACGAGTCGTTGAATCAGGTGTATTGTTTAGAGCTCATAGTTCGCTTATCGTTATACATCTGATTTACAAATTGTTTCAAAAGGGGCTTGATTTGATGAATGAGAGCCAGTTTTTGATTGGTCTATCAAAGCCAAATGTAGGCTGGCTACATCCCATGTCTGCTACCTTTGTCATTCGACGCCATAGAAAATGAGCTCGAAGGAATCTGGTGTTTCGTCGATTGCTTTATTAGTTCTGGAGTTGGTATTGTTGTTTGTATTTCGGAGAATCTTGGATTCATCTTCTAGATCATTCGACTCGACCGTCGTTTCACACATCCACTGACCAACACCGACTACGAAATCAGAATTTGAAACTTCGAGATAGTCTCCTGGATAATTCGTGGGAAGTGAAGTCATGGATTCACTGCTCACATTCCAAGAGCTAGTAACAGAGTTTGGAGGAGGTGAACAAAAGTCTCCGTGATACAAGCTGATTTCAGAACTTCTCGGTGTATCAAATGTATCGAAGCTTTTGTAGCTCTGGCAATTATCGAGATCTAGCTTCGAGCTATCAATAGATATGGAAGGATCAAGCCAGATTTCATGAAATTCATCGCATTGCTCGCATTGAGAATCAAAAAGCTCGAAGTCCACGAAGTTGAGTCTATCGTCGAGATTAGTCGACACGTCGATTATTCCTGAGAAAGATCTCGATGTTGATTCTTGAACTTGTCCAATATTATAATCATCTATTGATGCACAGGGATCAGTAAATTATCAGTAAATCAATATAAGGCATGGCATCATACTGTAATCACTCGTTTTGGCATTGGAACTTCGATTCCTGCAACAATGGTTCATAGAGCAGCTCACATTATCAAGGGATGAGAACAGCTCATGATCAGAATTTATTTTATAATCGCTGGTATGTAACGGGAAGATAAAATTCGATATTGGCTCTTCTCTTCTGGAGTCTTCTTGTCGACCTTGAGGACATTTAGGGTTTGGAGACGCTTGGTCGAACCGCGGTGAGTTTGGATTATATTTGCAATAATGGCAAGGCAATCTCTGAAATTGTGTCATCTCCATTGATACGCAGGTTGTTCGAGAGTAATTTGGTTGAAAGTTGCAAAGAATAAGTAAAAGTAGGAAGATATTATGCACAATGGGCTGCTTTTATAGCCATCTTACCTCTCTCACAAACGGACAGTGGCCTGTAGACTGGAGGCGGTCTTCTGTTTAGAGGTTAGATATTCGCAAGCGGCCTCATCACCGACTTTGAACTTATCGACGTATTACATCTGCAAGGTGTGGCGGCTGACCCGAACGCGGGGTGGTCCGAAGGTGATTTTGTTTCTTTCTGTAGGGCTGAATTAGAAGAAGGCGGTCTTTATGAAGTTCTATTTAAAAACACCCCTACCTAATTACTAAACCCACACCTCTTTTCCATCTGGTGTCGCCATGGACAGTGTGTTTCTATTACTTGATATCGTATACCTATCACTCACATCCGAAGCTATGCGATGCCCAATTATATTTCAGGATGGTATATATATTTCTAGGACCGCCTTCGCTTTCTTGCCTTGGGCTGACATCTGAATCCCGACCTAAAATCCCACGGAATTGAAAACGTCCATATCAAAATAATTTAATCAGTCTAACATAACATCTTCTCACATACATACACCCACTGAAAAACTTATTATCTATCTTGAATATCTTGTTTCTTATTGTTTAGTGAGATCTTTAACAAAGCGGTCCTCAGGAAGATCAAACAACCGAAGGAGAGCAAGCACCATAGCTTTCTTATGTCATACGCTTCAAGACTCGAATAGAATCACCCTTGCCGATTCCATGTCAGTGATTATTTCTATCGACAGTCAATTATCATTAATGTCATTGATTTAGAACACCTCAATAGAAAGAACGCTCACTCTTCTCTTGAGGAGCTTTTGCACTCACGTGACCGATATTCATGAGATACGAGCTGCCTCTCTCGATCATTCGTCCTCATCATGGATGACTTCTTAGATACCACAGGAATTGGTAAATCTACTGGAACGACCAATTATATATGCTAATTCTCGTAGATCTGAATAACAAATCAAATCTTTCTATTTATATACAATTGATTACCTTCAGAAAAGGCTCGGCGGATGAAATAGTCATTGATGTACGAGAAGATTCTCAAGTCGAGACTGCTCGATGTCTGTCCAAACGGCTGGACTTTCGATTTCGCTATGCATATGATACTCGCAAAGCCACTATCACTCGGAACTCATCTCTTCATACTTTGGAGGTATCCGACCTGTACAATTATCAGACTGATTTGCAAGGATCGTTTTATCATGACTTGATAATTGATACCGGAGACTCAAACATGGATGTGAGTATCTCTGCATACCAAGATTTCTTAGCACCACTACCTGAATTCTCGGGTGATTTCGATGCATTTGCGCAAGATATGGGACTTTCAGATGAGCGGTCCGCCAACATGCAATTGAATGATTTGGACCTGGACAACAACACCTTTGGTACTTCTACAAACTTTCAGATCGAGTATAATGGCGACGAGAACCTGCCAGATTGGTTTGATCTGGTAAATATTGTGGACCAAGATCACTTTGACCCAGACACCAACATGCTGGATGATACTCGGCTCGACAATAGTATTTTTGAGAACGCACATGAATCAAGCGAAAGTCTTCAATTGGTAATAGATACTCCGGTCACTAGCGGAATTCAGAACTCTATAACCGATATACCAGCATGGAGAGACACACCTTCAGCTTCTGTGGCAGTACTAGACATACCAACACCTCGACCTCTTAGTCCTGTAGAGCCAGTCCACAGTGTGCCATCAAAGAATTCACAGTCACAAGGAATCGACATTGTTGTCAAACCTATTCTGAATCGAAGCGACTCTAGCCTTGGCAATACACCATCAAGCTTTCAAGAAGGGGTTTTTAGTTCGACGCCCGGTTGTTCGAGTATGCAAACTACCTATGGATCTTCACCTCATCGTATGGGCCCTTTGGACTCCGCCACACGTGCCAAAGCCAATGCTGTAAAAGCTATAGGAGCTTGTTGGCGCTGTAAGTTCTTACGAAAGCCAGTAAGTCCACCGATCTAAATTCCCTTCACTTCAGAGAATAATTTTCTGTAATACGATTTGGTATTGTTTTCCTTCATATTCATCAGGGTTGCTTGGTCAATCTTCAAAGCTACCATTCCCATGAATGATAACGGGTACTGTTATCTTGAGATGTGTGTCGCAACACTGGAAAAATGTGAAGGTCATTTTTCTTTGACGTTTGGTTTCTTATTACTGTGCATGGCTCTCCTATTCATCAAAATTTGTTCGATATTTACTCAAAGTAGGTATCTAGAAGAAGTAGCTAACATTTCAAAGTGCGATGCACAAAACTGTTGCATTCAATGTAAAGGGAAGCAGGGTGGACCGTGGCACAGTGTTGGATGCAAACGTGGCGATATCAAAAAGAAAATGCTCCCGATATCATTGTGTTCCGAAACAGCCATTCAAACACGGGATGCATCTACATCGGAAATATACAAGCCATGGCTTTCTGCGAACCAATGTCGCATCGAGATATCCAAACGTCGCAAAAATGATTTACGTCCCGAGATTATGAACGCTTCACGCCCCACGAAAGTTGGTCAATTTCTTCAAAATTTGGCAAGTAGTAGGCCGCTAGCCGTTGATCTACAACGAAACAGATCATCCTTGTTAGCAAGATTCAAAGATACTGCACCAGCTGTATTGGAGCCGCTTGATGACTGCATTTTGACCATACTTTGGGGATTTCTCAATTGTGAAAGTGCAGAAAAAGCACTTCATCCCTGGATAAAATCACACAATGGGACCATAGAAGATTTTATATTACTTTTACATTCTGCAGCTATATATCAGGCAAGTTTTGAAAGTGTAAGTACTAGCATTATACATTCCTTATGACTCTAGCTCATATGAATTTGCAGAATCAACTAATTGCTTACTCACTCACCTGTCTTCGCACTTGCGTCGAAGCTCTGCACATCTACACATTAGGGGGCTTCGAGAATTCGCATGAAGCATGTGAATCATCTGTTTGTAAGGTCGATTGCATACGGGATCTTGAATTACAAATAGAACAGTACCTGGATGAACTATCTCGAGTTATCTTTCTGAAAGAAAACATGCGAAACCGATTCTGGTGGCTGTCAGCTTTCTACAGTCTTTGTATTCAGGGGGTTGTTCGACAAGCATTAGTATTATTATCCTCTAATGACCACAACGAGACATCGAGAATTGAGAAGTCGAGTTCTGCACAATATTTACACATTGCAATTCGGTTATTCTCTGTGAGTTCCGGCACACACGATCCGCTAATTCAAGACTGGTCTTCTCAACTTGCGTTCTCATCGGCTGGAATCGGAGCGCCAAGTGTCGAAGATTACCAAAATGCTCAATCAGCGATCAATCAATCCCAGTGGAAGTTACAAGGTATCAATAAATCTGGTAATTATCTGAAGAGGCTGTTCGAAGACAATGGGGGTCCTCTCGCAGAACCCCACGACGAATCTGTAATACTCACTATCCTACCCGAACCATATCTTCCCAAAGCCTTTACTTTAGAAACATGTAGCCAACTTCGCGCCGATTGGGATCTAGCTCGATGCAACTATACGAAGAATTTATTACAAATTGTCAAGGATTATGGACACAGCTCAAAAGCGTATACTGATGCGGAAGAGAAATGGGGACTAGTGGAGGCTGAGTGGAAAAGGGTAAGCGACGAGGCTATGACGAACACCGTTAACCAAGCGCACAACGGCCGTGAAACATCAAAGCCCCTTCTTCCAGAGAGATAGAGCGTTTTGAGTAAGTTAATGGAATACAAATGTCAGTATTACAGTCATTAACACGTTGAAGTGAGCTCCCAAGTGAGAGGGTATCAAACTATCTTATGAAAGCCTCGGGAATACTGACGTTAGATGCGACGCTAGATGTCGGGCATCCTCGAAATTGCTTCCACCTCAAATTACCCCGCCCAATTTCCGATTTCATTTCTAGCATTCTTTGCCCACTCTCTCTGCTTTCTCAAGCGTCAATTACGCCGCCCTCAAAGCCGAGTCTCTCTCGCTTTAGCCGAGCAATGATAAGACTTACTGGACGAGATACAATCTGAAAGAAAGAAAAGCACCTAAGTTTTCAACCCGTTGAAGTCCAAGAGAGGTAGTAATGCCGATACCCCGCGAAAACCTGGTTTCCAAAAGTTCTGTATCTGACCCATCAGTCTGCGATCAACAACTTATGAAAGTTCAAACAACCTTTTATTCAGCACGAGGTCACCGCAGTGAGCTCCCATTTGTGGTTAAAGTTCTATACTTTATTTTCATCAATCCAGATGGATGATCTGGAAATATCTGAGAAGTCAACATGTATCTGGAGAAATGGAAGATCTGAAAGAAAACTCGCAGGTAGAAGGGCCAGGAGATACGCATCCACTACACAAAGAACGCGAGGAGTTGATCCCAGTATATCCATTAAGATGGGTTTAAAAAGCTACTAGAGACTGGCCGATCTGTGCTTCCTTTCGGACGTTTCCAAATCGATTCTTTTTGGAGGTTCAATCCAATGGGTGAAGGGAAGTTGAGATATCAGAAACTCCCAATGTGTAGACAAATATGAGGAGATAGCTGGCTTTCTCGTCTGCTGTTATATACGGGAGATATAAACATCGGTGATGAGGAGTAAGATTCAATGTTACATGTATGGATGAGGTGGGATTGCGTATGAAAGCTACAGAGGCAGGTAGCAATGAGTATTTAATGAATATGAGGATACTCAACCTTCTTGATGCATTACTTATGAAGATACAACAGCGCGCTATCAGGCGACCAACATTTTCGTATTTTTGGCATGCTTTTCACATTGCTACATACCTACACATACATTCACATGATCTATCCCTCATTTCATCCAATTCTCCATTAATTAATTTCACATTTCACGCAAATGAATCACCATCGAATCAATCAACCAACCAAATGAAGGAAAGAAAGAACTTTAAGTAGGTAAACAAAGAGAAGTGAGGTATCTCATTAACAAACATCCCAATCAAATCTTTCCGAGAGAGGAGTCCCCATCCAAATCTCAAACCTCACCCATCTATCTAATCTCAGTAAAGTACAGCTAGACCATTATCAAAAGCTCCTCGCCACGTTCTTTTAAGACTTTTGCTAGTGAGAAACGCCCGACTCCTTTTTCATACATATACTCATTCATATTCGTACACACATATCCATGACGCCATATCAAAATATACTCTCGCCCTCCCAACTGTCCTCTAGAGGAATCCTATATCTAAGTATCAGTAGCGGTGTCTAATCCCCTTTTCGCATGCCCATAACCATGACCATGACTATGACCGTGCCCATGCCCGTGTCCGGCACTTCTAGCCGCCATCTCCCTTGCCCTCTTTTCCGCATTCCCAGCAGCCTGTGCACTCTCATGAATAGATTTTCTCTGTTCCATCACCTTCGCCCTAACCTCTTCCATAGCACTTCCCCTCTCCTCTTTCAATCTTCTTCCCCTATCTCTCCTTCCCTTATCCATTTCTAGAGCCTTCGTCTCATCTTCCGCAACTCTCCAATTGCGACCGCGCATTCCACTTTCTCCCCACATACTGACGCGTTGAACTTTCTTGAGTTTGGAGATTCCGTAGAACCAGACGATGGCGGCGAAGATTCCACACCAGCCTGACACGCCTAAGAAACCAAGGTCGGATTCTTCGATATGGTTCTTCAAGTTCATGCCGTACAGAGCAGCGATGAATGCGCCGGAACCCATACCGAGCGTTCCAATCGATATTTTGAGCTCGAGAAGCATGAGGGAGTTGCGATTGGCATCGAGGATAGCTTTAACACTGTAGATCTTTAGATTAGTACTTGTATAACGGGAGGGGGTTAGGCGCTCTATAATCATACATTTCTTCAGTGTTCCTGATGTTAGAAACTAAATTTCCAGATTCTTGGACAATTTCGTCGCAAAGCTTGTGGTAAGATTCCAACAACATTTCAACTTCCGTATGATCATCCTCCCCTCTCTTCAGATCATGGTCTTTTTCGGTAAGATACATAGCAGCTAGATCGTCATCTGCCTCCAATAACTCATCAATCGAGTCCCTGACCAATTTCGCCTTCTGTTCGAATGTGCCGAGTTTCTTGGAATAAATAAGGAGGTAGCGGAGCTTGTCTCGATCGATATCCTCTTCTAGCTCCTTCAGAACCCTAACGACTGGTTCTCGAACCGTTTCAAATTCCTTTTCCAAGCCAGATGTGACCGAGATGAGAACAGCTTCGAGGGCGCGAAATTCGTATGGAAGGGCACCGGCAGATACAGAATTTTGCTTTTGGCTGAGCTTTCCTTCTAAATCATACATGAAAAGCGATTGTGTATAAGTATCAGTAGAGCCATAAGCGTCGAAAATCAAGACTCTGTTTGACTTTATGAGGACTCGAAGATGGAGGAGGTTGATGAGGATAGCTGAAGGACGAACGAGGATATGCGGAAGCGTACTCGAGTCGATTTTTCGAAGATCTCGAGGAAGCAATCCATACTATACAAATTAGTATTGGCACTCTCAAACTGTCTGGGAAGAAAGATGCCCTGTCCCACCTTAGCAATAAGCTCGCTCTTCTTGAACTCCCCATTCACCAGAACCACATTCCCATTCTCATCTAATTCTGTGCATCGTAGTCGAGGCTCACTGGCAGCCTTTACAGATACGGATCGTCCCAGACTAAACACATCTATTTCTCTTCCATCCTCACTGAGATGTGGTAAATCGTCCGGTTGTAAAGGTTTTCCATCCCTTTTCGAGGACCAAAGCTTGAATGGCCATTTTCTTGCGCCCGTGAATATTCCGCGACTTATCTGTGAGCGATCTTGAGTCGCAGATTTCTTGCTCGATAGAGTTACCCGTTTGGGTTGAGTGTCATTTGAAGAAGAATCCGAGGTGGCCAATCGCGATCCCAGAAATTTCGGATTTTGTAACCCAGCTTCAACGGTCGCTCTACGCTGTAGTGAAGTTGAAAGTGGTCTCCGACATGACCTCGAAGGATAATTGTATCCTAGGCTAGAAGCTGGAACATGAGGGGCATGATCCAAAGAATAACCTTGTCTTGGGTTGGAACTGAAAAAACAAACGCCTTCAGATTGTGCCCGCAGGAATCTCAATAAAGATGCTGATGGTACATGGTTATGTATATGTGACCGCATAGCAGCTGAAAAGAGCTAATCCGACCGTTTACGAATCACTTGCTGCTTCATGAGCCTTATTTTGAACCGTTGATGGCGTAAATATATTTCTATCAAAAAAAAGCTTGGACAATACAAATATGCAGATCTAAGTATTACCACGATCACGTGAATTATTTATCTTCTACTTCTTGATTTTCGAATTTGAATCTGCATCATAAAGCTTTTGAAAATCGCATAATAATTTAGGTATTGGAAGGCATTTGGCTATCAAATCTAGACTTAACGCCTAACCTTAAGCAATCAAACATTGAATACCGTAAGGAAATCCTCGATCAACCTAACCTTCTTGTTATCATTCTCATGCTCATGACTACTTCTGAAGCGGAAAATCTCTTCAATGATCCAAGGATAAGGGTCTTGATACGGAAGGTCAATCATCAGAAGCATGGTCATAAAATGCCTGTTTGGATCAGCATTCTCGAGAGAATATTGAAAAATGTCTTCATCAAGCTTATGATTGACGCCAGCATACAGTAAGAGGTGCATGACCTCGATTCTACACTCTCGAACAGCTTTTTTATAACCGATAATAGCTGCCTAGATTTCTGTTAGCCATTACCTTGACACAACTCGTTTTCAGGGGAGTAATACCTCTCCGCTCGTTGACGCGAGCCAATCAATACGTGCTCCTCCCATAACTAACCAAAATAAGAACTTGACGGCTTCCTCATCCCATGGGCCCATTAACAGTGTATGGGGTATCTCGGTACCTCTAGCAACATTCGCATAATTGCGAATACCCAGGTCGAATATTTGTTCTCTTTTCTCAACCAAACCTGGCAATGTTGAATCCATTGTTTCGGAGGCACCCGTTGTATAAGAGACATTCATTCTTTGAAAGGCATTGCGATACTTGTCAAAATCGTACTCAAGCAAGTCAGCCGACGAGGCATTCTTAGGGTCAATACCTTCTAAATTGTCCCCATGGTGAAACGCAACCATCCCAAGAGCAAGCGGAAATGGACGTTCTAGTGCGTATTTCTGGACCCATAAGTCTTGCCCCTGGAGAAGCATTGGCAATTTTGCCCAGCGAAATTTCAAGATAGTAGACTAAGTTCATATCGTCAGTAAATTCCTGGTCTAGCAATGATATCTAGGCCTACCTGTAAACTGCTATTGCCACTATAGTCCAAGTCCAAACTTGGATCCAACAGTTGCCCATACCATTTATCCCAAAGTGGATCAAAAGCAGCAATAATAATCTTGTTATAGACAGCAACACTACTTAGTTTTCCTCCTATGACTGGACTACATGCTGGCAAACTCAAGTTCCAGCAGCCGAAGAAAATCTGCTCGAGTATCTCCGTTGGCAACTTCTCAAGTTCCGACATCTTACGTCTCGATTTGATGTTCTTCAAAGTGCGGACTTTTGACTCCCGAAGAATAGAAGTGAAAGACTTTGACGTTTGTGATGCGACCTTTGAGGATTTCTTCTTGAGAGGCCTCCCAGGTGGTCGTTTCTAGGATTTGAAGTCAATTAAGCTAGTTCGATATGTTTATTTTATCATGAGAGTCCATACCATGATCTTTCTGGCCAGAACAGCAGATTTGCTGGAGTCACGAGTATTTTTTCCCGGAACTTTGATCGGTGTTCCAGCCATGATTTGATGGGATGCACCTATGCTCCATGTAGTCCAGCATGAATCCTGATGTTAGGTGCAATGGTGTATCACTGGCACATATTTATGGTCCGGCAAGAAATAAACACAACAAGATTCACTAAATCGTGAAAGTATAAAAGTAGTGCAATTTACATAGTGAATGAAAGACGAGACCAATCATTTTTTATTTTGCAACTCACCGCTTTCATTATGCCGGTTTGTCGATGGCGGTGAGAGTCAAACATAATCATCTACGAGTGGGCTTGAGACGAGAGTGATAAACATCTTTTGAAGCCCGGTATAAAGGGCATGTCAATAGTGACTTTGGCGACAAAGGGTTAAAGAGGACGAAATATCCATCGTCATCGCTTATACCATCATCCCGGGACTGGGACGACTCCAAGAACATTCATCGGCTAACCTAGAACAATCATGATGTCGATATTGGAAGAAGTGTTGTTCGGCGATTAGACAACGAGAACAAGGCACGATCGAGTAGAGAAAGCAAAGCCCCAAGCATCACCTCCAGTATCGATTCTCACACTGGAAATGCATGTTGCTCAAGCTAAGTTCAAGTTCTCAGTACGAGGAACACAAAATACCCCGCCTCGGGAAAGCTACGCTAAAGACCCTGCATACATAAGTGTGCGGTAGCCTACATCGTACAGAACGCCATCATACCTCGCACGCCTTGTGCACCCTATCATTCATCCACCGGAAAATTATCTGGCTTTCAAAATATTTTAGTTCGCAGAATCATCTTTGTATTACATGAATCATTAATCTTCAAGCGAGGTCGATAGTTCTTCCGTCACCAGTCTTCTAACGGTCAACTTTGAATGCTAGGCTAAACCCAAATGACCAATAACTCACACCCTATTTATTTAGTTGAAGATTCCCTTAACTTAAAATCATTACTTGAGACAATAACACTAAGCAGCAATCGAACAATCAAACGATTGAACCCCAATGTCTTCTACCCCTGACTCCAGCACTCACCCCCTCATCCTGACCCATCCTCCTCCACTTAATCCAGCCTGGGAATCACATATTCCTCATCTCCCAGCGCCTAGTACCTCCACATCCCCTGATGTCCGCAAATCTGTATACAGTCAAAATTGCATCAATCAAAACACCAGTCTTCTCCGCACTTCTCTTGTTCACCTAACTCAGAACATCCTCATAACCAATGCTTCTATCCCTTCACCATCCGGCCACAAGATCCCTACTCGCCTCTACACTCCCACTTCCGCCACCAACTCCGCCTCTGTTCCCAATTCAGATTCTCAACCACTAATCATCTATTTCCACGGCGGTGGTCTTTACGTTGGTGATCTCGATTCCGAAGATCTAACATGTCGCCAACTATCCCTGTCTCTTTCCGTCCCACTCCTGTCAATATCCTACCGCCTACTCCCCGCTTTCACTGCCGATGATGCTGTCTCCGATGCGCTGTCCGCTTTCACCCATCTCTGCACTGAATTCCCATCCCGAAAATTCGTTCTCGTGGGAAGTTCGAGTGGGGGACAACTGGCGGCTATCGTCGCTTTGACTTTCCTTCAAAAGGGAGACGGGATTGAGAGAGAAGGAAAACGGATACTAGGAGTTATTTTGAGATGTCCAGTAACGTGTGATGCTACGGATAACGGGACAAGTATCCCAGAAAAATGGAAAAGTATACACACGAGTATGAAAGAGGAGTTCTATACAGAGATATTAAACAAACCGGCTGTGACGAGAGAAAACAGAGTCAAGGGGTACAAGATGCCTTTGGAGATGTTGACGGAGATGCCGAGGCTCACTGAGGCATCCAAACCTGTTGGAAGCGATCAAGAAGACATCAATACAAAATGGTTCATACAGCTTTGTACTAACGACATATATTATTCTGACGGGTTGTGTCTTGCGCTTGGGTTGAAGGAGAGAGGTCATAGCGTGAAAATTCGAGTAGAATATGGGTGGCCCCATACGTTTTGGTTGAAGGGGATGGTATTAGGAGAAGCTCAGAAGACCGAAATGGAACTGGTTAAAGGGGCGAAGTGGGTTCTGGATGGACTGGGGGGAGCTGACACCAAATCTTCAGACACAGAAAGATTGGGTGGAATGGAGTGTGGAGGCCAACCTTTGAGGAGAAGGTTTGAATAGGGTTTCTCAATATTCGTGGATATCTTAACTCGGTTATGAAACGCTCGTACATTTAATGACACTGATACTTTGCTTTTTCAATTCTCATTTCTCATGACTCCAAGAGTGATGAATAAGATATACATGCAGTTCCAACACCTTACAGGTTTACTTTGACGACTTTTTGTAACAGCATTCAATCAAAACAATAAAATTCATCAGATCTTCAAGAGATTGAGGAAACAGTTTCATGATTGGCCAACTTGGCACTTAAACGATTAACCACCATGATCTTGCTTCTTCAATCACCGGTCCCTATCTACAATAGTGCGGGTAACAAAGAAAACGGAAAGTCGAATCTGTTCCATCTAAAGCATAGAAAGATCGCCGAATTTCTCCTGTAAACATATTAGCAGCCGTATCATTCAAGAAACAGAACTATGCAACTTCAAACGTACCTTGTAACCTGGAACACCCCAGCGACCCTTGGAAACGAGTTGAGCAGTCTTCTCATCAATGTCTGGGCGAGCAGCAGCAACTTCATCCTATAGACACACATCACACATTAGCCAATCCCATTTCTTTCCTTTGACTTTCCAAATCCTTTCCTAGAGTTGATACATACCACAGTCAAATCCTCAAATGGCCTAGCCTCTTCGATGTTCTTCAATGTCTTCTCCAAATCCTTCAACTCCAAGTCAACTCTACCCTTGGTCTCCTCTGCATTCTTGATAGCTTGGGCTTCGAAAGTCTCGATTGCCTTGATTTGTCTGGCTACATCATATGTGGCTGGCTTGAATGTAGAGAAGTGCTTCTCAATTTCGTCGACAACGGCGGTGTTCTTGAGAATCGACTTGTAGTGTGCGAAGTCTACTTTGGTTGGTTGCTCAGAGAGAGCTTGAACGCGGCGACGGGCATCTTCGTTGCGCTTCTTGAAGGCTTGGAGGGAGGTCGCGGTGGCTCCCTTGAGTCCGAGGGATTGGGAAACTTTGGCCCAGTCGAGTTTGAGGGCTGCGCTGCGCTGGGAAGGTAGAATGGTTAGTGATAATCCAGACTTATTAAGGGCGAGGGGTGGGAAGTCGGGGCAGAAGTCTTCGGAATTCTTCGGAGGGGTGCAAAGTCTGCACGACAGCGAGTTCTGGGGGATAAAGTTCTGCTGACGGCAGTTTGAGTTCAATTAGGAAAATTAACTTACTCCGGCTGCCATTGTGAAGGTGTTAATATGATTAGGGAGTGGAGAACTGAGATGTGTTGAATTCGTCGTCAAAAAGCTGCAAGTCTCGGTTCGAGCTAGAAAATACAATATCACGTGATACTACCACAACATTCAGCCTGGTGAAAGATCTCTTAATTTATCAGTATTAAACAGAATCTCGTTTTTGTTTTTGTTTTTCATTTTAATTGTTATTTTCCTGAACTTGTATATGTATCAGACGTTTGTTTAGGTGGAAAATTTTTTGAAAAGATTTCACATTGTCGCAACATCACAACATCACATTTCAAATTGGTGAGTATAAGTAGAAATCTATGTATATGAAGGTGACATGGCTTAAATTGGAGTTTTACTATTTAGCACTCCCAAACTCATTCGGGACGTGTGTGACTGTATGCCCACGTAATACCGTTGCCACGCATTCATAGAAGTCGATCCTGAACAGCAATACACAAAGATCCAGCTAAGCAAGCTTAGACCTATATGCTTAGAGCCATAATGGAATTGACTATATCGTTGTCATTCTCCTTCAATGCCTTTACAGCCTTGTTGCGCGAAACACTGGCTTGAGTCATGACTAATTCAATATCCTTGTCCTCGAGTCCAGTGGCATCGACCTCCTCTGTGTCATCTTCTTCCTCTTCCTTCTTCTCCTCGGTGTCAACAGCCTTGCCCTTTCCGTGATCGTGGGAGTGGTCATGGCCAGAGTGATCGTGACCGGCGTGATCGTGGGATTCTTGAGCAGCCAATTGTGCGGCAGCAGAAGCTTGAGCTTGGGAGTTAAGGTCCTCAATCTTAGCCTCACCGAAAACACTGGAGAAATTGTTAGTCCAAAATGTATTTTTGGAGTGCGGGGTAGAAGTTCCTTACATGTAGGTGTTGCTGGTTGGGGACTTGTAAACCTCTGGCTGGTTGATAACAAAGAGGATCTATAACCCGAGAATTGATCAGCAAGAAGTCTTAAGGTTATCCTCAAATGCTGCCAAAGCTACCCCGCGCTGTGAAGCACCAGCGCTCAGTCGCGAGAGCTTCCTTCACAAATCGCGAGTAAATAATCCAACTAAAAGTTGCTTACGTTCTTTGGTCGTCTCAAAGTGACTCTGGTAATACCAGGGACTCTTGTAAGACCGAGCTTAGCAATTGACTTGCGTGCCTTCTTCTCGTTGCGGGAGAAAGCGACTTGGGAACCTGCTGGGATACCAGCTACCTCCTCTCCCTCTGCCTCAGAGTCAGAGCTGTCGGATCCCTCATCCTCTGCGGTAACTTGTTGCTTGGTTGGCTCCTCGTTATCTGGGAGTTCTTCGATACGTGGGTTCGACATGTTGGGTGGTGGTTATGGCTGTACAAAGGGTTGTTAGAAATTTTGATGATATTGTCGTTGTTTTGGGTTTCCGAAATTTTGTGCGTGCGCTAAAGAAATTGGGGGGCAGTTTCCTTGTACGGCGGAAAACTCCACCACAACAAGGCTGATGAACATTGTGAACATAATGGTATTCACTAACCTGACTTTACAAGAAGACGATGATATTAGATATGGGCTTGGAGAATCAAATAATGAGGTTGTCACCATTGCAATTAATTAGGGTTGTGAGAGTTCGCTAAGTATTAGGTAATCAATGTATCTACTCCATCTGGCTGAAATTGGGCTGGGGCAATTCTGGGGGTACAAATTGTTGAAACGACGTCAGACTGGGTCAAGATGCATTCAATATCATTTATGGTTGTGGAATTATTAGTATCAATATCTGGAATTGTCCGATAAAGCAGTAAAATGGCTCCTAATTCATTGTGCAGGAATAGGTTCCGCATCTCTCATGTCGAGGATATATCAAAGTTCCAGAACCAAAATCACAATCAAAATAACGCCCAGTATTCAGATCTTGGAGAGAATTGGTTTGGAGGTATTTTTGAAGTCCATATGCTCATTACGCCGGTCAAATTGACGTAGGATACAAAGCTCAGTTAAGAGCAAAGGAACCCATCAACCCTTATGTAGTTTTGCTTGCGCTCCCAAATATTCCATTACCAAATCTATGCCGCGGCGATCTTAGCCCTGGCAACCTTGACTTGGAATCCAGCTCTCTTCCTCAATCTCATAACCTTAAATCGCTCGAAATCTGTCAAAGCAGCTCTCTTGGCTTGCTTCTCACGCTTCTGGGCCCATGGGCTTTGTTGCCACAACTTCTCGATACCGGCCTTCTCCCACTCCTTTTGAACAACACCAGTGCGCGAGGCTCTTGGGAGACCCTTGAGGACGAGAGGTGTGAGGACGACATTGGCGAGGGAAATGGCTTGTCTTGGGACAGCTGCGAGTTTGTCGGTTGCTGGGCCATCGATAAGAGCCTGTTTTTTTACATGTTAGTTTTCTTCCTCTTTCCCTCCAATCTTCACCAATTGTACGTACGCGCTTGTGGTCGATGATCTCAACGATCGCGGCAAGCTTGCCATCGTGTGGTCCACCAGTTACGAGGACGACACGGCCGACCTCAACCAGTCTCCAGGAAGATGCTTTGATATCTGCGTCACCCATTGTGAAATCTTCTGAAATGAGTGTATTAGTTGATTGATTTCTAGAAGTTCAATGAATCGAGTAGATAATTAAGGAAAACGTACGGGGCGTCGTTGGCGAGGATTTGTCGATGTTTAGTTGTCGATTACTTTCAAAAAATCCGAAAATCGAAAAAGTGCGGCATAAGATCTAAGCGAAATGGCCCTAGAGATTTACAGATCATGTGATCAGTCGGCCGCATTTTTGGACATGTGGGAAAAGGCTAGAACCAGATGGAATTAGCGTTCTTTTCGGTGGGTTCAAAGCTTTTCAAATGGAACTTCAAAAACTTATAAAAAAATTCTTCTAATCAATCTCTTCATCTTTCTTCCATCTCATAAACAACAACCACAACACAAACACAACAAGTGCTTGAGTATTTTATGGCTTGAATTGAATTATTCTTGCTGCAATATGCCTCTTCTTGAGCAATTTTCTGCACATCTACAGGTATAAGGTCAGTACATCAGCATTTCTTCAGCCTCTTTCTCTACCTAAATGATGAGATAATTTGCGATTGACCTCACTTCGATGGCACCCTCGCCGGGGTCGCTATATCATGCGAGTGGATGAAATTCATTCTTACATATTCTGATTTCCTTTACATTATGATCATTAGTATCTTGGTATCATTTTTGGTCGATCCCTTTGCTAACAGCTCGAAGTATTAGGAAGTGCCTTCATTGATCATCTTACTATGACCAACTTGCTACACATTTCACCCCGCCAACTAACATAGATCACAACAATGATCTCAAATCTTCAACTCACGCGGTATGTTACAGTTCTTCTTCGCACAGCATCCTCCCTATCCTACTATGATTAAGAAAAATGCACTGAAAATACTGAACTCTCCGGAGTCATGAAAATTCAACTTAACCAAGATCTATGAGCACAACAAACTTCCGTTCTTACTACTAGTTGCTTCACTTGTAGAATCTCTTGCTAATTAACTCAAAGCTTAGGAAGAACTCAACAACACACACATGAAGGCCATCGATAGATTGTGCCAAACACCTTTCGAGGTATCATTGGACTATGCCAGGCGGTTTCAACCTTGGCAGGAGTAACAATCTGCCATGGCCATGCAAATGCTCAAGATGTTAAAGGAGGCATCATTAGATAGATTGGTAGCTCAGGGACAATCAAATTATATTTACTACTTTATACCTCTACTTCACATGACTTGACTATCATACAATTCTCTTTGCTTTGCCCTGCTGGTTTTCGGAGGAGATAGTGCGGGAGTTGTTGGAGGCACGTCATGCATCGGGGGTGTTTGACGACGAGACGTATACGGATGCGGTGGGGAGAGTGGATAAGGAGCATGATGGTGTGAACGCAAATGCATGTTCTGTTCTTTTTCCATTCAAGTCAATGATTTTCGTCTACTCCGAATTCCTTGGCATGTCACTTCCCCATAATGCTAGTCAATGTAGGTGTTCCTTTTGCCTGAGTCGGGGCACGTATCGTATCTGTTGCTTATGTGCACAACTCATCTCGTTCGCAACAACAGCGTCGACCTTTTGGTGTTCCCTCGCCTTTTCGCAGGCAGAATCATCGCGCTGTGTACCTGTGACCCATATCATAATTTGTCATCAGGCAGTCCTAGCATTTTATCTCATAAGATACAATCTGAAGATGTTCCAACTCACATCTCTCCTCACATCTATCATCAACTGGGCATCAGATCCGCCAAACAAAGGATCCTCTCTATATAAAATGCCAATCCGAGATTAATCATGATCACAACATAGTAACAAATTCATTGACGTCGCTATATTGAATCTTCCTAACCTGACTTCATACTAACCTCAACGCTTTCTTTGTAGTATTCTCAAAATATCCGCTATCATAACGAGCATCACATGCACCCAATCATTGGTAATCCATTGTGGGAGTACGATTGTATACTAATCAGGCGAAAATCACCCATGGCAAGTTGCGATAGTTCGGTACCACCAAGAAACAAACTGTATTTCTCAGTGCCACTCTTCGTGCTGACATTTTGATGATTACCACGTCGGTGTTGAAGCTGAGCTTTTGTTTGCATACTCTGCCTAGTACTGTGAATGAAAGGGTGGTGTTTGTCAAGTTGAGTGCGATTTTGGATTAAGGTTGTAAAATGACCATCAGATCATATTTCATTGTTAGTTTGTATCAATCAACTACATTTTTTAGTATCAATTATTGTATAAAAATAATATAGTATTAAAGAATAATGTTATCTAAAGTTTAATATTCAAGTATACCCAATAATACAATTATATGATATTTTGATATCAAGCAATTGACATTGTTGGGTCAAATGAAGTTATATTATAGGTTATGACTTGACCGTTGTATCAAGTCCTCAAAGTTCTTGAGGTCCCTTTGAGTGCTGCTGCGTCTTCCAAGTCTCAATTGAAGTAGAAGCTTTTGCGCAGAAGGCACTACTTCGTCTAGGTATACAATGATGATTTCGAAATCGACCTCTCCTGTAAGTGCAAAGTGCTCTCTGGTGAATCTAAGCTTTTTCCCCGCAAGATTTTATAGTTAGCGTTAAGAAGAGCTACATGCCGAAGAGGTCCAAACTAGTGCTAGTAAAAGTATGCGTCTTAAATCAAAGAGCTGACAACTTCTTCTCTCTCAAGTGTAAACTACTGATGATCATTCTTAATTCCATCAACGGATTCAATACTGAGCTCTTTCTTAGTTGCGTTAACTCAAAAGGGCTAACCTCCATCCGTAGAAGTCGTACAAGACAGAGAAGCAAGTTCGTATCATAATGTTGGCCTAAGTCAGATGGCGCTTCATGTTCACTCGTACCCCGTAGAACACTCAATACCAGCAAGCCATTAGAATACCCCCAAACAGCACCTTTCTAGAGCTCAGATGGCTCCAATACACGGTAGTATCCGTCTTTGCAGTCTGCTACATGTGTTTAGTTGGGTTGTTGCTTGAATCTCCGGAAATTGGCTTCATTTCGTTGTGTGCTTTGCATTTCGAGGTATTGTGCCGGTAGCTGTGCCTAGCACCCATCTCTCGACTTCATGTTATCTTTCTGCTCTGATTGCACCGATGATTTTTTTTTTATTGTTATTATAGTCACGGTCATGATGATCCTCATTGTCATTTCCATACTCGTTGTTCTCATGATTATCGTAGCTTTCCAATCATCGTGTTTCTGTAATCATCATATATTCATAATTATTACCATCCTCATGTTTATTCTCATCCTCGCGCCCTGGTTCTCTGTTCCACTTAATCACCCAGTCTTCCTCAATCTTGTTGTCTGGGCTCTGCAATGTGTTATTAGACGAAGTGCTCCCTTCTACATGGTGATAAATTGTCCATCTTAACACCACGCACACTGTCAACACCAAAGTCTGAAATGAAAGTAGCTAGGAATTTCCAGCTATTTGACAACGCTCCTCAACTTCGTGAACTAAATTAAAAGCGCTATTGACTTACCTCATAGCTTTATCAGTGCCTTCATTAGATTAATTGACGTCTCATTCGATCAACAGACGGAGGGACCTTTACCGTGCGAATTTGGTCTATCATAAAAAATGGTGGTGATATTTCGTCTGGTTTAACTTGAACAGCATACCGTCAAGCGGACACTGTAATGCTATTACAGCCTTAGAAGCCCCTATTGTTCTCGCTTCCGAGTTCGAGACCCATCAACCAAGGATGCTGCACGACGATGATACAAAGCTAGTGTACAGCATGACTTAAGAGCCCTTCCTTGAATTCTCTGGCGTCGCGCGTTTCACAATATGATCAGCTCATAACCATGGCTTGTAAGGCTGATAATAATGTCATCATGATGGCTGATCCATTTCACTGCATAGCGTTCCATCATCTTGAGATCCTCTTAGAATTTATATCAGACACCGGGGGATGGGGATTACATATTTGGCCTTGCGATCTTTCTCATGAACATCGGCTGTCATTAACATCCTTTTGACTAAAGGAAACGGCTGAATCCAGTTGCACTAAGTAATATATTTGGTCTCTTCAAATACATATAGATATCATGCACAATAATCCTGAAGTATTCGACGATAGGCAGCCGTTTGAAAGACGAGTAACCCTTCGCAGAAACTAACTGAGCGAATCGCCATATTGGCTCTCGCAGCTCAATTATGAGCTATTGGTACAAAACATATCTTGAAGGTTTCTTGGAAGGGGTAGAGCTTCCAAATTGTGTGGTACGTAGGCTGTGAGTATAGAGAGTGGCACCAGAGGCTAGAAAATATTGTGCGGTTATTTCGAGGACTCACGTCTCAAGTACTGAATACAACTTTATGTCGGGAATTTTACTCGTTTCTCAAGTATACTGGACTATCCGTAAACATCACTCAGATACAACCGCCACCTTTGACTATCCAAGTACCAAGCTTCTACAATCTTGCTTTTCCAAGCTCCAAATCTGCCCAGTGATCTCGATGGAACTCTACATATGTATTGCCTTTACCCTTCTCCTCTATCCACAACAATTTATCGCCCGATTTTACTTTGTCGTGATCAACACCCTGTTCACGAAGCGGTGTTTTATTTTGTTTATTGTTATGGATTGGCACCATTTCCTTGACGATCCGGAGGAATACCGGGACTGCGTATTTAGGTAGATGTTTGCGTGTGTGTCTGTGGTTTGTTAGTTTGGAGTACATAGAACCAAGAAGAAATCCTCGAGACAACTCACTTCAAAAGCCCAGCAAAGTCGAAATTGTTAATACTTGGATCGATGAACACAGCAGCACATCCAGCTCTGCCATCATGAGAAGGTAATTGAACACCATAAACAATAGCCTCCACAACTCCGTCGTACTTCCCTAATACCTCTGCAACTTCTGCTGTGCTAACATTTTCTCCCTTCCAACGAAAGGTATCGCCTAATCGATCAAGGAAAAACCATCGTCCATCATTATCTCGACGCAGAGCATCGCCAGTCCTGTAATAAAGATCTCCTTTCTTGAAGACATTGCTCTCGAACTTCTTACTCGTCGCCTCTGGATTGTTGAAGTAACCCGCGAATGCAGCTGTATTCGGAATCGCAACGATAATCTCTCCACCTTTCTCAAATGGTTCCCGAGTTGCAAATCCAGTTTTAGGGTCTCTTGCAATGGCCCCAGAAACATCGTCTATCTTGACAGGAACATAAAGATCGTTAAATTGCCATCTGGAGATAAGTCCATGATGTCCCACGCAAGTAGCCAGCCAATCTCCACGTGCATGATTGGTGAGTGCAAACACCCCTTCTGTACTGTTGAAAAACTCAACAACTTCAGGGACCCCGAATCGATCTTTGAATTTGTTCCACACATCTGGACGCATACCGTTTCCGTACATGACTCGAACGCAATGATCTTTATCCTGAGGAGAGGGAGGCGCGGCGAGCAGGTAGCGAGCTGTCTCTCCAACATATGTGAACCATGTTGCTTTTGAGTCTCGTATATCTCCCCAGAATTTCGAAGTGCTGAATTTCTTGCCGACGCAATTGGTGATTCCGCTCATCAGGTTTGCTACAGCGGTAATACCACCAGTCCCATGATACAAGGGCATGCAGTTGTACCATCGATCATCGTCCTTTATTGGAGACTTACCCGCTGCTCTCTATGGAAATTATCAGCAATCTTCGCGGTAGACAAAACACGATCTAGACCTTACCCCAACTCCCGCCGCGAAGCCTCTGGCTACCTCGAAGTTACATCCTTTCGGCAACCCTGTAGTTCCGCTTGATGATCGATTAGCCATCGGATTTTTTTATAGCCCGGAAAGAACACTAACCTGGTATACAATAAACCCAAAGGCGAGTTCCCTTTGACTCCCTCCCTATAAATATCTTCCGGTCTTTCAGCCTTTCCACTGCGTATTTCTGATAGCGTAGAGCTATCCATGAATACAATTTTAATCCCCAAATCGCCCTCCAACTCCTCTTTCTCAGCCTCAATCCTCCCTCTCAACTCCGCATCATCATCAACCAAAATGAGTTTGGCTTTTGGAACCTTGACGCAGTGAATTAATGCCTTCCCAGCCAGATTATAGTTGATCATTGCTGGAGCAGCTCCTATCGACCATAATCCCAACCAGGCAAACAAAAAGTCCGGAGAGTTTTGAAGGTAAAATGCTACTAAATCGCCAGGCTTTACGCCCTGGGAGAGATACCATTGACCGTATTGATTCACGAGATCGTAAGATTGTTTCCAAGTGTAACAGCCCTCTCGTGACCAAATACATTCTGTATTTGGATGACGGTGCACGCTTTCCTCGAACAGATAATAAAGACATAATTTTTTGTTTTTCTCTAAGGTGGATTGTTTTAGTAAGAGCAATGTGATTTTGGCAAGGCGTCCTACCAGCTTCGGCGTACCATTTCATGGCTCGTCTCATTTTCAGTTTATCATTCAAATCTTTCAATATCGAATATTTGCCATCGAGATACATTGCTGCAGCAGATGTACCTGCTACAACTGCTGTTGCTATTCATTTTGATCAGTATGCTGTTTGAAGATCAAAAATGAAGCTGTCTAAAGTCGGTGATTGTAATGAGTGCCATTTGTTCTCCAATTCATGTAATGGAGCCGGAAATAGGCTGTGTCTAACCGTGGCTTGACGGAGTAGAATGCGGGGTTTAGTGATAGGATGTACTTACCGAGCGCCATAATGATTGAAATCAAACGCTGTTACTATACAAACAAATTGGTATTTAGGGATATCAAGAACTGCAAAAGGCTACAACAATCAGTGAAGTGTCAATGAAAAGGACAAATCTTGGAAAAAATGGAAGAATGTTGAACAGAATCCCCCAACAAGTTACAATGGTGAGTGCCTTTCGTCGGTAAAGCTACCTAGGTATTTGTCGATCACCGAGGCAGGCTACCCCGGATTTCTGACCCAGGATTGAATCTTGATTGGTTGGACTTGAGGCATAACTACGGACGAAACCTTTGCCGTCGCTCCTATCCGCCCCACCTCCGCTCTTTGATACTTCCGACCCACACGATACCTTCCAAAGCGGGTAGACTCCTTGTTTGTCGAAACTAAACGTAGAGTTGGAAGTAACCTGCTTGACGCGTGTGCTACGAGATAGGCTTGTGAGTGGTTTGAACGCCACATTGGTTGTCAGTTACTTTGGCAAACGACCGAATGTCCAAATTCGGACGATACTCGGGGTTCGGAGGCTTGAGTGCTTGAAGAGAGGTGGGCTTGGTTAAGACATCTGGATTCATTCGCGCAATCATTGTTACTTTTGGTAGTTGTGCACGGACCCACTTTAGAGGAAACGACAGCAATGAAGGGGCAATCATCATTCCTTGGTCAAGAGTACTAGATATTGAATTGAAACTCGCAATTCAAGACTATCTTCGAATTAAAATACATCGGTTATTCGTCGTCTTCACTCGCGTAAACATCAGTGTACATGGCATTCTCTTGTGGATTTTCAGAAAATATCGTTTGAGGTTATATTTGGACAGTGTAAGAGTATTCATCATCTTCATTGGTACCCATCATTCGCAACTCGCCAATCAATTTCGAAATCAAAATTTTCTGCCTCCATTCTTTGAAATATCCTTCCGCGGCTTTGGATTTCGACGCTACTTATCTGTCAGATATTTACTCGAAGTAGAAGGGATTACGTTGAAATTTGCTTACATTTTCCTGACTTGAATGTCCTTGGTTTGGATGATTAGATGTTGACCAATGGTTTGTAAATGTACCTTGCGCATGCTCTGGACTTTCCGGTGGATAATTTGTTTGCTGATCTGTTGAGGACGAAACTACTACTAGGTCCGGCGGGTCAGGTGACAGGGAAGAACGATCATATGTCCCTAAGGGTGGGACTCCATTATTATCTGGATATATCAGATTCGAAGCTTGATTGTGCCAGACACCCCTTTGCTGTCGAGGCGACAGATTAGATTGAAATCCACCTCGAAACTCCGTCTGCGTTGCGGTTTGGTGAGCAGAATGAGGGTTCTGGTGTGATCCAATCTGAAGCTGGTTACTGTTCGAGTTTGGGGTTTCTTTAGGCCCCCCAGGATCCGGATTCGGGCCTGAAGCTTGTATCTGCGAACTAGAGTTTTATGTTGCGAATTCCAGTACCGGCCAAAAGGTCGATGATCCGGACACTTTCCTGCTTTTTCTCCAAGGATAGCGCGAGCTAGTTTCTTGCAATGCTGTCTCGTAAGTGCGAACTGAGAGCAAATATATCCATAGGCAGGATTCTTCTCAGTGGTCTTCCATCTCGAGCAGTCGACAGGGCAATCAGTGAATGCGTCCTTGAACTCCCAACACATCTTTCAAGGAATAGAGATTTCTGTTTGGTGATTCTCACAATTATGATCTTGTGCTAAGCCGTTCTATATCATCTAATTCGTGATAAAAGACGGTGTTATGAAAGAGACACTGCTTTGAATACCGCATCGTCTGAAGAACCAGCACCTTCCAGTGCCGTCTTATATTAGAGGAAAAATATCCGAATTCCACATCCTAGCCAAAAGAAGTGTCCTTAGCTATATATTTCACGTTTTGCAGACATGTAGCTTTGGCTTTAAGTTGTACATGGGTCGTTATATACAATTTATGGTGGAATCACTAGAAGTCTTTACAGCATCAATTTAAAATCCCGTTCTCGATTTTTCAAAACTCAAAACTTAATACTGACCTGTCAGTTATGATTAACTTTTTTTGACCATCGCTGAGCAAAGTTCACATGTTTTGAATTCACCCACTCAAGCATGTTTTTCTTGCAGGACCTGTAAGGTCAGCTGTGTAGGATTGATCATCAAATCAACTACTTTCCTCAACTATGTATCCCATAATCTTCACTGAAGTGTCTTTGACCTATGTACCTGGCCAGTGGCTTGGTTATGGCTAAAAATTGACTAATCCTCTAGTACTGCATCTGCTTTGGGATCCATTTGTTTGCCTGCTTGGACCCTGGACCGTGTGAGCTGCGTGAGATCCACTGGTTCGTCCCCCATTATCATCATTGTGTCAGTCGGAACTTCCTGGATTCTATCTGGTTTGATTGGACGAGAGTCTGCCTGCACGGCGTCTACCCCTTCCAATTCCACCTCTTCCAACTCCACGCCTTTCAGTTCCTCCCCTACGACCAGGGCCTCTGCGTTCTGCACCCCCAAAACCTCCACTTCCACATGCACAGCCTCCACCCCATCCATCTCCACAATTAAATCCTTCACTTCCAACCTCAGTGTCACTTGATCCAGAATCTTCATCCAGATTGCCTGGGCTACTGACGGAACAGGTCCTCTGGTAACTACTAACCAATTAATCGAACCGTCCTTGAAAACCTCATCGCATATATCTTACCTCCGAAACCTGCAGTTTGGACAAGGACACTCGGCCAACGATTGTACGTAGATGAACTGGTGGGAAGACACTCCACAAGGATGCATTATAGTGCCGTAATTGCAAGGAGACTCGCAGCGATACTCACGATAGCCATCAGGGCAGGATGCCCAAATATTTCCTAAGTAATAGCACATTGTGTTTTTGAGATGGTTCTGAACACACAAGAGGAAGATCTCTCAAAGAGTTGAGAGATTGCTGAGTTATGTAATATGGCTGGAGAAAGGTTGTGTCTGGGGTAAAGGAAGTGTACTCTGAAGTGTTTTTTTTCAATTGAAGATAAGTCGTTTCTCCTAGAACTCTTTGTGAAGTATCAAAGCTCAGTAACTATACCATGAAGGATTTGCAATGATCATCTTTGTTGCTAGGCGGTTTCGTGAGCTTTGCTTTCGTTTAACTCAAGCAATAGAAAGGAGTATCTCCCTAGACAGCAAAGAATCAGGGTTTTAATTTGCTTCGAAACCCCTACTGTTCAAGACTTCTTTTGATGGTTTTATGGAGAAAGATTTTGTGCCATAATCGTCACCCAGCTCAGCTGAAACAAGCGTCTGTTGAATTGTAATACTGTTTTACACAGACATAACTTACTAATCCTCGTGTTGGGGTGTCATAGTTGTGGCTATGCAAATGAATTAAATGAAAGCAACATGACAGTTCCATGTATATTCAATTAGAGTTGTGCTTTCATCAACAGCTCAATAATGAATACATCAAGAGATCGCTCTCACACAGCCTCAACATACACGATGTCAATAATCTTGCAATTCACGGAGATAAGTAAAATGTTTAGCAAAGCCAGTGACACAGCACACATTCGCAATCAAAATCATGATTCTTGGACGCAGTATTTTGCGACCTTTGGTAATACTAGTAGCCGTTGTGTTACTCAAAGTCCACAAGTAATTCGACAAATGCCTCTGCTGGTATTGGTTCAACAGTAGCACAAAAATCCTGCATCCTTTGTGTAAAAATTCAAAAAATCATGCGACTGTCTAGTAAGATCGTGTGGGAACACAGCGAGCCTACTGAATTGAAAATAGGCCTTATTTTTGCTGCGATGAACATCAAAATCTTTTTAGTAATTTTCCAACTCGATGAATTAAGCCGATTTTTGTCAGCTCGTCTCGAAATTATTTCAAAGTTGCTGCACTTATGCCGTGGTTACGAGAATGTTCGATCTGTTCTGACCTCAATCCATACTCAAAAAATACAAGAACGAAATGGCGCCTTGATTTTGATGTGGATGCTACAGAAGTCCAGCATCTCAAAGTTGATTCTTTCCAACTAGCTGCTGGAGTCAAACTATCTTGTATAAATTGTTCTATAATCATGGAAGGCCTGAATACCATGAGCAGAAACTTGACATTCTTCGACTCCTCCAAGCCATTCGAGATGGATATATACAAACGCCACAAATATCCACTACGAGTAGAAGTAACGCCCTTTGAGCAAGATGAAACAGATTCAAATGGCGGGAAGCCCGGTATTCTCAGATCATTATCTAGTTGGAGCGATTTGAAGCGGCTCGTGAAACGGAAGAATCCTCAACGACCCAAAGTTCGATATCAGAAACCTTTTCAATTCGAGTACCATATGCTACCAGGTCAGTAATAGCAAGATACGAAGATCTAGTTTCATGTATATTAAATAGATTAAGGTCAAACGCTTGTTCAAAGCTCGAATGCAAGGCTAGGTCGATTTAACATAGCCGAAGGAGTACATCCTGAGATAACAGTTGAAAGTTGCGCAGTCATCATTCAAAGATGGGTCAAAGATTGCTCCGACAACCATCATTTTTGTTCTTCGCACTTTAATGAATTGCCATTCGTACCGACTCGATTATTAGATCTAAGTGGTGCACAGGGTGAATTGATCCGACTAGTTGAGACCAGGGGGTTTGTTGACGCTACCGAGCCATACGCAACTCTAAGCCATCGTTGGGGTGATGCTCACTTCATCCAGACAAATCAGCAAACTCTTCAGAAGCATAAGATTAGTATCGAAATCTGCGATCTACCGAGGACATTTGTGGATGCTGTCACAATACTGCGAACACTTCGCATTCAATACTTGTGGATTGATAGTCTATGTATTATTCAACATGATGATGTGGATTGGAAAGATCAAGCGGCCCAGATGGCCAAGATCTACTCTCGAGGTTGTTTGAACATTGCTGCAACAGCAGCAGAAGACAGCACAGAAGGTTGTCTCAATACTCGGAGCTTGAAACACGGTCAAATTTCGGATCCTAGATCGTTCCCCATTGATATCCATCATTATTCTCATGAAAGGCTAGTCTATGTCCGACCTTCATTTTATACATTACATCAGCGTTTCAATATCCGCATGAGGAATCGACACACTGATCCTGCCGACCATGAAATTACCTCTCTCATGTCAAGAGCATGGGTATTTCAGGAACGACAGTTAGCGCCACGTACCATTCATTTCCATCCATCGGAGCTAATCATGGAATGCAAAACGGGTCTTCGCTGCGAATGTACTGGCCTTGAGAAGTTATATGAGACCTCTAGATCAAAACTGCCTGGCATCCATTCGTTGGATAATCGTCAAATACTTGACAGGTGGCTTGGTTTAGTAAATGAATATTCGAAACTACTCATCACATACGATAAAGACAGATTGGTAGCTCTTACTGGAATAGCAAAAACCTTCCAAGATCGTCTTGATTCCCATTACCTTGCTGGAATATGGCTCAGAGATCTCGCTAGAGGTCTTCTTTGGAATACAGCAAAACCATTACGTTTCGAAAAAGGGTATAATGAGAATGTATATCGACTTGCGTCGGAATTAAAATTTGCTCCTAGCTGGTCCTGGGCATCTCTTGTATCGGATGGAAAAAACGCTCCAATTAATTACTTGGTACGTTATGAAGATACCTTGAAGGCGCATAAGCATTTCGCGTACATTCATACTAATATACCGAGGATGGTTGTAGATTCTCTGAAGAACAAAGAACCTGGATATCTAATTGTCCGAGGTCTAACCATCACTGCAAGATTATCTCATGGCTACCATCAGAATGATCATACCGTGAATGATGCTACGCTAGAATTCTTGAGAGGTCGTCAGAAATTTCACATTGGCTTTGCCATGGATCATAGTTTTTCTCATTCTATAGTCAGAGATGGTGAAGATGTTTATTGCTTACTGGTTGGAACTTCAAACAAGGGTAGCAATAGTCTTGGAAGGCGAGCTGACTGGCTTCAATTTCTTGTCTGTAAACTTTACCAGAGCTCTGGCGTTTATGAGCGTGTTGGAATATATCGATGCACATCAAGTAGAAAAGCACTCAAAGGATTCCAAGAAAGAGTCATGAAATTGATTTAGGTTCATTTGTTCAAATATAACTTATCTTTTGTAACAAACATCATGAATTCCTTGAGAACCATAGTTAAAAATATGTTATTTTGATGAGAAGTGTCACTTTGAATGTTAAGAATGTAGATATATCCACGGATATATCTCCATGAGGCGATTATATAACAAGACGAATCACTCACAAGCCGTGATTTCTTGGAATCTCGGATATTTGAAGGCCAAAAAATGAATATGCAGTGGATAACTTTAAGCCAGTGTTCGGTAATTATAAGTTTTTAATGTCAATGCAAAAAGAATTGTGACACAAGGACTGGAAGGAAATAGCGAGCTCATGGCAGGAGATAGGTACGGTTGAAGTAGTCAATATACTTTGTAGCTACTTATGGCATTGGCATTTTGAGTGTAGCAACATTAAAACAATACCCAAATCAAAATATCAAGTCTGGGTGTCAGCACTTGCTATGTATATTTCAATTCATAATACCTTCCGCACCAGACATTGATATGATTATTTTAGCGAAGTCAAAATACTAAATTAAACTGAATTACACATATCAATGTGAAAGATCAACCATGTACTTTGGAAGTGATCTCCAAGGAATTATAACGGACAGAAACAACGGATAAGAATGGCCATCTAGGTGCTGAGCAGATGTGCAGTTCCAGGGTTAAAGAAACATCACTTTCGAACAATGAAGAATGTTTGAGCTGCATTAGAAAGCTCACACCTGAAGTAAGAATCAAAACTGCCGTCAAAAGTTGAAAGCAATTCATGCAAACATACTTTTCTACTTCTCTTTTAGACTGTTAATGGCATATTTTCAATCAAATTCACCAGTATATAGACTCTCTATTTCATTGATCGCACTTCACTCTTTGTAGTTCAGATAATATATATCCTACTAAAAGCTTTAGTCAACTATGGCATCGACACTGAACTCTTCAAGACTTCCTCATTCTGGTAGCAGAGTTCTGATCTGAGCCCGCTTATCAAGTACAGTAAAATCATATCGTACCTATGTGCACGGCCTGGACTCTGATATACATTTGCACTTGCCGCGTTTACCGAGATGAAAGTTGCCCTGCACGCAGAGTCTATAGCCGTGTGTTTCATATCAGGCCTACCAGCTTTTCTTCCAACCCCAAACCAAAGCAGGAAATGATGACAACAAGGTGCCCGACGTGTGTCGCGGCTTCAATGTTTGTACAACTTCTCACAATGCTTCGTAGCTTGAATTGAGTTCAAGATCCCAACTAACTAAAGCAGGCCAAATCCCAATGCAATCTGAAGAATACTGCCAAAAGGTTCACAGTTGTGATTACAGCGATAGGCATATTGCGATTATTGGCTACTAAGTTTTGAAGGCGGTGATGAAACAAGAAGAGGGAAGAATCAAGAAGCGGTGAAAGATTAGAGGAGGTTCTAAGGTGTGATATGCTTCCAGACACGATATCCTATCTAGACCTAGGAAAAGTTTACCTCCTATGCAACTAGTGCCAAATGAGGTGAGTCTTGGCTTCTTCTGATTCTTTCGTGCATATAGTGTAGCGATTGCTCCTCGGTTCGAACACCATTAGGGATCGTTTGATCATGCTCGAAAATTGCTCTGATTTTTTGGATGGTCGTGTTGAGATGGGTGATTGAATGATGATTGTTTATTTGAGATTGGGATATTGGTGGTTTGTTTTTGTGTGGAGGGGGGATAATAAGAGGTGATTGTTTGCTTGAGATTGGAACTTTGAATGCTTGTTGTCTATATCGAAGTAGGACTTTGTGAGCTTATTGTTCGTATTGAAAAAGGGCAATGATCAAAATTCCAAGGCAATTTCGATTAGGTACTTACCTAGAGTTATGCCAATATGTTATGATTATCAAAGCTAGAAAATCAAATCGGGTCAAGTCAAAAAATAACCAAATAACAAGAGACTTCTTTTCATTGTCCTATATAAATATACACTCTATCTCTGTATCCAAGTATTTATCTCAAATTATATACAAAATGCCCGCCAAAATTACACCAAACCACATCATCCCCATAGGTATCAAAGAATCTCAGACTCAAAAATCTAAACCACCAACAACCAACCCATGACCCCTATAGCAGCCATGATACTCCCCCGAACACTGACCTTTGAGACTCCAGAGTCCAAATAAGGATAAGCAGTGACAGCACTAGCATCGCTTGTACCAGTCGCGCTATAGGCGCTTGGCATGGCGAATGTGAAAGTTTCGGTACTTCCAAGTGTGGAGGTGTCGATAAGGATACCAGTTCCGGTTATCGATACGCTACTTGAGGTAATGGTTTGAGTAGAGCTAGCGTTGGCGGATGCGGATGTGGGTTTTGTGATGAAAGAGGTGGTTGCGTAGGTTGGGGTAAAGATTATTGGGCTGGTGGTTCCAGCTTGGGCGACTACACTGGATGATTGAGGGGTACTAATACCTTCGGCGGATGTGGCGGCTGGAGCAGGGGCAGGGGCAGATTGCATGGGGACCACGGTTGCGATAGAGAGGACGACCGAGGCGTCACTTGGAATTGGAGTGTTGGTTACTGATGTGGTGGATGGTTGCGTGGAAGTGGCGGCGCTGGAGCTTACAGCCTTGACTGGAGTTTCTGGGCAAGCTGTTTCACCGGAAAGAAGAGCTCCGGAAGCGACACATGCGGCAGAAGATACACTAGTAGTCTCTCCAGAGAGTGACACACTAGAAGCGGCCGGAGATATAGCTGGAGTAGGGATAATGACCGAAGAAACAATGCTAGTAACCTCTCCTGAGAGTGCACTAGTGGAGGCAGCGGGTGTTTCTGGGCAAGCTGTTTGGCCAGATAAAAGAGCACCGCCAGAGGGTACGCATGCTGGGGCAGATACGCTGGTGGTCTCACCGGAGCTAGCTCCAGCTGAAGTAGTTGGTACAGAACTATCACTCTCAGCAGATGCTGGAACACTTGGGCTTGAACCGACAGGGACGATAGTGCTGGTTCCCTCGGTAGTGACAGTGCTCCAAGCATATGCGGCGCCAGATACTTGAGTTGTGTAAGCTTCTGGAATGACGGTAGCTGTTTGGAGAACAACAACAGCACTGCTGGTGTTTCCTACAACCGGACTGCTAACGGCAACAGAAGTCGAATTAATAAGACTACTGGCCACGGAGATCTCGGTAGATGAAGGCTGAGCAGCTGGAACAGTTGTTTGTGCAATTCCGCTAGTTGCTACAATAATATCAGAGGAAACTTCACCTGGAAGTGTAACTGTGCTGTAGATTGTAGCGGCAGATTTAACACTTGTGAAAGTACTTTGAATAGTTGTGGTCGAATCGATGTTTGCGCTGGATGGTGAAGGGGTGGCTTCTCCATCGGCAGCAGTGATTGGGCAAATAGTAGTCGAAAGAATAAGAGTTTCGGTTACAACAGATCCAAGCTCGTCAGTGCGTGTGTTTGTTCCGTAAATGGTAGAGGTAGTGTGGGGGTATGGAACTGAAGTAGTGGTAAGAATGCCGGCGACTGAGGATTGCTCAATAGAAGATGTTGAAGGTAACATGGTAGCAGTGGAGGATTCTTGAACAGGAGATACTGAGGCAATAATACTGGCTGTGGAAGATGCCTCTACAGGAGATGCCGGGCAAGCGGTTTGACCAGAAAGGAGGGCACCTGTGGAGACACATGCTGCAGAGGATAATGAACTAGAGGCGACAACGGAGACGATCGATGCGGCTTCGGATGTGGCGACACCCAAAAGAGATTCGGCTCGAGCAGTCAAGCTAATTACTGGGCTAGCAGTAGTTGAGATTTTGGTCGAAGAAGCAACGATAGCGGCTGATGTAGATGAAGCACTATTCATAATTAGTCTATACTACTTCTACAGATTTTTGAATACTTACGCAGCAGCGCTAGTAGCGGCCAGGGTATCATTTTGGTAAACCTTAACACTGTTGATGAGCCAGTAGGCTTCCTTGTATGCTTCTGGGTTTGCTCCGACATAACTATCACAAGTAGGATATTTTTCTGCATCATAACAAGTTGTCTCTTGCCAGAATCCAGTCTGTCCAGCATATCCTCCACAAAATGTTGTGTCAAAAATAATCTTGTGGTTGGCAAATAATCCATCAATGTTGCAAACTCCTCCTTCGGTAGTAAAGGCAGGAAGATCCCAGGTGAATGGATCTGGTGTACCAGCAGTTATATCGGCTGGAATTGCATCGGGTCCAAAGTTCCACATTCTGATAACATCACTAGTCCATTGCATAGCATATACACCACCCCCGTTGTTGTTGAATGTCGTTCCGTATGAATTCGGGTCGGAGTTAGTACCAGAGCATGCAGAGGTAGCATCTTGGGCTCCGAATATGCTTGACGCAGCAGAATCATCACAATTATATGTTGTGACGTTATCTTTTAGTTGAGTTGAATACTGGTTACCGGAAATATAGCATCCTTCTTCGGTACGAAGCGTTTGCAGGCTGACAGTCTTCTCGTTGATATTTTCAAGAATATCTATCTCTCCGTATCGTGGGTAATTAGTGGTATTGACGGTCCGGAACGCTGGCCAGGTACCACAAATACTAGCCGGCATATGCGCAAGGTCGGCAATAATCAAGCCATGAGTATAGGTCTCTTTACTTTGTATCCTAACACTGGGCCGGCCAGTGGTGACCACATTAACATAGTCGACACCCATATAAGCTTGTCCATTCTCGACCTTTGTCAAGGCTACACCAAGCTCGCTGTTTGAATTTCCGGCTACTTCTTTAGAGGTATATGAAACGAATCCGGTTGTTGGGTCGGCTCCCTATGGTCAATATATCAGACAAATTTGTTTCCCAATAGCTCCATTTCAACATGGATGATTCGTCCGATAACAAGCCGTTCCATTTGTTGCCCCGTCTCTTTACTTCCATCTAATTATCAAAAGAATACTGTACTTACCGTATAAAAATCGAACATATCAAAAAAATTGGTTCCTGCATAATCATCGACTAACGTATACTTATTCGTCGCGGAAACTTCACCAATGAAAGCAAGCGCCAAAGTGGCAGTGGAAACGATTCGCTGAATCATGATTAAGAAATTGAATGAAGAAGATAAATAATGAGTGACTAGACGTAACAACGTCGAGGAATGAAAAGAAGATGATTGACTTTCTCTCAGAAAGAATGATGAGAGTATGTCTTGAGCAATAAATGAGAAAAGAATGTATTGTTGTGGGCGACAACAACCTTTTGAACAAGGTACTACGAGTTCCTTTTTCGCAAAGCCACAACCTATCCAGTACCAACTTTGATAACTGAGGGGCTTAAAAAGACATTTCGAGACGTTGAAGCCATTTTCCTTATATGAGGGCCTGTTCTAAAGTGGAGGTCAATAGCATCTAAACCCGATATGATACGATGAAACAAACCAAAATGACTGGGGTTGAAGATTCGAGATCACTTTATCTAAGATTCTAAGGACGGATCAAGGATAGAGTCCCTCTCTCTGAGCATATCTGGACATAACGCCGGGTGTTCTGGATGAATTGGTTACGTGGAGATGAAAATTGTTGTGAATATATTAGAACTGTGGAGCTTTGAAGACCTTGCCCTAGTGTCTTTATCGAAAAACATTGAATATCGATTCGTAGAATTGATCTCGGAATTACTTGATATGAAGCCCCCCTGTTGCCCCTGATTTTTGATATAGTGGAAGAGCAGGGTGTGGAAGTGGAAATTCATCCTAAGAATGGTACGCGCCTTTGGTGTGTCGTGCTGATTGGACGAATGTTTGAGATGTTTTTGACGCTCTCGATCTCGAATACCTACCGCCCTAACAACATGAAGAAGAGATGAAATATACCTATGAGATGAACCTTCGAGTTATCTTTAGCAAAAGAATCCATTTACCTTTTCTGGTTCCAGAGTGGCAATTGAATTGCCAGCGATGTTTGTGATGACTGTGATGCCTGCACATGCAATCAATAATATTGGTTCATATATTGCTCGTGATTTGACGCCCTAAGTCGCCCTACTTGCCCTGCCTGCCCTGCTCACTACCAACTCACTTATGCATGTCATGCCATGCTGGAAAAACTCTCAGCCACAAGATGTATCGTCAATCTGTGATTGGTCACCCAATGTTGGTGGGAAAGATCAAAACTTTGGACTCATATTACCTGAAACTTCAGTAGCTTGCTCGGATTCTTCGTGGTCGTGCTGAAAGGAGGTAAAATTTCGGAGTCTTGAGTCTGCCCTTCGCACAAAATCTTGGGGTCCAAGAAGCTCGGTTGGAAAAATCTTTCGGTCCGCCAGTCACGTGTTAATGTGGAAAATTCAATGAACATGTCTACTATCAAGTTTGCCGTATGCTCAACTTCAATTTCAAGCCACAATGGCAAACTCTCAACGAAAAAAACGGCAACAGCGAAAAATCAGTATTATTTCCAAAATCATTCTTTAATTCGATAATCATTTTTTAATTTTTTTAATTGAATTATATGATTTAGAGGCTTATTATTTATAATATGTTTTTGATTTATAGATTTTGTTTTATCTTTTCGAATTGTTGTTCAAATTTGAAATAATGATAATTTGAAAAATCTCGATTTTGATGGGTTTGGTGTGCCGTTTTTTTCGTCCAGAGTGTGAATGGGCACCTACCGGTACCTCCAGCTACTTGTAACCTTGGACAAGTGTCAGAAGAAGGTGGATAATTCTCACGTGATTATACAGGAATTGGTTTGACTCCGCGAATGTTGATGTATCTAACTAAGGAGCGATCAAGGAAATTAAAAACAAGTGCGAAAACGACTAACTATGCAAAACCTCTTCCTCAAATCAAAGTGTAAGAAAAAAAATGAAATCAAGTAAGCGTTGCACCCCCCGCCTCCGCCGCCCCGGTCAGTAGCTCTTTCCAAAAACCAAAAAATGAACATTCTCGACAACATCAACCCAGATTGCAAAAAAATGCCATATCAAGTCAATCGAAATGAAAATCAAGGAAGAAAAGTCCTCCAGAATCTCGCTATTGGGCTGACAGCTGTCGCCATAACCCCACAAAAGGGAATCTTGCTGAGTTACATTACAACTCTAAGTGGTGAATACGTCGAGCATGATCCATCATCTTGTCACGACGATAAAATTCCCTGCCACATCCGGGTTCGGGGCAAGAATACTCTGGAGCTTCATGCTTCTTCATGTGACGCTTGCAAGTCACTTTGACGTCCAAAAGTCTTACCACAACCAATGAAGTTGCAAGCAAAACGAGGGGCGAGGGCGACATGGTTCGCGAAGGATCCAATGAGGAGAGCTGGAGGCGTAGCTTGTTGCCCAATAAGAGCAATGTTTGTATCAACCTCTCCGGAAATAAAGTCTTGTTCCGTACTTGTGTTCGGTGCCGACACGAGAAAATCCGTTTCCTGGCCGTGTAAATTGATGGCCGCATCGATTCCATCCCAAAGACCCTGAATATACCTATCATCACTAGAGGTCGTATTCTCCTCGAATGGTGTAAAATTCTGGAAGTTCATGAACGGATCCAAGAAAGCGGTTGCTGTGTCGCCTGTTGAATTGTAATTCCAACTCGGAACATTTGCGTGGTTGAACTCGGTAGGAAGTAACGCTGTCTGGTCGGCTCTCGCATTGTCGTTCCAATTAACATTGCCGAAAGTGTCGAACTCGTCGCAAAGTACATTTTCGGTCGGATATGCGAAGCAAAGACGACTTGCAGCGGAAATAATCAAAGGAGCTCCAAAATCACCAATAGAGACCTCGCCAGGGCTGGGTTCGAGTTGGACCCCAAAATGTCTTCTCTGTCCACTTTTCGCAGCGCTGGGGGAGGCATACTTGCGTTAGTTTGAAAAAAAAAACTGAAACTTACGGCTTCATGTTGGGCTTGGCCGACATATTTGCGTAGTACTGCAGGTAGGCTTCGGGCGACCAATAAAATGATAGGGCGATGTAGGGCGGTATGATGGGGCGAGCAGAACACGCTGCACTAGAATTCTGAGATCTGATTGGTTGAAAATTCGACATAATTCAAAAATTCACAGAGGGGAACAACCTTCTATAAGTATTTCGTCGGTAGGAAAGGTAGATCTTACCACACTACAGACTCAACTTCCACCCACCGAGTTCGTGCATACAATCCCGGTAATTTTTACATTCACCCCGAGCGCATGCTCTTAGCCTTTGCGCCTCTTTTATTATTATTTCTATGATCTGTGATTGTCGAACCAGAAATCAGGTCCTTCCTCTTTTGCGTGTTCGGTGACGTTACGATGGCATCTGGGACCGCCAGTTTTCGGGCTCCAGGCATGTTTGGGTGCGAATTCTGTCCAAAAGCCCTGCCTACCAAAGGGTCTTTGAAGTGAGATCATGCTCTCCATCTTCTCTATAGTAAGAACTTCATGTAGCTGATTACCGGGTCTAGTCGTCATCGTAACACTCACATACGACCATACAAGTGTGATATTTGCCAAAGTGGTTTTGCTTTGCGCAGCGATTTACGACGCCACGAAGGCAAGCATGGAAGTGTGGATCCACAATACATGTGCAAGTGGCCTAAATGTGACTTCAGAGGATCCGCGCGGAAAGACAATCTGCTGAGGCATATGAAAAAAATGCATTCAGAGGTAGTACCCACTGATGAAGAAGACACTTGCAATGCCACTCTCTTACGAGATGCTTACGATGAAGCGGTTGAAAATAGGAAGGAATCTGAGAAAAGTCTCACTATTCTGAGGCTCGTGCAAGATGGAAATATTACTTCGCTCGAGTTGCTACTACACGAAGGGGGTAATGTTATGGAGACCACTGACACCGGAAAAACCGCACTGCACATAGCTGCCTTTAATGGCCATTTGAAAATTGTCGAACTCCTTCTCAACATGAATATTGAGCATAACGCTAAGGACTCGGATGGAAGATCTGCTCTTCATGAGGCCGCTAGAGGTGGAAATTCTCAAATCTTCCGAGAGCTCATCGCTGCCGGACTGGACCTATTTGATAGAAACAACAATGGTGAAGATCCATTGTGTGAAGCGTGCCGTAACGGGCATCGAGATCTCGTGCAAGAAATACTCGGAATGGAAACGCAGCCCTGGTCAAGAAATGACTCGATATTATCTCTTTCTCCGTTGACCTTGTATTCAATATATAACCATAATATTGATGATGGCAAAGCCGACCGTCTGAGAAGAGGCATCAAACTGGCAATTGAAAATGGACACCGTGCTATAACCGAGGCTATTCTATTCCAGTACTTGGACAGCAACCGGACATTTTTGGAATATGCTCTTAAGAAAGCTGCAAGTTTGGGAGATTATCAGCTTGTCGTCTCAATCCTCCAGCGAAAGGATCGATTAAGGCTGCGGGTCTGTTTCCGCGCACTTAGGCTTGCTGCTGTACACAGAGATAGCCCCATCATGGACACATTGTTTGAGGAGGCAATCCGACCCAAAATCGGAGCTGATATGAAAGAACTCCATATCCTGCTTCTACGGGTGGCTGCTTGTGACAATGATGATATAGTTCGTTTTCTCATTGAAAAGGGGGCAAATTTAAATTACCAATCTGGTAGACATCGGTTTACACCTCTACACATAGCTTCTAGCCATGGCAAATTGACAATCGTTGCTACGCTACTCGAAGCGGGGGCTCACGTGGACCTTAGTAGTTACAAGGGTACAGCGCTTTCCATGGCCATAGTCCGAGGAAATAAAGAAGTTTCTGCTTTATTGGTTGAAGCTGGAGCTGACATCAATGTTTCCGTCAAGTATGGAGGTACAATTCTTCAAGAGGCTACTCGGAGAGGATATAAGGAATTTATTGAATTGTTGATCGAAAAAGGAGCGGAGATCAATGCTCCTGGTAGTCATCGTTCTGGGACAGCACTTCAAGAGGCTGTTAAGAAAGGAGATAAGGAAATAATTGAATCGTTGATTGAAAGGGGAGCTGAGATCAATGCTCCCAGTAGTCAATATGCTGGGACAGCACTTCAAGAGGCTGTTAAGAAAGGAGATAAGGAATTAATCGAATTGTTGATCGAAAAGGGAGCGGAGATCAATGCTCCCGCTAATAATGGTTCTAGCACAGCACTTCAAGAGGCTATTAAGAGAGAACATAAGGAAATTATTGAATCTTTTATCGAAAAAAAGGCCAAGGTCAACGCTCCCGCTAATTATCATTCTGGTACAGCACTTCAAGAGGCTGTTAGGAGAGGGAGTGAATCGATCATTGCACAGTTGATTCAACATGGTGCTGATGTCAACGCCCCAGAAAACCCAGGATCACCATGGGACCCTAATCCTGGGGTTGCAATCCAAGAAGCTGTGAAACATGGGGATCAAACAATTGTGGATATGCTACTACTTGCTGGAGCCGATGCCAATACCCCAGCTAACAAAAATCGTGGCACGCCTTTACAGGAAGCTGTAAGAAATGACAACGAGTATACGGTAAAACAGTTGATCGACCTCGGTGTTGATGTTAATGCTTCGGCTGTTGATTCATCGAATCACTCTTGGAGGAGCAATTGCAATCCGGAAATTGCAATTCGGGAAGCTGTAAAGAAGGGAAACCAGAAGATCCTGGAGATGCTCACTCGAGCTGGCGCCGTCGACCCTAAGAAAAGTTGAATTGGCATGGTAGTCAAAGCGAGCACTTCTTGTCAATCCATGCTCCAGATCAAAGATTTGTATTGTCCAGGTTATGTCTGGTAAGCAAAGTATGATTTAGCAATGCTGTTAGGTCTCTCAAGCTCTAGTTTTTTTATTGATATCTGCATATATATGACAGATCATTACTCACGGAAGAAAATTCTTCGCACATTTTCGATGAGTGTTAGCAATATATCACTGGTGACTACCTATTTTTCTAACAATGTGAGAGCGAGTGGTGGCAGAACGGGACTTGCTTAATACACAGAGTGACCTTTTTGGTACATACCTAGGAATACAATTGAAACAGCTGAACAAGGACTTTATGATTGTTTCTTGGTCCAATAAGTCTCATCCGTTTCAGATCAGCCATCTCAAATATAAATAGTCAAATGGTATAAGAATTCAATTTACCGATTAAATTCCATGATAAAAAGGTTGGTACGTTGATTCAGTTCCAATGCTTAAACTGAATCAGTATACCACCAAGAAAAGTTCACTTTTCCACATCAGCTATCTTCAATATTCCAGAATCCTTCTATGAACTTCTTTCATCTCAAACAAGATCGAGCCAACTCACCTTTAGCTCTTTATCCCAGTTACACCAATGCCTCTTTGGCGGTAGCACTTCATTTCGCTTTTCTTTGTTCGCCATTATTTGTCTCAGCCAGGATTCTCTTCCTTGACTACACATGTGATAGATTCCCAGCAAAATACGACAAGATAACACTCTTTCATTATCAACCTAAAGTTTTTTCAAAACCGCTTTGGGACAGGAAACTGTGCTAGAAGCTCATACACGCGACGATTGATTGAGAAAAGTCAAAGACGGAGATTTAAGCTGACTAGTCAGAAATTGCAAAGCCTTTGTACTCTTCGCTGGCTTCTTTGTTAGAACTTGAGCTCACAAAGAGGATTCTGAGTAGGAGTGACAGATCATTGGTGTACAGGGCTTTCGTGGATAGTTCGACGGTTTAGGTACGTTATACTTCTATGCGTTGGGTGGTTTGTATCATCAGAATGGTTGATATGAGCCTCACTCAGGTTAATTCAAGCCTGCATCAATCCGACAGTCATGCGTACTATTCACCTTCCACTCTAACTCTTCCCAGAAATCAAATGGAGCCACCAAACGCCATATCAACGCTTCCCAGCAAAGAACACCCCATCCCACAACCTCCAGGAACAACTTACGGCTGCATACCCTCTCGCCACCAACAAGAATCCGCAGCCGCTCGACGTGCCAGAGAATCACTCAAAATAAACAACCAAATCTTCAAAGGGTACATCAACACCGAACTCATACGATGTTGTGCTCTCCTCGCGACTTCCGAGTACGAACGAGCGCTAGGTCACGTGGAGAATGCTTCGTTTCTTGCAGAGGAACAGAATTTTTTCTATGAGATTAGTAAATGTTATTTGTATCGGGGATTGTGTTTTATGGGAATGAAGCGGTGGAAGGAGGCGAGGGTTGTGTTGGTAAGGGGGGTTAATGTTAGGGGATGGGGTGGGAAGGTGGAGGGGTTGATGAGGGAGGCTCAGATCAGGATTGATGAGGAGAGGAGGGGGAGGAAAGTGGGTGCTTGAGGAGGGATAGAGGCGAATCTTGTTGCGAGTTTGTGAGTTTGTGGCTAGGGCTAGGGCGGAATTATGATACCACTGTACATAATATAACGTTCTTCTGTGATATACATTCATTGTGCACAGCTTACTGGGCACTGTAGAGATTCATTTGACATTGAAATCTAAGAATGTAATAGTGCAAGACCTCAAGCGAGGCTCGAAGCGGAAGTGCATTAGGAACTCTACGCCTATTGTTCTGTTGCTTCAGCAGTTACAGCGTGTTTTCTTTCAATAAGATTCTAATTGAATTGACAGACTAGCGACATTTCTTTGTGATTTGTGATTGAGACTACCGAAAATAATTATTTGTGCCGGATGCGTTAAAAACAATGAATCGAGTTTTCCATAAAGAGCATTCTATATATTGATTCATAATTTAGATTCATGATATATTTCTATACTCGACATCAACTACAAGTTTGGATATACTGGCCCGTGAGAAACCTAGCTGACCTTACTGTACCAATTCAAGAAAGTAGCTATTGAACTTTGTCACAATGGCGGCGGTGCCACCACCAGGTGACGTAAGTATTACCCCATACTTATCCCACAACTTTCAAAGACCTATCTGATTGATTTGATTCAGGATGATAAGTGGGCTCCGGGATTTGAGTTGCCCATCCCGTCCGCAGAGGGAGCAGATAAAAAATATGAAGATAAAACCGTGCCCACGAAGAAAGCAGAGACCATACGAGGTACGGCCACTGTCAATCAACCTGGGCCAGACTTGGCTGAGAGACCTGAACAAGAAACCACGGCCGAATACTTTGAAAGCTGGGCTGAGGCGGAGAGGATGATGAGAGCCGATTTGGAAAAGGGGAAATTCACAGCAGAGCAAGTCGATGAGATTAGGAGATTGATGGAGGCTGGTGTAAGTTCAAGTGTTATTCTATTTCAAGCAATACCTTAGGATCCCGGTGGAATATGGATATAGAACCAGTACTGATTGCATCAATAGGCTATAAAAATGAAATTGCCATATAAAAAAGCACCTGGAGAAATGACAATAGCGCAATGGGAAGAGAAGGCCGCAAAGCTCGAGGATGAACTCAAGAACAAGGGAGAAGAAGGCGACAAGTACGTGGCTCAATTGATGGCACTCCAAGACCAGTTAAGGAAGTCGGAGGTCGCAAATCTGGAGATGGAAACCCGCAATGCAAAACTCGACAAGGAAAGGAAAGAGGCTATGGCTAAAATCGATAAAGCCGCACAAGAAAAGCGCGACAAAAAGGATCAAGAGAACAAAGATAAGGAGGATGCGAGGTGGAAAGCAGAAGCTGAAAAGCATGCACAGGCCTTGCGTGAGAAAGACAAGAAATTTCAAGCACTCAAAAAAGAAGTCGATGCCTTGTCTAAACGCATAGACACCGGACAAGAACAGCACGGCAAAAAGGATCAAGAGGACAAAGCTAAGGAGGCTGAGAAGAGGAAAGCAGAAGCTGAAAAACATGCAAAGGCTTTGCGTGAGAAAGATGACAAAATTCGGGTATTTGAACGCAACCTCGATGCCTTGTCTAAACGCGCAGAGGCCGAGAAAAAAGAAAGAGAAAAGGCTGCCGCCAAAGAAAAAGAAAAAGACAAGAGGGTCGAAATTCTGCAAATACAGGCTCTCGAAAAGGACGAGAAGATCAAGAAGTTGGAGAAAGACTTGGAAGAAGAGAAACATAAGAATGACTTGGAAGAGGCCGGATATCACGGGGATGATGAACTTGAAGCCATAATCAAGCGTTTAGAACATGAGAAAGAACAACTCAAGAGGGAAACTGCTAAATTGAAAGATGTGATCAGCGGCTTCAAAAAGCAGGTTCGGGCATTGGAGAGCTCACAAGCGAGATTCCTAGATGCTGCTATAAATGAAGAGCAGAGAGGAAAAGAGAGAGATGATCTGGAAGTTAATGTTGTCGAGTTGAAACGACGGGTCGAGCAATATATAGACGAAGAAAAAATACAAATCGAAAGAGAGCGCGTTTTGAAACTCGATAGGCAAACTCTCGGTGCTCAAGTTGTTCGGAAACAAGAAGAAATCACGCAATTGAATGAGGAACTCAAACAATCTAAGGAGAGAATCACTGCGTGTGAGAGTACTATACACACCTTACAAAAAGCAGTCGACGACTCATCTGGAACACTGGGCCGGGAATTTGTAGTCTTGGAAGAGGAAATCAAGAAACTAGGAAACAAAGTGAAAGAACGAGACGTCAGAATTTCTCAACAGCAGACAGAAATTGGAGCCCAGAAGACGAAGATTGGAGAGCAGGCATTGAAAATTAGGATTGGGACCCCGGGTGCAAGCCATGGAGAATTGGCTCTGCAGAACCAGGCCATATTTAAGGAGAATACGGAGCTCAAGAAAAAGCTGGAAGACATGGAAAAGAATCAAGGTGCAGGGGACACAGAAGAACTCAGGAGGCAATTAGAAGCTAGTCAAAGACAGCTAGAAGCTAGTCAAAAGGAATACGCCGTTGTTCAAGAACGCGTAGAGAAGTTATTGCAGGAGCTCGAAGAGGTCCGAAAGACAAAATTCGGCGACGGAGCAAATGCGAGCGAGATTGAACGTCTAAAGCAAGAAGTTAAGAAGGCTGCTGAAGACATTCAAAAGTTGACGCATGATACAAGGAAAGCTGTAGGTGAGATCAATCGACTGAAGAAAGAGAACGCGGCAGGTACCACAACGCTTCAAACTATTACGAAAGAGTTGAGCAAAGCCACGAGTGAGATCAGTCGCTTGAATGATGAGAAAGAGGAAGCTACTGAAATGATTCGTCATCTGAAAGAGGAGAACGAAGCACACCAGTTCGAGATCGGTCGTTTGAGGAGCCTGCGACCAAAAGTACAGGTTCATGCAAGCCAGAAAGAATTGGAGTATAACAAAATCAAGGTTGGTCATTACCAAGAGAAGGAATACCAATGGCGAATTGAAAAAGACGAACTCGAGGCTCAAGCTGAAGAGCATGAGAGGCAAATTCAGGAGTTAATTACGATAACGAAACAAAGTGAAGATATCGTCAGTGAAATGACAGTGGAGCAGACGGAGCTTCAAAAAATCGTGGAACAACTTAAGCTCGAACTGGCAGCAGCACCCGCGAAGCCAGTTGACGATGCTGGGGGTGTGGGTGAAGCACCTGCCGATGCTGCCGAACGTGAACGGGTTCATGCTGAGAAGATCAAAGAACTTACGGACCAGAATAGCGCACTCTCCAAACAAGTCGATGCGCTCAAGGGAGAAATTGAGAAGATACGAAAGGGCCTTACTGGAGCCCACACGGATGCAGAAAAGGAAAAGAATCAACTCAGCCAACAACAAGCACAAGCCAGTGCTCAGGCTATTCATATGCTGATGGGATTCATGATTCTTCAACGAGCCTTGAATGGTAAGGTCAATGGTGATATGGATAGAGTGTTGGCAGCAGTGGATCAAGCTAGAGTTCAGGCTGAAGCAGTCGGTGATGAGAAGTTGATTGTAGAAGTATCGTACTTGGCCGCTATTGCTGTATACTATGAAGGTGATACGCCTAAAGCTCTCGAAAGTTTCAATGCCGTCAAGGATTCCAAGGATTGGGATGATGCGAGGAAAGATCTCGTGAAAAAATGGATTGCACAATGTGAGAAGGGGGCTGATTGCCCAAAGGGAAGGAGCGGGTATAGAGAAGCTCTAGGACTCGGACCTGTGCCACCATCTTTCCGCGCTCCTCCGAAAGCTCCAAAAGATGATGATGACGAAGAAGCAAAGAAAGCAAGGGAAGAGGCTAAGAAAGCAAGAAAGGAAGCAAAGAAGGCAAAGAAGGTAGCGAAGAGGGCGGCGAAAAAATTCAAGACAGGGACGAAACCAAGAAGAGCTTCGGCGCCTAGAAGTCGTGGTATACATAGGCCCGATTTATACGTCGGTATCTTATCGCCGAGACAACAACAAATTTGGGATACTATTGATTTTAGTGATTTCGATTACAATCACTTAACTCCCGAGCAGCAATCTCTATTCTCGTTTTTCCCAATCGATTCTGAGCCAGAAAGCCCTCGACGACCAGTAGTCCACCGAGGCGCCGGACCTTCCAGTGAGCGTCCACCTACACCAGCTCGCCGACCAGTAGCCCATCGAGGCGCCGGACCTTCCAGTGAGCTTTCACCCCTGCCAACTCCCCGTGCACACTTCGGGCTCCCACCACTACCACCTAGTGGTTCTGATTCTGGTGAAGGAGCACCACCACCACCTCCTCCTCCACCTCCCGGTCCTCCAAGGCCGCCAGGAAAGAACAAACCTCCAAGACCAGCTTCAAGTGCCGCTTCCTCTGCCGCCTCGGCTCAAGCTGCCCAAGGGGCTCAAGAAGAGCAACCCAGTCGCATGAGTCGGCCTACCACAGATGCAGCCCTGCATATCCAGTACCTTGTTGCTCAACTGGCTGAAAGTGGAAGACGTATCAGAGAACTCGAACCTGCAGGCGCCACCGTAGAAACTTTGACAGGTCGAGTGCAAAGGAGAGATAAACAGATCGAAGACTTAAAACTTTTTTCTGAGCAGGTACTTGCTGAAAATATAGCGTTGAAAGGTGATGCTCAGTAGTGCCGGTACAGAATCGTACCAGACGGGGGGTTGATATGGCTTTAGTTTTCTTTTCTTTCCAAGAAGTAGGTATACCTCAATGGAAATGGTGGATTGTAATTGTTCTGTACATTTAATGATTATATAGTTTACTTGGAGGCATGCTAATACTTTAAACACACTTGTGAGTATTTCTATTGCCATAACTTGCTATGAAGTATTGAAAAAATTATGTATAATTATCATTTATCTGAAATCTATGCGTACATTATTACAACAGCTGAGTATGATCATAAACCGTGGGCATGCCACCCCTCAAAAAGTATAAATGCTTGAAAACGGGACATTCCATACCCAACTTGCAATAACCATAGCCCCCAAGCTCATAGTCAATGCCATAAGAAAATTGACCTCATTATTATCAAGGATGTTTAAGTATCCGTTCTCAATGATTCGACTTGGATGGCCAGGCTTGAGACTGGACTTAAGTGGAGTATTGGAAGCATCGGACAGGGTAGTCTTTTCCTGGTGCAGACCGATAGGATCATTCGCAACGACTAGTACGCGTTTTCCACCTTGTCCCTCGACGATACGTCCAGTCCTTGTGTCTACAACGCTCATTTGGAACCAACCGCCTAAGAAGCTATCCACCACACTACCAAGAGCTCCCCATATGGTTAACGCATAGGTAAATCGTTGTCGCTGTAAGAAGGACCATCCATTTCCCGCAAATTCCTGCGTGCTACAGAATGGTACCAGAGCCATCGAAACAGTAACTATAATGAGAGAACCTAGCAGGCCTGCCACGAGACCCCACACTGTAACACCTCCGTTTGTTCCTGGTGGTACCTTTCGCAGAGTCGGGGATGTAATAAGTCGTGGATAGGCTGAAGATAGGATTCCAAGTTCCGAGCTAAAGGTATCTGCCGCAACAGCTGCATAATTTGCTATTATTCCCACTACAAGGAGATCACCACCCCATGTATAGCATGCGTCGTTAGACGATTCTGGCTCGTTTCCTCGTTTATGAAGTTGATATGCGTGCATAAGAGTCAGGACAGAGGCAACGGCAGAATTCGAAATAACTACACACGTTAGTTTCAGCATTAGAATGGAAGAGGTAATTTCATACCTTGCATATGAGTACGAGCTCCTTCACCACCAGCAGACCCAGTAGATTGCACCGTTAGCTTAGCCTTGACATCGTGTTTGACCTATATTCATCAGAATGGTAGATGGATGAGGTTACAAAGAAGTAACGAACCTTGGTAACTCTTGTGCCAATGAGATAGAATATGATCAAGAGCGCAAAGGGTAAATTCCATGGATGTAGAGCGTGTGCGCCAGCAGTGAGAACAGCTGCAACAATACCTGCTGGAGTTAAACTTTTGTGCGATCCAGCTCTATATACCATAGCTAGAGTGACCGGAATAGCGATAGCCGCCTTCATAGTGACTTCAACTATAAATTAATCCTTACTAAAGACTATTGGAAGAACTCGAGTGAGTGACAGGCAGGAAGATGCTGCTTTGGAATGTCGAATGTCAAAATTGTGAAGAACAATGAGTGCGATGTTGATATTGTGGCTGTTCGTGGGGAGCCAATCAACAATGTCATCATGGCTCGTATACTACAGTATCAGATTGGCTGACACATTTTCAGACAACACGATTAACTAATCAGTAAGAAAAGCATCGATAGAAGGTTCAATTGTAGATAGATTTTGCAATTGTCATATTTTAATATACGAACCCATTTCCTTTTTTTTGGTCAATGTCCATTCTCCATACAACAACAACAAATTTGTTGAGTCCATATAACATGATGAGACGATGTACTTCGTAAAAACATTATGGGACACACGGGATCGGTAACCTTGAAAGGTTTCTCCGTGATATGTGACTTCCGTCTCCCGATGGCCAGTCCGGCTGCAAGTTTTCATTTGTCAAAGGCATAATAAGCTCTCTACAAACGAATCTCTTTCACAATTTCTTATCTTCTTCCCACCCTTGCTCTTAAAGTATAAACCACGAACTTACACCGACGTTCTTTATCTAAAGTGAATCGGCAACGTCCGACCACTTCACCGGTGATGGAGTGGAGGATATATGACGATATTTAATGGTTATGCCCAGCAGAAATGATCTGCTACCCATGTCTTGGCTTGCATGAGTGCTGAGATGGAGATATGCAGGTGTATCTGCAACTCCAAAGGTGGGTGGTATTTCCCCTCTTGATGGGAGAGTATACGCATCCCTTATCGGTATAGCTGATAGTCGTCAGTACATAATGTTTCTCATTCTCTGAGTTTTGCTTTCTCTTTTCTTGCATTTCTTCCTGCTCTCTCAATTTTACCAGCACCATGGTGCTCATCAAAGCATTGGTCACAGCGACTACATTGATTGCCTCGACAATTGGCAGTCCAAGTCCGAAGTACCCGAAGCCTGTCTCTAATATCACCGACTTTGTTGAGACCCAGCTGTTAGAGGACCCTTCTCCATATGACTTCCCTATTCTTCAAAATGGCAGTCTAGCGGACAGTGGTCAATTTCCTATGCCGTTATGCAATGGATTTAAGTTAGAGGAAGCTTCAATTGACCAATTGCAATCGGCCTTGTCAAATGGGACATTGACTTCAGTGCAAATCGTTATGTGTTATCTGGAGAGGATTTACCAAACAGACGAATATATCAGGTGGGTAACATGTGCATCAATCTCAAGCGTCATGCTCCATGCTCCACGCCCCCAAGGATTGACAATATCGATAGAACTGTAATGCAAATCAATCCTGAATTCATTCAGATAGCTTCTGCGCTCGACCATGAACGTAAATTAGGTAAAATTCGCGGACCATTACATGGCATACCATTTCTAGTGAAAGATGTGAGTATCAAGCAACAGATCCTTTCGTAACCCTACTAACAGGTGCCAGAATATTGCTACCAAAGACAAATTAGAAACTACTGCTGGTTCTTGGATGTTGCTTGGTTCCATCGTTCCTCGTGATGCTCATGTCGTGAAACGGCTTCGCGAATCCGGGGCCATTCTAATGGGACATAGCACTCTCAGTGAATGGGCTGATATGCGCTCGAACTCATATTCTGAAGGTTATTCGGCCCGCGGTGGTCAGTGTCGATCACCATACAATCTAACTACCACTCCTGGAGGAAGCTCATCGGGCAGTGCTTCGGCTGTTGGCGCAAATCTTATTACCTTTGCACTTGGTACCGAGACTGATGGAAGCGTAATCAATCCCGCCGAGCGAAATGGTGTGGTCGGTTTCAAACCAACCGTTGGACTTACTTCGCGTGATGGGTAAGTTTTATCTGCTATCAGGGTTGTTTAATAGTTCCACAGCCCGATAATGAGAGTTTCTTGATCTGAGAGCCTGTTTTGAACGTTCAACATGGGCAAATCACAAGATCGTTCTCAAGCCAGACTGCACTTCCGACTATTAAATACTCTTACTACACTATCTTCATAACCGTTTATGATACTGACAGTTTTATTAGTGTCATTCCTGAATCTCATAATCAAGATACCGTCGGATGCTTCGCTAAATCTGTCCGAGATGCTACCTACTGCCTTGACGGAATCTACGGTCCCGACACCCGTGACAACTACACGCTTGTGCAAGATGCGCCAGCCGGTGGCTACTCTCAATATCTTAGCAACAAAACTGCTCTCCAGGGTGCTGTTTTTGGGCTGCCCTGGCTCAGCTTTTGGAAATTTGCCGATTCGGATCAACAAGCCCAACTCCTTAATCTTGTTTTCGAGATAGAAGCCGCTGGTGCTACGATCATTAATGGCACTGAACTACCTTACTGGCAGACCATTATCTCTCAAGATGGCTGGGACTGGGACTATGGCACTACTCGTGGATATCCCAACGAATCCGAGTACACATATGTAGCAGTTGACTTCTACAACGATATTGTAAAATATCTCGCAGATCTCAACAATACAGATATTCGCACCGTTGAAGATATTGTTCAGTACAATATCGATAACGTTGGATCCGAAGGTGGTCTTCCAGGCGTTCATCCTGCCTTTAAATCTGGACAAGATGGGTTCTTAGCTTCTCTCGCTACTGGCGGTGTCATGAACGAAACATATTGGGAAGCCCTCAATTTCTGTCATCGCACTACCCGTGAAGATGGAATAGATGCAGCCCTTTATAACAACGGTACTCAACTCACCGCACTACTGGTACCGCCCGATGTGGGTCAAACTTACCAAATTGCAGCCCAAGCAGGGTATCCAATGGTTACTTTACCAGCAGGCGTGAGTCCATTGGACGGAATGCCATTTGGGTTGGCATTAATGGGGACTGCTTGGAGCGAGGCAAGTTTGGTTAAGTATGCGAGTGCGATCGAGGATCTACAGCAGAGTTTAGTGGGCTTTCAACAAAAGAGGACGAGTCCGTTGTGGTATGATTATAGAGCTAAAAATGTTCCTATTATATAGAGGATATTAGTAGCTGAGACAAATGCTATTTAATGATTATTTATGAATTCATGAATTTAAATCAGTCCTTTGGAACTCCCACCATTTCCTTGCTTTCGAGTTTCTTGAAAGTCAAACGGCATATCGAAAACCACTCTCTTCCAAAGATGTCTATCAATTGTTATTTCAACCATACCTCCTGCAGATAGCAAGTGTAGAATTTCCAATTTTCTATTTTGCATTATGAGCTATATTGCTAAAATCAATGGAAGATTTTTGGTGACATTGTAGTGTCATCAATATGAAAGCCAAGCGGTAGTGGCTGGGCGGCTGGGGAGCATGTTGGCCGAAATGCCAGATTATTTTAAACTGTCAAAATAGCGATATGACTACGTACCGGGCAACTAAAATGTGGACTCAGGTTCGATTGGAAAGTATAGTCCTCTTGAGAGATTTTGCGTGTAGATCTATAGTTGAGATATCTACGTGGGTCACCAGACAATGGAACGGATTGGTATTTAGATGAAAATGTATCCTCTCAATTGAACTCTTACTACTTGATCCGTTGGTTTCCTAAGCTTCCTAATAAGCTTACCCGCGCCTTTAAAGTGATACCATCTCTCCGCTTTCGCAGTTCGGCCCCTATTGCTCGACCCAATTCCAAACAACTTATTGACTACTTCAATCTCAAACAATCACCTCTTCAAAACGTACGGCCGCGTTAATTGCCACGCAACCCTGGTCCAGATATTCTTGCATCGATATTGAACTAGCCAGCCAGAGGTCTATTCCTCCGCTACCTAGGTAGGTATCTTTGCTCATATCAACAGTGAATGCAGACGAAATGAGTAAACGATAGGGATTGGCTCTTAATTCACGAAAATCGGTGTTTGATGTAAGATAGCACTGAGCAACTTTTCCTCCATTGAACTCAATACTATTATTCGAATCTAGACTGATGGCATTCACAGAGTGATTGAACAGCACCGAGTTCGATGAAGAATGCTGGAAAGAAGGACGCGAGTTTCCGAGTTTCCTAATTGCGGTGCAATTGGAAGAGTGCCCTCTCGAATAGTAATTGCTAGATTCCGTAATGACGCATCCCGACGATTTAAAATTCCATTTGTGAATAGGCATTTCGAGTCGTATACTCGAGCTTAGATAGAAGAAGATTTGAAGAAGGTAGAGTATCTTTCATCTTGGTGAGTGGGCAAAGATATTTCACCCCTCAAAGAGAAGAACCCGAACATCATAAGCTTTTTACACAGGGTTGCAGCTCCCTTATGTCACCAGATAATTCTATGATGGCTACATGTTACTACGTTAGAGTTGAATGATACGAACGAGGAGTATATATCTGCTTACGATAGTCTTACTTGTCGAACACCGATATATACTCCAGTGCCGAAGTCGTGAACAAACCCTTCACCGTAATTACTATCATTACCGCATCGAAATGAATGATTTTCATGACTCTGTGGCGTAAGGCAAGCTTGTAAGGCGCCGAGTCATAGGAGCTGAATGTTGGTGAAATTGTCGCTAAGCATAGCATCCAAAATTGTACAAACGATGAAGCTTTCGAACGCAAGACTTCTTTTGGCTGATGGGCTCTCAATCCCCAGTAAATCAGTGCGTTCGTGTTTTAGCTTCTTTGATGGATCTTCTTGGTCTCCTTGGTTGCCTCTCCGTTGCCAGCGGGAACCTTTTTTCCAGCCCACAAGTATCACACTTTCGAACCAGGACATCAGCCCAGGGTTTCTTTCCACCTTTGCTTTGGTTTTCAACTTTAGCAGTACATGTGGTCCCTTCCAGCAACAAAGTTTGACAATTCTTACAGATAGAATGCTTCATATCAGGAGACATTCGCATTAATCCTTTCAATGAGACTGAGCGTAGGTCCGTGATTAATCTACGAGAGAGAGCTTGATGTGATCCTTCTGTGGCATTTGCTACAGCCTTTGACTCATCCTTCATGACGTCCTCCATCGATGAGTCTAGGGTGGTTCCCTTGGCCGATTGTTCTTGACTTTCTTGATCTTGTATAGCCAGATAGGTCGCTGCTTGATAGAGATATGACATTCTACTGTACAAGACTTTGTTTGGTACCTTGGATACTCCTTTAGTCGCCTGTAACTTTGCCATTGTGCTTAAGAACCCAAATTTAATATCGAATACGTTGCCAGAAGGAATGCTGAAAAACTCAAAGCTGCCTTGGCAAGTTTTTTCTGGAGCTCAAAAGATTGTTGATCTTGATTTACCTAGGTATCCAGTAGAGTAAAACACTTTATAAACTCAAATACCAGAGCTTGGAACTTCGATAATACGTATGAAATGAGGAGTGGTAGTTGAATTTTCAATTATGATGATTGCAACTATAAGATGCTGACTAACGTGAACGATGCCAAGTAATGATCAGTCAAAGCTTTTCCTCCCTCAACGTAATTGGCATAGAATTAAACCTAAGCTGAGCTAAGATTACACGTGATACAATGCTTAGCGGCGAATTGAAGCCGCGCCGACAAAGCAATCCCTTAGTCGCGCTCACCCATCTTTCTTTCAACACCTCTACCTCCATCCATCTCAGTACTTCTTCCCACGACTTCGATCATCACGATCTATCTCTTAATTGATTCGTTTCTTCTTGTCATTCCTCATTTACTCCTAACAATTTTCAGCAAGAATAAGGACTACTAAGATTGACCTTCGCGATCGACTTTACCTTTCAACAACAACGAGCCTAACCTTTTAACTAAACAAATATCATCAAAATGTCTGCCGCCGAAGAAGATTTGATCGATTACTCTGATGAGGAGCTCGCAACAACAGAAGCACCAGCACCAGCCGCTGGCGCAAATGGAGGAGTCAAGGGGGATTCAGGAAATTTGACCGTGTCTGGAAATGCAGCTGCGGCCAAGAAGGGCAGTTATGTTGGTATCCATTCGACTGGTTTCCGCGAATTCCTATTGAAGCCGGAGCTTCTACGAGCCATTTCCTGGTGCGGATTCGAACATCCTTCGGAGGGTTAGTCATAACTTTCATCCCTAAACTCCATCATTGTCCTTCTCGCAGCGCGTCCGTCCATCTCGCAAGCAAAAATGAATACTCTCTGGTCAAAACTTCAGCAAGTTACGAGCGATCCTGGAATGTCTCTACCGGTCCGATACAAGATTCGGAGGGATGGCAAACATATGCGTTAGGCGAGAATCTCGAAAGAAAGCGGCGATATAATTGCTGGCAAAATTGTAGGAGATACGTTTAAAGTGCATGCCTAGAGACTTCCAGGATCGACTCAAACCGACGCCTTTGTTGCGTTTGTGTAAAGTTGACGATTTGCGCCTTCCAAGGCAAATATCGGGCCTATCCTTCGATCTGTGCATTCTGGGTGTTGTGTTGTGGATGTATTTTGCGTAGATGGGCGGACTTGCGATCTCTTGCACCTGATTATAAATTTGGACACTTAATCTAACTTCGGTCCGACCACTACAGTTCAGCAAGTCTGTATTCCCCAAGCGATTCTTGGTACAGATGTCCTATGCCAGGCCAAATCTGGTCTCGGTAAAACCGCCGTTTTCGTCCTCACAACTCTACAACAAGTCGAGGTGGTCGCCGGTGAAACATCCGTACTTGTGATGTGCCACACTCGTGAATTGGCTTACCAAATTCGAAATGAGTATCAACGCTTCTGTCACTTCATGCCAGATGTCAAGATCGGTGTTTTCTACGGTGGAGTTCCTATTAGCAAGGATGTTGAGGTATTGAAGAATCCTGAGACCCACCCACACATCATCGTCGGTACCCCAGGTCGATTGAACGCCCTTGTTCGAGACAAATACTTGCGCCTCAATAGCGTTAAGGTTTTCGTTCTTGATGAGTGCGACAAGATGTTGGATCAAATTGGTAAGTCTAGTTGCAGTCCTTCTAGGTGCACACTGTTGATATTGTTTTAGATATGCGTCGTGATGTTCAGGAAATTTTCAGAGCCACACCACCACAAAAGCAAGTCATGATGTTCAGTGCTACTCTTTCTCAAGAGGTTCGACCTATCTGCAAGAAGTTCATGCAGAACCCTCTTGAAATTTACATTGATAATGAGACAAAGCTCACCCTTTATGGTCTTCAACAATATTACATCAAATTAGAGGAGAGAGAAAAGAACAGACGTCTCAATGAATTGCTAGATGAGCTTTCATTCAATCAAGTTATCATTTTCGTCAAGAGCACAGTCAGAGCCACTGAACTTGACAAGCTTTTGCGCGAGTGTAACTTCCCATCAGTTGCAATCCACTCTGGTGTCAGCCAAGAAGAACGGTACGTCTTATAGCATCATCGGTTTTTGTGCATTACTGACACTTGAATAGTATCAAACGTTTCAACGACTTCAAGGATTTTAACAAGCGTATCTGTGTTGCTACGGACGTATTCGGTCGTGGTATTGATGTCAACAAGATTAACTTGGCTATCAACTACGATCTTCCACCTGATGCAGACTCATACCTTCATCGTGTTGGACGTGCTGGACGTTTCGGAACCAAGGGTCTTGCTATCTCATTCGTTAGCAGTGAGGCAGATCAAGAGGTTTTGAAGGCTGTTGAGAAAAGATTCGAAGTTGCACTTCCGTAAGTAGCCCCCAAATCTCATTTCGTGTTTTGTTTTCAATACTAACAATCTATAACAGAGAGTACCCCGAGGGAGGTGTCGATTCCGCCGCCTACACCAAGACTGACTAAGTTCTCGATACCTTTTATGCTGATCAAACGAAAACTCTCTTTTATTCACATTTCGGCGATCACGGCACCGATTGTTTATCTAAGTTGTGTCATTTTGAGAAATCATCGCGATGCAAGAAAATTATGATTTTTTTCACGGAACTTTTTTCCTTCGCCATTTGTTTATTTGGGGGGCTGTCCCCTAGTCATTGGGATTATGAGATAAATTGTGCCTGGATGTTGATGGCTAGATGATAGCAATGGAATGGTGGTTGTGGTTAAACTTCACACGGTGGGAAGGAAAGCAAGTTAGCAAAGATATTAGGTGCAACCGAAAAGTTTTTTTCTTTGATATGTAGTTGTGATCTGTATTCTATGTTCCCTTAGTGACATAAAACTAGCAATTCAAAGAAGTAGTCCTGGTATTATCCTCCAGAAGCTTCGTTTTTCCAACCGCCCGACTGTCACATAGATTCGAAGTATCAGCACTTGGAATCATTTCCCTTTTCAAGCTAGGTTGAATGCCTGAGCCTACCCAAACGTCTAAGTTTCTCCGGATATCTCAACCTCTGTAAATGCCTAAGCTGGCATAAGTGTCTACCCAAATCTATGATATTCCTCTGCATCGACCTTGTTACTGATCAAAGAGAATCATCCGTAGCCCCTCTCCTCTCTATTCCCTAAACAAGCTCCCAAATCCAAACGATTCCATCATGAACCAAACCATCGTCCCCGACCAGCTCTCTTCTCGGAGTCCAACGTCGTGTAACTCTCAGTCTTCTACTTACTTGGCCAACAAAGTTATACAAGTATCTGTGGTCGTCCAAATTTCCATTATTATAACCAAGAAACTTGAAACGAACTTCACACGCTTGAACGCTTGCGTTCACAATGTCGCAAATTTGATCTAGAACATGAGAAACGTTAGTGTTGGTTTCCCACAATTCATCTGAGTTGTGCGGTGTGCGAGTCGGCTGGATAGCAGTGAAAGTTATCTTTTGGAAAGAGTTTTGGAGTTTGCAGACGTGGCGTTTGAGGAGGTGGCGGGAATCATCTTCGAGTCTGAAGTATCTGTTTTTATCATGTTATCAGTGGTGTACTGGCTGGGAATTTAGAAATGTAGGGAACAATTATACGAACTCGAAGTTGTCAGAGCGTAGATGTAGATAGAGAATCTTGTCCAACCTCTTTCCACGATTGGTGATGGTCCAGAAAATAGGCAATGTGGCATTAGAGAGGATAAAATTGACGAGTCTGTATAGATACTGGAGGAGGGGATATTCGGAAGTACCGTGAAACGCGCGAAGAATGGGTGGAAGGCAGCCGGCAACGGTCATGCAGAGTAAGGAGTTGTAAATTGGAAGCCGAAGCTCAATTGGTAATCTGCCGATGTAAGCTGGTGATGGCATGGCTGCAACCACGGCATTTGTGGAAGTGATGTTGCTCATCGTTGTACCTGTGGAGGGAGTTGATAGTTGCAAAGATGTAGTGGCCGTTTGATCTTGATTCTCCATTGTTGCAGCTGGAATGGCTGGTGATTCTTGTGGTGTGCTTGTCATGTTGTTGTTCTCCATTGTGCTGGCTTCAACAGTAGCTGATGGTATTTGCGAAATGCTTGTGATGTTAAGCTTGGCATCCACTGTTGTAATTCTGATTGTAATTGATAACAACACAAACTGTAACGGTTGTATTACCAGTGCTTATCCTGGGATTCAAGACACTTCTGGGACAAGATTTGGTTGCAACTTGGTTGCTGTGTCGATGTCAATGCAGTGGCTTCGCGTAATTTCAGGAGAACAAGGTGAGAATTTGTTGTTGAAATACTCAATCAATTCGAACTACTAGCAATGACAAATGCACAAAAAATTATAAATGGAATAGTGTGAAGATTTTCTCCCAAAAATTGTTCATAAGAAAACGTTTCTTATCATAATGATCATGTTGAATAGTTGAGTAAAGTGTAAATTGACTAGAATCACACTAGTTGCCTGCACCTTCCAAGAACAAGTTTTGTATTTGAAATTGGCGTATTAGGTATATTTACACCACATCTGTATTTTGTTTGAAATGTTTTGCTTGTTAAGTACACCTTAATTCGAACCCTCCTACCCTTCGATTCTCTACCCAAAACATTGTCTTTTAAATCGTACCTTCCTTCTCATACTAGCCACCCTGATATCTCAATTTCTACCTTTCGACTATCAACTCCCAGATATCTACCAACACGCACATTAAAAGCCAGTCACAACTCCAGAATACTTCTGTTCTGACTCTTGGCTCTCGATTCTTAATCTCTATTTCTCCACCTCGTCTACTTCCCCGCTCTATCACCTTCGAAAGCCTCTAACAGTTAGCTTGCGTCTCAATTTCCATCACCCTCAAATAATTCACTCACAACTTTTAACTCCCTTTATTTCTGTACCCCTCCACAATATCCCAAAATCCTACAAGTCCCTAGAAGTATTCCGTAGATAGAAAAAGCTTAAATCCATCATCTCATTGCTCAAACTTTCAAGCTCTCTGTTTACACTTGAGCGATTCCATTGAGTCATTGACATCCTACAAACGAATTTCCAGATCAGTGTGATAAGATGGCCATTGGAAACAAAACTAGGTGTGCGCTAGATGATTTGGGTATCCTAATTCATTATGGTACTATGAAAGGGCCGAATCCTCTGTTCGGCGTGCTCAATCGACACTCGAGTGATTCCTTCCATGTCCATCATCATTAGCATCATGATATATCCATCTACTTACATTGTTCAAGCTTAAGTGTGTTTGTTTTTCTTCCAGCCAGCAATTCCAGAGTTTTAGTGTTCGAAAGATTTCCTGCTGCAATACACATGTAGGTTCGTAATAAGGGTTTTAGATTAACGGAGGATGCTAGCTGCCCTTGTTGGTATTGAAGAAGGCATTCTCAAACACCTGCTCAGTACACAGTCTTACACTCTTGATTTCTTCTGACATCGTATACAAAGTTCCACAAAATGATGTTCGCTCTTGAACACTAACTCGGTCCTAGATATAACAAATCATCGATTTTCTCTGAGGCTTGATACCTTCGAATTATCTCGTAAGCAAAACACCGCATCGAAACGGTGTAGAAAATGACCATAGGTTCTGTTGGAGGGATCTTCTGTACCTCGTGGAAAGGCGATCTTGATGCTTTATCACTTGACATGTATCTATTGCTAGCTTCTCTGTTTCAAAGGCGGCTAATGGACCTCATCCACAACTCACTGATATTGAGCGTTGGTTACCTCAAATTACTTCATGTTCAAGAACCTCTTCTGCATAGCGAGGGCGGGGACCCTTTTCAACTTTTAGATCACAATGGTATAATATCCCTTGATATGGAAAAAAGAGACAGCGCTAGGGGTTCTTCAAAGCTATCGGAGAAGAAGCTATTGGCAACCAAAAGCGTTCAAATCTGGGTCAATGTTCTATCAGTATTAGCACTAGCAATTAAGAAGCAGTAAGCGTCTTCAACGTCTCAGACAATGTCAGCTTTACAATCGCTACTGCATCACTCAACATCATCATCATTCCGGCCGGTTGCGATAAGTCTCCTTTGCTTTGTATGCTGTTAGGCGAAACTATTCTCTCTAGCAGAACCATCGATATGAAAATGGACAATATGATTTTCCGTCACCAGAATGCTTGAATTCCCAACTACCCCATTCGGCAAGCGGTTATTGGCACTAACGAGTATAATCACAGATGATATGAAGAATTACTTGAAGCGTCTGCTTCCAATATCGATGTTTGCAAGATTGCAGATCGGGCAAATACGGACAATGATAATGGGGGCTTACTGGGTGGCGGCCTGAAGCCGAGGGTTATGAGTTACTGAAACCTTACAGCGAAACTTTAAATCCCAATGCTAACAAGCTCCCATAATTCACGCCTTGGCTCGTGCCAGCTATTCCCCAACACCGATCCTAATACTCGAAGATATCTAAGCGCTCTCGATCGATCAACTGCTGAACTTATTTTCTCTCGGCTGTTATGCGAACAGAAGCGCTGACGTCGTCAAACCGAGACGAGGACCATGGATTTTGAAGAAGCACTTCTGAACCTTGATAATGAGTGACGTTGTCGAAAATAAAATCAATGCCATATTAGCCACTGACAAAAGTCTCTACAGACTATCTTCTGGAACATGACCACTGTATCCCTTACTCGCAACTGCAATATCCGCTATCACTTCGCAAATCCTACGCAGCTGGAATGAGCTCAGGGCTTTGATTTAACTAACAAGCCCAATAAACAAAATGTTCATTATTCCTCTGCTCGTCGCGTCTTTGTACATATTCTCCACTCTCTCCTTCCAGTTTGCTACGGCAGATTGCCATCATCCCCAAAATTGCCAATAGAACAGAACGCACAAGACATTCCTCTCCTCGGCCGTCATATCAACCACGCTGCCATTCCCCCAAGTCCACACAGCTTAAGAGATGTAACCAAGATGCATCACTCTTTGCATCAAACCAGCACATTGATTTCCTAGGATATTCATCAGCTTCCCCATCGTCATCATTATTCAGTTCGTAGATCTCATTTCTGATCATATCACATAATTCTTTATTCCCATTCTCGCTGGGATTCTCTAGATCTTTCAGAGCTATTTATCACTTATACAGCACAACCCGAAGTCTCTAGTTACCGCAATTAGCAAGACCCGCTGCTTCGTAGACACATGAAATGCTGGAGCAATCCCTAAATTCATTCTACTATATATATACACATCCCAACACCAATCCACCACCACCCCAAACAACTTCACCACAGCAAATATCAGTGCCTTACCTAGTATCACCCACTCTGCTTATTATTGACCCTCGTCTCAAGACAAATTTCATCTGACTTATATGACCGCGAAATATCAATCCCACCATCCCACCACAACACCACAAGTCAATCCGATCCAAACACTACCCACAGTATAGCCAACTGCAGATCTTACCAAGAGAGAGCCATGGCTCATCTATATCAACTTATTTATTTACTAAAATAAAAGTAAAAGTACATCTTCCATCTTCCATCTAGAGAAACCGATAAAGAAGAATTCGACGTGAACCATATCGCCAATCGAGAAATCGCCACGTCGTGGCAAAATGGAAAAGCGGGATGTGTTCTCTCCTCTCCTCTCCTCTCCTCTCCTCTCCGTAGGTATAGCTCAGAACTTCAGAACTCGATGAGAGATGTGTGGTTAATGATTTTCCTCTTTTTTTTTTTTTTTTTTTTTTTTTTGAGATTAAATCTGGATATATGATTGGTTGCAGGTATAGAATTCAGGGGGGGAGAGTAGCATTATTGTAGAAAATGGCAAGATATGTGATCTCGCAGAGGCAGAACCGTATCAATAGTGTGAGAGCTGATTTTATATCTGAAGGGAGATGCAAGGGGAGAGGACAAATGGATTTGAATATTATTTTTATCCGAGGTGCTGGTGGGAGGACGGGGTGAGGGGAATGTGAAAGGTAATATAGATATGCAAAGGTGTTTGAAAGATACATTTTGAACTTAAAAGGCGGATTTGAAAAGATATTTGTAAAAAGTAATCTAACACACATCTTTCACGATTGGATTTTTGACCCCAGAGAGTATATGAAAGATAGCCACTTCATCAGAATTCTCATCTAAAATCTCCACATACACTTCTCACTTCTGTGGTTGTAGATATTCGAAAGCTTCCTCGGTTATATTCCATTCTTTACATTATCTTCTTCCGTTAATTTTTCTTCTCGTATAATTGTTCTCTCGTATGTTCGTACACATTGTTATGTCTTCTCCCTTCAATCCAGCTTTACCCTATACTTTATGATTTTACACACTTGCCCCTTCAGCCCTTGATGCTTCTCCTTCTCCATCTTCTTCTTTTCTCCTCTACGTCGGCTTTCCTTCTTTGCCCCATCCCTCAAGCGAAAAAAGTAACTACTGCTATATGTCACCAGGAAGCAGACGTTAAAAGATTGAAAAAGAAAGAATAAATGATGCAGGTCAATGTCTATCGGCGGAAACAATAAGTTTTCTCAATAAAATAAGACTGCGTCTCTCTCCACCCAATATCAAAGACCTCGAGCTCAAAAATTCAAAGCACAGTGTCCAATAGTTTAGAGGGTCGAGTGGATGCGAGCTTTCACTGACCAAGAAACAGATCCATATTCAGATTGATAGTTGAAATTGGTACCTCAAATCGATTGAATATTCTAGTCTGATCGAGACACTGAAAACTTCTGAATGTCGGGCTGCATGTAGTCCGAGCTATCGGAAATGTTGCTTCAAGGTATGTATTGACTGCGAAGGAGAGAGTATTAGACAATCCAATCTTACTCTTTGATCTTGAATGCTTATTTCCACACAATACTCCATCGACTTCCATTCAAGTCTCGGCTCGAGAAATGAAATCGTTACATTCACAACCGAAAACCCTATCCCAGAAATGTAGAAAGGATACCATGTCGTCGCACAATCAATAGAATCATTTCCCCAAGCGCGCCACAGCATAAACAAAGAGGAGGTGGCTTGCCTACCTTTCAAGCGCCCTACACCACTCAGCGTTACATCGAAGCAATCTGTCAAAATCACCGACAGCCATACGTTCCGCATCCTTCATCGTCTAACGTTCCGAACGCTGTAGCAATGGGTAGTTATCTTACAGCACAATAGAGTATCCGCTCGGAGATTCAATTCGCTCGTGGGCAGGGAAAACAGACAGATCGAAATTTCCTGTTCTTTTGAAGGATCTTTTAATCCGTCCCTGACAAAGCATTTTGTTTTCGTGGGCCGGCGGGATACTACCATTGAATCGACAGGCTGAGACAGCTGAGACAGAGCGGGTATTTCGAAACGCTAAAACACTAGGACGACAAGATACTACATATATACGGTGAATTTGCATGCATGCACGCACGTGAAATGCACCAATGTATCAATGCTCTGCCATTCTTCTTGGTAAGAAGAATTTCCATGATGTAGTATACCTGCCTTGCAAGCATTATGAGAACGAACGGGATTCGAATCTCACATTGAGATTGAAAATCCTCAGTCAGCGTGAGGAACCTTGCTTCCATAATTCCTAGTAAACACTGCACTACAGTATGAATGACAATTCATTGAGTGATATCAGCGTAAAGATAAGATAAGTATAAGATTGCGAGCAGCATAGCAATTTTCAATATAAGCCAACGAAAACATGATGGTACCTTATTTCTTACTATGCAGACCTACCCAAGACACATTATAAGTCCGAATCCGAGTCTGAGTCCGAGGTAACGGTAATTTCGGAGGGTTTGTTCTTGATTTCCAATGGAAAACTTCGATATGAAATTGCCTACGCTTTTGAATAATCTTGGCAAAATTGCCTTGGCCAGATGAATGGGATATTATTTTATTCCAACCTTCCGTTGTACCTAAATGTGCCTCATTTCGTTTCTTTCGAGTTGATTTGTAAAGAACATGCTGCACAAGAAAGTTACTTTGATGTAATAGCAGTGACTTTAAAATTCCATCTCGTATGGACCTTGAAAATGAAGGCTGTTCATGTCAGATTGATCGTATATTGAAAGGTTTTATTGGCCAGGTGTATTTAAGAGACTTGAGGCATTCAAGATTTTCTGACCCTAGAATTAGGTGATGAGATATACATCTGCAAAATTAAAAACTGGCACACGAATTGGAACCCAATTGAGATGTAAACGGCTAGTATGAAACCAATGGGAAAGACCTTTGTTGTTTTGTTTCTTGTTGCCTATTTTGTCAACCATGGTTTCGATATCTTATATTGACTTTCGAGCCTCAGAGGTGCATGGAAAGCGACAGCAAGATGGGGTTAGCTCAGAAATACAAATCCCATAACTGTTGACATCAAAAATTGTGGCAGCCCTAGACGAGCAATCAGTGACTGAGTGTCAGTCAGATCTACACATCTATCCACAATAACCCATGCGTATCCGTAGAAACAAAAAGGAGAACGATACATGGTGGGAGCGTGGATACGCAGTCTTCCTAGGTTGCCGAAGGAATCATTCCACTTTTTATCTCGAAAGCTTGTTTATAGTGGCTTGAGTCGAACTTTGACTCGGCGATAGCTTCGGAACGCGTCAAATATATGGAGAAAAAAGGTTCTAGAGTAGAGATACACATGCTTCTAAGTTCTGATCTTCTTCTCACTCAAAGTCCCTTCTCCTGAACTATGGGTATTATGGAGCCTCCTTTTTTTTCTATGAACCGATCATTTCGAGCTGGCCGCATTGAACACAGTCTCGTACTGAGATATGATTCTTTTTTTGGAAGATTGTTGTCGTGGAGCCTGTGGGGACCATTCGATTGCTTCTGCTAAGACGAGACATTAGTTTTACAGCCGACTCTGTATACATACATATCTTTTGCATCGTTATGGTACGATTGGATAGGTATCAAGATACAACACTGAATTGTGCATGGTGCAGAAATTTGACCAACTACCGTATCCAGG